TATTGATATTATTTTTTTATAAAAAAATTAAAAAGACCCAATGCATTAATATCTCATTAATACATTCAGAGATATGCTGAAAATATATGTTAATATTATCGTGTCACTATATCATGCCATTAAAAAGTTAAAAAAGAAATGGTTCATTTTAGAGTTTGATACTCTGGCGCCGTTTTCAATAGATTTTACTCCTAGCGTTATTGGACTTCAAACAGTAGTGAAGGTTACACGCAAATGATATATCCATTGCATGGAGTAAGTTATTATCTTTGATATAATGAAACATATGAGTTAAAAAATAAATCGTGAAGCATTCTTAGTGTTTTTATTAAAAATAGCATGCTCCGTCACAGTGGACAAATCTTTCGATTCCAGCCTGTGAGAATCCTGTATCATTCTATATTGTAAATATAAAAGCATGAGTGTATGTACTAACCCGTACACATAATGCACAAAGGCGAAGCCTGATTGCATTATCAGAATGGGTTAGTACATACACTCATGCTTTTATATTTCCAATATGATACATGATTCTTTATTGCAATTCAAACATGACTGGGGTCAATGATGAAGTTGAACAGTTCACCATGTACATCTTCAAGGTTGTTGTCTTTGAAGAAATTAAGTTTTTGGAAAAGTTTATTATTTAGAAATACTCAATAGGGGTGATGGGTTACAATTGATATCCATTTGAAAACTATTGAGAAGGTTTTGTTTGTCAAAATATTTAAGGAAATGGAATAATTAATTTGATGCAGAAAAATTATGAAGAATTAGTTGAAAAGAACACATGGATGATTCGCTTTCACCCCCTTTTAAAGAATATCCCTGCTCAACCCATGCATATATCAAAGATTAAATGCACAGCAAAATCATTTTTGTGCATATATCAATCAATTAACACACTGAAATCCTTTAAGCTGAGACACACTTGGCATGTTTGAATTACTGTTAAACCACCAATTTAGTTTCTCAAAGAGGCAGCTGAAACTTTCCGTAGTTTCACAAGCATTTCAAAAAATTTCCCAATTTGAAAGGCTTATTGCTTTTTACAAACACCTGGCATTCGAAGAACGTTTGGTTTAAAGAATTTGTTTCAAAAGTCATATTTCAGTGTTTCAAAAGTCAAATTCGATGGTTTATTATTCAAATCTTATTACGTCTAATGCCGTTGGCCAATTTTCAAAATGGCTGCTCGTTTAAAAATGGCGGCCATTTTAGTGCCAATTTTACAGTAATCTAGGTGCAATATGTAAAACTGTAATAGCAATATGTTTTAAATGTAAAAAAATATATAGGACATTAATAAAGCTAGAATGTAGATATGAAAGAAGCACATGGCAGCCATCTTGAAAAACGGGGGCCTTTACTCGTTATTTTACGATTTTTGCTGTAACTCGAAAAGTAGTGGAGCGATTTTGTTCATATTTGGTATGTGGATACTATAAGCATTGCACACTGTCTAATTACACTTTTGGTAGAAGGCTGCCATTTTGAAAAATGGCCACCATTTTGAAAAATGGCCACCATTTTGAAAAATGGCCACCATTTTGAAAAATGGACACCATTTTTACATTTTTTACTATAACTCAAAAACTAGTAGAGCGATTTTGTCCATATTTTATATGTGAATACTATAAGCATGGCACACTGTCTAATGACACTTTGGGTAGTAGGCGACCATTTTGAAAAATGGCGACCATTTTTACATTTTTTATTATAGCTCAAAAAGTAGTAGAGCGATTTTGTTCATATTTTATATGTGAATACTATAAGCATGGCACACTGTCTAATGACACTTTGGTTAGTAGGCGACCATTTTGAAAAATGGCGACCATTTTTACATTTTTTACTATACTGACTCAAAAAGTAGTAGAGCGATTTTGTTCATATTTTATATGTGAATTCTATAAGCATGGCACACTGTCTAATGACACTTTGGGTAGTAGGCGACCATTTTGAAAAATGGCGACCATTTTTACATTTTTTACTATACTGACTCAAAAAGTAGTAGAGCGATTTTGTTCATATTTTATATGTGAATACTATAAGCATGGCACACTGTCTAATGACACTTTGGGTAGTAGGCGACCATTTTGAAAAATGGCGACCATTTTTACATTTTTTACTATAACTCAAAAAGTAGTAGAGCGATTTTGTTCATATTTTATATGTGAATACTATAAGCATGGCACACTGTCTAATGACACTTTGGGTAGTAGGCGACCATTTTGAAAAATGGCGACCATTTTTACATTTTTTACTATAACTCAAAAAGTAGTAGAGCGATTTTGTTCATATTTTATATGTGAATACTATAAGCATGGCACACTGTCTAATGACGCTTTGGGTAGTAGGCGACCATTTTGAAAAATGGAGACCATTTTTACATTTTTTACTATAACTCAAAAAGTAGTAGAGCGATTTTGTTCATATTTTATATGTGAATACTATAAGCATGGCACACTGTCTAATGACACTTTGGGTAGTAGGCGACCATTTTGAAAAATGGCGACCATTTTTACATTTTTTACTATAACTCAAAAAGTAGTAGAGCGATTTTGTTCATATTTTATATGTGAATACTATAAGCATGGCACACTGTCTAATGACACTTTGGGTAGTAGGCGACCATTTTGAAAAATGGCGACCATTTTTACATTTTTTACTATAACTCAAAAAGTAGTAGAGCGATTTTGTCCATATTTTATATGTGAATACTATAAGCATGGCACACTGTCTAATGACACTTTGGGTAGTAGGCGGCCATTTTGAAAAATGGCGACCATTTTTACATTTTTTACTATACTGACTCAAAAAGTAGTAGAGCGATTTTGTTCATATTTTATATGTGAATACTATAAGCATGGCACACTGTCTAATGACACTTTGGGTAGTAGGCGACCATTTTGAAAAATGGCGACCATTTTTACATTTTTTACTATAACTCAAAAAGTAGTAGAGCGATTTTGTTCATATTTTATATGTGAATACTATAAGCATGGCACACTGTCTAATGACACTTTGGGTAGTAGGCGACCATTTTGAAAAATGGCGACCATTTTTACATTTTTTACTATAACTCAAAAAGTAGTAGAGCGATTTTGTCCATATTTTATATGTGAATACTATAAGCATGGCACACTGTCTAATGACACTTTGGGTAGTAGGCGACCATTTTGAAAAATGGCGACCATTTTTACATTTTTTACTATAACTCAAAAAGTAGTAGAGCGATTTTGTTCATATTTTATATGTGAATACTATAAGCATGGCACATTGTCTAATGACACTTTGGGTAGTAGGCGACCATTTTGAAAAATGGCGACCATTTTTACATTTTTTACTATAACTCAAAAAGTAGTAGAGCGATTTTGTTCATATTTTATATGTGAATACTATAAGCATGGCACACTGTCTAATGACGCTTTGGGTAGTAGGCGACCATTTTGAAAAATGGCGACCATTTTTACATTTTTTACTATAACGCAAAAAAGTAGTAGAGCAATTTTGTTCATATTTTATATGTGAATACTATAAGCATGGCACACTGTCAAATGACACTTTTGGTAAAAGGCAGCCATTTTTCAAAATGACCACCATTTTTTACTCTTTTTATTCTTACTCGAAAAGTAATGGAGCCATTTTGTTATTGGTTATGGGGAAGAGGGTTTGCACCCATCGTGCCTCCCCCCCCCGCCACACCAATGATCTAATACAAATGGTCACCCAAATACTTGAATTGGTGATTATTCTGATATACATGTAACATTTTAATGGTTTTTTTTTATATTTGCAAATCAAGGGTAAGGTAGATGATAAATATTATGTTGTGGCATACAGATTCATGAATTTAGTGTTCTTTGGCATTTGCTGCACTATGGAGTTTGCATATTTCTAGTACTTTATTCAATTTACTGGACATAAGTGAATGATAAATGAACAAAAAGCACAATACAGAAAAGAAAAGAATTTAAATATTATTTGCTTATTTCAGGATGTATGGCATGGGTAATCAGCATGTCAAAAACATATAGATAGAATATGGTGGAATAACAGCAGGGAATAGATGGAAAAACAGATTGCATGTGGAATTGCCACAATACTTCACCGGTATTTATCGTGAAGAACAACTTTTATTTAATTCACTGGAAGGAGCTGTTGACATATGAACAATTAGGATGATAAATGATATGGAGGGCTTGAGGAATGACCACATTACTTCACCAGTGTTTATATACATATATATTAGCTGATTAAAAAATAAAAAGACATATGCAACATTAACAATAGGCATAATATATGATACAGGATGGCACACAAGGATTTATGTACATACTGCAAATCATATTCAAGGATATTTAAATGATACCAGATGGAATGATGATTTGTGACAGTTGTGATTCTTATAGACCATGATGTGAGTCAACTCTGGAGATGCCCCCCCCCCTCACACACAAACAATAGCATTTTGAATCAAGTGTGTACATGCCACCCCTCCCAATAAACTTTAGCAACATTTCAAAGATAAAAGACTGATGTTGATATAATTCAGTACAAAGATGAAAAATGGAATTTTTTGCAAGGGTTAATATAGTATGGTAATTACATAGAGATACATGTATGTGATGGCTTGATAGCATATACTTTGATCAGCATTAGTCAAGTTTTGAAATCACTTTATCCCGCAGCAATTTTTTTTACCAAGCGCTGGTACGGGACAGTGGGTTTGAAAACCTGACTGTCCCGTAGCTCAGTGCTACAAAGTGCTCATACGGGATAAAGGTGTTTGACTTCGTGAATATCCCGCGAGCCCTATAAAATTACGTGACAGTGTAACTTCGATTCATCATATCCCGATCTGTGAAAAACATTTGTCGGGGTCGGGACTAATAATCAGATCTGTTTTGCGCAGAACCATAACTTAGAGTATGTGTGTTAGATTTTCTTTATTAAGAATTAAGCATTGTTAGAACAGAATTAATAAAATGAAAAATTACCTGATGACACCATATTAATAGACTAGATGCGAGTAGAAATAATCTTGATTTACGTCATTAAATATTCAAAATTCAGTCAAAGTGATGTCATATTTGAAATCTGCATGTAAAAGTTCATTTAGAAATATGGTTTCGAAAATTGTCTATCAACTTTGAAAATTTAATTTTTTTTGAAAATGTGTCTTCTTGTTCGGGTTGATTTCCCATAGACCCCATGTTACAAAATCAAAAAAAGTGAATTATCTTTTCTTGTATTGGACAGATAACATTTTCTTTTACTGGACATATTTTAATTTGCATAACTATTAGATACATAAGGGTTATATGAAAATTGAACCACGCAAATAGATGTTATTTAAGTTAAAGGGAACTTTCTACTATACCCGCCATGCTATCTGACCCGAACGAGCCACCTGGTGGGGAATCTGGTAACTACCTACTCGCATCTGCGTTATTGCGTGAAGGATCAGGAGAAAATACTTCAAATAATCCATTTTCATTTTTCTGCGTTTATGTTGTCCCACTGAAAATGTGAATAAGACGAAAGATCGAAATTGCATCTTATCCCGTGCACAAACTAACTACTATCATTCATATGTGCACATTCCGATTTGATTGAGTGGCAGGCTCGCAGTTTCTTACCAATTCAATCCTTACCTTAAATAATTACATAACACATATATCAATATATCCCTTTCCTATTCGCTTCATTTTATTTAGAAAATGGCAAAATTAAGATAGTACGCCTATGGAACTTTCCCAAAGTATTCTTTTATAAGAGGGCAAACGGTATTAAGCAATTGCTATTTAATAAGTTTGATTACGCATATCACACATGTCATTGTTGCAGAAAAGATTGATTGTTACATGGCTTACAAGGAATTGTCAAAAGATATGTTGTCGATACTATTGGACTTGGTGTTTGAAACGAATGAACAAACAATTGTACATAATTTCTTGCAATAAAAAGCAGCTCAATATATCTTTTATATTTTTAATCGATCAGCATTATCTTACTGTTTTTCACCACAAAGTTTATATAATAGTTGTGACGAAGAGACTTTCGTTGGTGATACGAGGCCCGATCAGAAAGTAAGTAACCAACTGCTATCATTTTTTCATACTTTATTCAATCACAATGAAGGGACCGCAAGTTATTTGTAGAATGAATCGGGGAAGTTTTTTCATGCATTTCGCTTGTGTTTTTCCTCTAAAAAACGTCAATACACTTTAAAACATTTTATTGACTATAAGATTACACCATAAAGTCCCAAAAAATATTTCTCATTTTCAAGAATTATCTATGGATTAACACCCAGGTATTTTTATTTTTAAACTTCAAAGGGCTGGGAATCATTGATAAGGATCACTTTGAATAATATTAACGCATGTATAATATTTACACATGTAAACACACCAATTCTGGTGGATAAAATAAACATGAATAAATAAACGCAGTTTTTAATAGGTTTAATTTATGCCAATAATTTCTCAAATTGTGTAAATGGTACCCAATCCTTAATCCCTAAAATTTACTCTTTGAGGAATTTCCCATAGTCATCCAATGGTACTTGTTCCAAGCAGATTTTGAGATAAAGTTAATCATTAATACACAGACCTCATTGGGTTGTGATATAAACCAAAACAATAGCCTACATTAAGGTGTGTATTAATGATTAACTTTCCTGTTAACTAAAAATCTGCTTGGAACTATACCATTGGATGACTATGGGAAATTCCTTTAAGAGAAAACTTTAGGGATTAAAGGCCCACTATACTTAATTTAGAAGAAAAAATCATTGAAGCATGTTACTCACCACACACTCGCTCAAATATGACGCAAGGTTTGATTTTCACATACAAAAAAGCATTTGAAGTTCAGAGATCATTAGACAATAGACATGTATTGCACGTGTTGTGCATGTTTTAAATTACTGTTGATTTAAAAGATGGCGACACTTCTATAAGAATGAATGTATCATGTAATACAAACAACTTTTCCATCTTTCAATGACATTGATAAAAACTTGATGTTTAAAGCTTGACAGATCGAAAATATTTTTTGATAATTTATTTATTGTAAGCTTTGATGTGTTCCGTTTGAGCTGTTGTTGGTATCAAATGAAAGATAAGTTTCTTATCAATACATTGGACATAATATGAAATTCAAATGTAAGTCTTTATTTTCCCCAAAAACGTTGAAATACGCAAAGTGGGCCTTTAAGGAATGGTTACCATTTACACGATTTGAGAAATTATTGGCATACACGAGACCTATTAAAAACAGCATTAATATTATTCAAAAGTGACCGTAATCAATGATTCCCAGCCCTCTGAAGTTTGAAATATAAAAATACCCGGGTGTTAATCCATTGATAACCCCTGAAAATAAGAAATATTTTATTTGGGATTATATGGTGCGATCTTATAGTCAATAAAATGTTTTGTGTATTGAAAGTGTATTGATGTTTTTAGATGAAAAACACAAGCGAAATGCAAGAAAAACACTCCCCCTATTCATTCTACAAACAACTCGCGGTACTTTCCACACTTTTCTACTGATCCTTCACGCAAATAATATGGTGTCATCGGGTAATTTTTCACAAAATGGTGTAGAAAATATTAATTAACCTATTAAACAAGACCAAAAAATGGGTAAGCGTCAATTCCATTGTTATGGCTAATGCTATGGTGACGATTGTTTTGGATAAGCGGGCCACCCTTTTGTAAGCGGCTTTGGAAGATGATTTCTAGAGCTGTATACCTCCATATGACCTTACATTTTCATGCAAGACTGCATAATATGTTTTATCTATTATCACTATGGATGGGAGCTACGTTCAATTGTCTCATTAATGAGCCATCAACACAAAAAGGTCAAGAGCATATGTTTCATAATGATGGTCACGGAGATGGTTTTGTCACAATTTCAATCCAGTCAAATGTGGTTGAAGGGCGAGTTTATTGGCATGGCGACAATGCTCCACCCTATAGAGCACATCTTTAAGGACAGAATAAAACGTTGCCTTAACCGCATTGACTTTGGTGGCGATTATATTGAAGGACTATGAGTTAAAATGAAGTCTTACATGTGAATTTGATATATTTGGAGGTATTAAAGTATGTAAAAACTCTACAAATGCCACTTATAAAAGAGTGTCCCACCTAACAAAAGCAATCGTCACCATAGCAACAGCCATAGCCATGGAATTAACGCTAACCCATTGCCTTTGGTCTTGTTGAATTGTTCAATATTTTCTACAGCATCTGTAAAAATTTCAATGTGATTGAATAAGCTATGGAAAAAGAAGAGCAGTTGGTTACTCACTCTCTGATCGGGCCACGTGTATGTGCACTTATAGTAATTTTGATGCAAATGCTGTTTGTCAAACGAGATTCAAGAAAATATTCACTAAGGTCCAGCAAAGAGAAATACCGAGCCAATTGCTCTATATGATTTGCTTTGTTGGTGTCACAACATTTCTTGCCGGTGTCATTGTAGGTTTTACTAAACCATCAGCATCTTCTTGAGGTATATAGCGTCTGCATTTTCTGACCACTTTAACGACTACAGCAATCAGAACAATAGAACCAACCAGAGACAGAATCGTAATCGGGATCAGCATTCCAAGTACAGCATTTGTCTTTTTCTGAAAAAGATGCAAATTAAGTGTTTTAGAAAATTAAGTATGTGCGACCACTGTTTTTATCTGAGCCAAATAACATAGGGTTAAAAAATACAAGATGCAAATTTTCCTGTCATTGTATTACTAAAGTTGTTAAAAAGTTGTGAAAATGTCTATGATGTTTATCCCTTACATTATTTCTCTGTCTGGCAGCTGTGAGGTCTTGGTTTTCAGTTATATTAACTGACTTAACAACTGGAGTTGAAGACGGACTTGCAGTCGTTACAAAGCCTTGAACTGGTGGGGCGACAACAACGCCTTGAACTGGTGGGGCGACTACAACGCCTTGGGATGGTGGGATGATTACAAAGCCCTGGGGTGGCTCGGTGGTTATTGATGTGTCAGATAATGTCTCAGTTGAAATGGAATTTTCTGTCGTTGTGGTTGAACGTTCTGTCGTCGTGCTTAGACTTTCTGTCGTCGTGCTTGGACTTTCTGTCGTTGTGCTTAAACTTTCTGTCCTCGTGCTTAGACTTTCTGTCCTTGTGCTTAGACTTTCTGTCCTTGTGCTTAGACTTTCTGTCCTTGTGCTTAGACTTTCTGTTATTGTGATCGAACTTTCTGTCGTTGTGCTTGAAAGTTCTGTTGTGCTATTATATTCAGTAGTTGACTGACTATCTGTAGTTGTTTCTTCATAAAATCCACAGTCTTCATCGACTCTTCCATCCTTGTCGTCATCTAAAATATACGACTTCATATAAAAGATCTATAAGGAGACCGTATAACAACCATTAACAAGGCATTAACATGCAAAATGTCAATACCTGCCATTTGTTACAGACGCCGCATGCCGAACACCAACCTCCGAACACCATTCGCCGAACACCGTCAACAAAAGGTTGGAGACTATAACAATATGACACCACTTATGGTGGTGACATAAAAACTGTGTTGATGATTATTGTTTATAGTATGCAAGTCTTCATTAGCTGCTGCATTGTAAAGCAGGATTGTATCCGAGGAATATTTTGCTTCTTTGTAAAAGCATTGTGTTGTACCTGTTGCAGAGGGTCCGCAGGTTTCTTCATCTATAAGGCCATCACAGTCATTATCAACACCATCTATTATACTACCATTACTTCTAGGGCACTAAAGTATAGACAATCGTTAAATTCAGAAATGGCAATGTTTTGAAGTTTTCCAATCGAGACTTTAAGCAATGCATATAAAATCGAACGGTAAATCTGCGCGTATAAATCGCCTTATACAAATGCATGTAGTTTTCTCACATAAAAACAATCGTTCGGTTACAGTGTTTACTATTAGTCCGTTACTTCTGAAGTAGACTAAGTAGCGCCTGTTTTGTATGCGCGCTATATACATTACTGTATTGATTCATTGGCTTTGCGTACATGGTTACGTTGTGAAAAACCTAAACTCTCTATTATCTTATCTAAATCTTACCTCATTTATTTTTGTCAATCTCATTCCAGTGGGGAGTCCATAGGATTCAAGCTTAGCCTTTCCGTATAGATAAGCCCCAAATGACGCATTTGGGTTGGAATGTTCAATATGATGCGAGCCCTCCTCTATACCGAAATACGTCCCTACGTAATCAGCTAAGCCTGGGAAGGTATGCCAAGTTGCCTCTTGATTTACGCGTGTACTGTCACCATCTAAGACTAACCCGTCTTTATATTTATCCTCAATAACCAGTAAAACGTAATTCAAATATGAGCCAAGGGAATATTTCGGAGTGGTGAATGTGTATTTCGAGTTGAATTGTTCTAGCCAAGGCACTATTGTCATTGAAGGGTCACCCTCGGACTCCGAACTGTCCTGTGTAATGGACAGCATAACCATCATGGCTGGCTTGTCAGCTTGGATTGTGCTGTATTGTTCTGCTGGAAGGCGAACCTATATGTAAAAGACAAAATTGTCGATGACCTGAATTTACCATGGATGATTAGATTATGGCGGGCAAACTTGTCTGCCGAGACAAAATGTTCGGTGTTGCTGTTGATTTATCATAGACGATTAGATGCAGAAAAGCGGACAATCCCATTGCCAACTTTTACCAAGGGGGGGGGGGGGGTCTTTTTCCAGCCAGGAGGGGGGGGGGACTTCCGCTCTCCCAGCTCCCCCTGGCTACGGGTCTGAAGACCGTCGGAGATGTTTGGCGGGATCTGGTGTTGCTGTTTCCTATGTCAACCTGATCAAATCAATTACAATTACTGAAAAACAACCATTCTCATTAATATACTTTGTATCAAAGTAAGTGATATTGTTTTACTCACCTGTATATATCCCCCACTCTAATAAATAAATACTATGTATTACAGGCCCGTAGCCAGGGGGGCTCGCCCCCAGATATCTCCTTAAATAATGTAGACCTACCTTTTTTGCTTTCTTGAAGAATTTTCTGACATTTCAAGGTAGAAGGTAACATTTGGTGACATATGTACGGTGTATTTTGATGTGATTGCCACTTTCTTTTAATAAAATTCTAAATTGACTATCTAGCAAGGCAACTTAATGATTCGGAAATAAATCATATATTTTGATCCTTTAATCGGTCGATATATCAATACATAAATCATATATTTTGATCCTCGAATTGCCCAAAACGCACTAAATCAGCCCAAAAATCTTAACTTTTTAGGGAAGCATGCCCCTGATTTTTTAATAAATCATATATTTTGATCCTAGAATCGCTCAGAACGTGTCAAAAAGCCTAAAAATTCGATTTTGAAAATACGTAAATCCGATATATTTTGATCCCTAGAACGATCAGAACGCATCAGAATCGCCCAGAATGCGGTAAAAAAAGCCTAAAAAAATCAGTTTTTTTTAAATACGCAAATCATATATTTTGATCCTAGAATCGTTTAGAATGCACCAAAATTGCACAGAATGCGCCAAATAAGCCTAAAAATTCAATTTTTTGAAATACGTAAACCATATATTTTGATCCTTGAATCGCTCAGAATGCACTAAATCAGCCCAAAACTCCTAAATTTTCCAGGGAGCATGCCCTCTGGCTACATCACTCACAAGCTATTATTTCCAGGCCATGATGATTTGGCTCGAATTTTGTTCCGTCTAAATCATCTAACTAGTCTTTTAACAACATGAGGGAATTACTGGAGATTTTTTCAAAATTTGTGCCCCAATTTTCTTCCGAGCAAGCGCGGAAATTTTGGGTCTCCTCTCTTGTTTCCGTGGCCACCGCTGGTGCCTTTTTAATAACACCCTTGTGATCACAATGCGAAGTTGGTTAAGCATGAAAACATTTGTGTGTGGATGGGGGGGGGGGGGGTTCGAGCCCCCCTAACCAAAACCTGGCTACGGGCATGTATTATGTATCAACGTCAGTAATATAGTTTAAGTCACCTCCCCCCACTCTAATAGATAAATAATATACTATGTATTAACATCAGTAATATTGTTTTACTCACCTGCAGATATCCCCCACTCTCATCGATATACTGTGTATCAAAGCCAGTTATGTTTACAGCAGTGTTGGCCTGACTTGCTACAATCTTCACCATGTCACCTAAAAGTCGCCCGGGAGTAGGTACTGTGACGAAGGTGTTCCCCCAGACATCCACAGGGGGTAGCTGGGAAACTAAGTGGTCCTGTGAACTCTTTATCGTAGAGACACCATTTGGTGCAACCTTAGTTTTTTTGTTACCACTGAATACTGATATTGGATTATTGGATAATATCCGAGTGCCAGTGAGGTCGTCAGTGGTACTGTGCATTTGAAACGTTTCATATTCATCTAGATTAACAGTGAGCGTGTCACCACCAAAGTATACATCATTGTCATATGTAACATGGCCTGTAAGTGAGTATTTCAATTTAAAATAAACCTGGGTGTTGTTATACACAGCCGCAATTCCAATCTCCGTTTGCATTGTAGGAGGGTAGTATGTTACAGCAAAATAGTCAGTGCCCAATACGTCAATGGGTAAACCAAGGAAACCGTCTGTGGAGTATTTCTCCTTATTGAAGCCATACACAGCAACCTCAGCACTCGCCTGGTTAGCATGCAAAAATATTATTCATAAAATTGTAAGAATTTAAATACGGATTGGATTGGGTGTGTAAAAGGTGGATTGGATTTTTTAAGAATCGTTTCTTCTAAAGGTTGTTGGTGCGGTGGGCACACCATTGTTTTATTCAGTGTACATACAAGGACATTAGTGAATATTTCACTCCCCGGAAATCGAGGGGTCGTGGGTTCGATCCCCATTGGGGTGATTTCATCATAATCTAGAATGGTTTGCTAAAACAAGATGATAATATTTTGTGCCATATTGTTGAGTTCTTATTGACAAGGAAGTGATTTAAAAATGCAAGAGAATGAAGAAACCCAGAATATTCAGCACGGTGCCCAAGTGTTATAACAGTGGAGATAAATACGGACGTGTTATTTCACACGATTTGGACTTGTTTTTAAGAAAACTTGAGAGGTAGGCTGATTTGGTTTTGAAATTGCTGTCACTTGACTTTATGTAAATGTATGTAATTTGTATTGCTTACCATACTCTATATCCTAACTTCAGGTACCTACAAACGCTTTAATAGAGATTTTACATTTTGGCATGCCAACTCGTGATACCTTGGTGAACTAAGGTGAACTAAGGTCATGTGATCATTTATATCCAATAAGAATGCATTTCTGCCACATAGTGATAGCATAGTGATCCAAAGCTAAACCAAGGTGTAGGAAGGGTTTATATTATCATATAGAAGGGGTGCACTCTTCTGATTCGCCATGGTTGACATGCATGTTTGCAAACTTAGTACTGGTATCCTAACAAAATAAATTCATACGACACTGATGCCTGCATCACATTTGCTCCGTTTGTTCAAAATTGTTTTCAATTTTGAACAAAATACTCAATCGGCAGGGCGCCATAGTGAAAATCGGAGCAATCGACATTACTTGTACACAGTGCATACCAATAGCCCATTTTCAGTATAGCAATTTTTAAAAATGGTTTACACATTTTATAAAGAAGGGTTTCGAAAATGCTCCATCATGGAATACCATGACCCTCTCTTCTTGCATCATAGACACAGACATGTTTTTATAGATGCGATGTGTATCAGAATGAAAATGCTCTGGCTTTCTTCCTATATAACTTGGCGGGAGCATGCAAAGTACTTTCTTGATCACTAAAAATAAATGCCACTGTCACAGGAACTCTCCATTTAATGTAAATCCATTGAATATTAATCCGCATGCTTAAAGTTAAGTATGTTACGAAGATCAGATTCTTTAAAACACTTTATACAAATCTATATTGATATTCAAAATCTAAGTAAACCTTTTATTTTGAAGACCCAACCATCTATTATATTACTCAGATTGGATTAATCAATATTCTCATAGTCTCTCTAGTTTATATGATTGTTCAGTATGTATAGATCAAACATCTCAAACGTTGAACTCATATTTTCTCCATTCTTTAGGGTGTATAAACTAACAGTTTGTACTTTCTCCAGTGTGGGTTAAGGAAGTAGTTATCAGAAATTTATACAAAACGGGAAATGAAAAAACACGTGGATATTCGATTTTTAAAAAATGAATAGAGTTCTGTTTTGCCATCAATCAGTTTCACTACTCTCACATATCATTTACATGACCATGATCACAATGGTCATGCTCAGAATGACTCTATACATCATGTGATACTTTTGGGCCCTCTGAAGTTGTGACTGAAAAATGCTTAAGAGTTTACCTTTGGAAATGTTACTGAACAGAATGTTCTGAATTTTCAGAAAATATGTCCAATATATTGCTCTAAATCGTAGGAGCTTTGAAAAATTGTGATCATAAAAAGAAAATGGATTGCTTTCTAAATCAGTTTCTCATTTTTTCTATTTCTAGGAATGAATTCAAATTTTCAAAGCTCCTATCATTTCAAATAATATATTTGGCACACTTTCTGAAAAATGCAATAGATTCTGTCTGGTGACCTTTCCAAATGTCCAACTTTTAACTGTTTTTTTAGTAACATTTTCTGAGTCATACTCCTGTGTATATACTTCTCCAGTATGTATGAACCGAAACTAGGTCCATTTCCCATGTGCCTAAACCAATATTTTATTTTTTTATTCACCAATGTTTCAGTATCAATATATTGTACTTTTTTCTGTGTGTATGAACTGCTATTTATATTTTCCAGTGTATATATGAAACAATACTTTTTAACTGTGTATTGACAAATATCATGTTCTTTCTCCAGTGTGTATGAGCAAATATTATGTACTTACACCAGTTATTTAACCAATACTCTGTACGTTCTCCACTTTCTATGACCACATTTTATGTACTTTCTCCTGCATGTATGAACAAATAGTGTGTGTCCATTCTCCAATATGTATAAGCAAAGCATTTGTACTTTCTCCATTGTGCATGAACCAAAACTTTGTTGATTCTCTTCCCTGTCTCAACAAATATTTTGTTAATTAATCAATGTATCAGAACGAATAAAATGTACCTAAACCAGTGTGTATGAACAAATTTTATGTAATACTATATCTATAGTGTGTATGAAGAGACAATACGTTCTATCTCCAGTATGAACATGTATACATGTATGAACCAACACGCCTGTGTATATACTTTCTCCAGTATGTATGAACAAATACTATGTACATGTACCCCATTGTTTATGAACATACATTTTGTATCAACAAATAATATGTACTTTCTCCAGTGTGTATGAACGCAATAGTTGTACGTTCTCCAGTTTGTATGAACAAATAGTTTGTTTATTCATCAATGTGCATGCATGAACCAACACATTTTAATTTGTATTTGGAACCCAACGGTTAATTATAAGTACCGTATTTCCAAGTAAGATTTATTTTTAGAAATGTGCCTGTTTGTGTAATTACGGTCAATAAACCAACTATAAATGTCTGCAAAAATAGAAAAATCCATTGTGATTTTTTTGGGCGTTTTGGTAAAGCCTTTGGTTTGTAATGGGAAGACTGTCTTTATCACTAGAACTGTTCTGCATAGGGTCTTTTGCACATTGATAAGTTATATACTAGTACATTTACTACATAGGTTTGCAATGTCTAGGTTTTATTCAAGTAACTGGCTACACTGAGTGTGTATTCAAATGTTGTGCTTATAAAATGTAAAGACTCCTATACTACCTTACGAATGAAAATAAACTCTTCTAAAAGTGATGGGACCTTAGTGCACCCATGCCATCGTAAGGACCTTAGGTTGGCATGCCAAAATGTAAAATCTCTATTTGCACGAATCGTATGCTATGGTCTTGTTATATGGGAAAGTGAGCGATTCTGCCAGTGTTACACATATTTTTGCCTGAAAATCACTAGCCTGCCTTGTATTCAATGAATACATCGATTCATAAGGAAAGTACTCACAATATGTGCGAATATCACAGGTTAAATAAGCTTTAATAAGTGATTGATAAGCAATTGATCGAATAACTTTTTAAGATTAAACTATTTGGAAGTGTCCAACATATCCCTTCTCCATCGTTTACTCCACTTTTTATATTTACGGTCATTTATGGCAAATTCAAGATAAAGATAGTTCAAATATAAACACGATCTTTAGAGAATGAATATTATTCCACGTTGTAGAATGGATTGTTTGTTTAAACTTAATCAAATAACACTAAATGCAGATTTAGTACATATTTCTGGCATTTTTTTGTATATAATTGCGATAACTATGAACGGAATGATCCCCAAAATAGATCCGTGGATATGAAGAAGAACATCTTAGGTAGAAGTCATGTTATGTTAGTTTGTAAAACATATACCCTTTTGCGCCATTCTAACGAATGTCGTATCCCATATTCTTACAAAATAAGTCCACATCGTGTGAAAAAACACGTCCGGAACAATCTCCACTGTTAAGACTTGAGCACCGTGTTCAGGTTAACCTCGTACAAAGTGCCTAACTATTTGTGAATAAGAGATGGTCGATCAATGTTAGTAGGGGGTTATATTAAAGGGTTCCGAAAGACGATGATTAATCCATCAATCATAAAAGGAATTGCAAATATCTGAATAACTATGTATTCTCTTTGCTGATTTATCATTTACACAGGCAATGTGTGTCCAATTTCAGCAAATCAGAACGCGTGATTTTATATAAATGGATTGCATCATATAATCAATAACCCAACCAAATTCTAGTGAAATTTGATCAAACCGATTGAATATAACTAATAATCAATCCAATTGAGTAAAATTCAAACATGACCGTGCTCTATTCGAATTTCTCAACCAATCAGAATGCAGCATAGCCAATATAGAACGTTCTCTAATCCTCCATAGATGCACGACCATGCTCTATTCAATCTGCAATTTGCATTGTTTTGAGTGACGTCACATCTCAGCTGCACATCTGGGGCTCTGTCCGGGGATAGCTGTTCTTTTTACTCCCTCCATAACTACTGTAACTATTTTATCAACACCCCATGTTTACATACACCGTATAAAATCTAAAACGGGGAGTAAAATAGAACAGCCCAAACAAATTCTAAAATTTTTCCGGCCGACTTCAGAATCTTGACAGCATGCGTATTCTTCCTTCATGCCCGTTCCAAAGACACGGCTTTTACTAATTTTTATGTTTGACTCGGGATAAATAATGATAGGCCATTCAATATGGTGAAATTCAGCACTCGTTGGACAGAATGTTAGTACAAATGCACTCACCTTCGGTTCGTGCTTTGTACAACATTCTGTCCAACTCGTGCTGAATTTCACCATATTGAATGGCCTATCATTATTTATTCCTTAAATATATGAATAGTATCATAGCATCTTTCTGTTTAACCTGAAACATCTCAGGGCTGAGAAGAAATGAGATGTCATGGTTTATCATGGTGGTATCATAGCTATAGGGAATAACAATCAAAGTGCTTATGCAGGTCAAATGGTAAGTGTTGAATGGTTGTCAAGGTGACAAGTTAACTCAATGAATCATGGTTGATTCATACCTATAAATCGATGTTTCATAAATCTAGCACTCATCCCGTGCAAAGTTTGAATCAACACCCTCGAGGAATGATCAGTGCTTAAATCAATGATATAAGGCATTGAAAATACCTGAATAAGAATTCCTTTTGCTGACTTCTCCGTTCCAACCATACGTAAATCACGTGAGAATTTAACCAGTTCGACCTCACCAGCGGTGATGTTAAAACTTTGGTCAACCTTCGGGTTGTTCCATTTAGGGCTAGATATGTGAACAGATACGTTGTGTGATTCGTAGGTTGTGATAAATACTTCAATCTCAAATGGAGTTTTCGACGGCTTGAAATAATTCTCCGTGAACATCAGTACAAATTCAGTTCCAAGGTTGTCAACGTCACCTGCAATTAGTTCGACTTTGAACGTCGGTTTAAAAGGAAGAATTAACTTATTGGTGACTTATATAATTTCAGCATATATTTCACCACGAGTACTTTCTTACAACAAAAACGATGTTTTTCATCAAAATATCTCCTCACAAATTTTTCAAAACGTTGTGCTTTTTCTTTTTGCATGAACAGATTATACGACAATTAATACCCCAGTCACATTTGTCGTACGGCGGCCGTAAGTCGACCGCAGGTCAATTAAATCAGTGAATTTCTGCGGCTAGCGTAAGAAAACTACTGTCGCCTTGCGGTCTCCGTACGGCGTATCCAGTTTTTTACAGACCGCAGGGTAGTCGAAGAAACTATAACTCGGAGTTAAAATAAAATATTTGTTCATTTCTGCGGTCCCCGTAGAAATCAACAGGCCATTGCCAGATTGCAGAACGGTCACATGGTGGACGTACGCCGGGGTTACGTTGACTTGCGTCTGCCGTTTTGTTTTGATGGGTTATGTTATCACTTAACACTTTGTTATTTGACATGTTTGATGTATATCCTAGCACTATAAATATTATTTATAAATTGTATTGATTTAAATTAAATAGAAAAAAACGTTTCAAGAGAAATTCAAAATTCGACATGCAGCTGCCGTAGGAAATGTGACTGCAAAAGAATCCGAACGCAGAAATTCTACGGCGAGCGTAGAAATGTTACTGACCTCAGAAATGATAAACCGCACGATCGCCGTAAGAAATGTGACTTGGGTGTTAGATATCAAAATCTAGTGACCAAAATTAGACTGAAACTGAACTGTTCAACCGAATGAGTCTACAAGATGCTGATTAGATACAGTATGCTACGTTATCAAGAGTAGGGTATGACCAAGATTAAAGGTATACAAAATATACATGTAGATAAAATGAAAAATTACCTGATGACACCATATTATTTGAAAGAAGGATCAGTAGAAAATACTTCAAATTATCCATTTTCATTTTTCTGCGTTTATGTTGTCCCACTGAAAATGTGAATACCAAATAAGACGAAAGATCGAAATTGCATCTTATCCGTGCACAAACTAACTACAATTATACAAACGTGCACATTCCGAATTGATTGAGTGGTAGACTCGCTGGGATCCTAAAATGATTAAGCTTACATAACACAAATATCAATATATCCCTTTTCTATTCTCTGTATCTTATTTGTAGAATAGCCTATATTATATTATTAATAACCTATATCTGTGGAACTTTTGCAAAGTATTCTTTTATAAGAGGGTAGACGGAATAATTAGCAACTGAATATGTTTGATTACGTATATCACACATGCCATTGTTGCAGAAAAGATTGATTGTTAAATGACTTACAAAGAATTGTCAAAAGATATATGGTCGATTGTTGACAAGGAAATAGCAAGTTTTGAAGTCAATGCTGTTGAACTCGGTGGAAATTAAGTGCCACAGTCATGAATTTAAGAAATTTTCAGTGTCAAACATGTATACCCCTTGCAAGTGATCTTATCCGTGGGGGTGGAGGAGTAATATGTCATGATAAGTCATGGTAAGAGATGTTACTTGACCTTATGTCCTGTAATTCCTTTCTCCATTTTTCCCTCTTCAGAGATGTAACATCCAGTTTTTACGGAGTTAATTTTTTCAAATTCCAGAATTCGTGTAAAGGTGGGAAAGTATCGCAACAGATTTCGGAGTCATATGTTGAATTTTGGCTATTTTCTGAGGATTTAAACAGGTGCATATGTTAAACCAATGCATTACATCCATCTGATCATATCTTTGTTTTTTTCAAAGAAATACTGGAGTAGTTCTAGAAAGGAACGTTAAGTAGAAGCCTGATTTCTCTTGATTAAGATTTGCACTTTGCAAATCAAACCAATGAGGAATGGCAGCCATGATTCAAAGCCGATCTTCTATTGCCGTTATGGAATTATTTGTAGTAATATTGTTCATCTTCGGACCAAGTATTTAGTCTGAAAATCAACATTACCTGATAAACCAGTATTATGCTAATATTCAAACCCATATAGCAGTAACAGGCTTGGCTGCACGGGTAATAGTGTTACCGAATTGGTCCATGCCTATTAACGGAGGATCAGGTTTGAATGATGGCTGCCAATCTTCCTTGTAGCTAGTGAGATAAACTAATTCTGTCTTAATAAGGCTCCCATGATTTCAGTGTGTTTTGTTTATTGCTCTTCAATGGAAGCGTTTCAGGGACACATCCAGTGTATAGATACAACTGCAAATCTTACATCACAAGCTACACAGTAAATTTCAGAATGCGCTTTGAAACTTTTCCCAGTATTTTAAAAAATATGCTATAAGGATGAATTACCGACATTCAAAACTCAAGGGGGACTATGCTTCTTTCAGAAATATTATACAGTATCGTATATTTCTCAAAGACAGTTGTTTCTCAATCTCACTAGAATCCACCAATCAATCAGTGCCATCAGTCATTTCATAAAAACCTCTAATAACAATATCAAAATATCTAACAACTCATGATTATTTCACTTTCTTACAATAGTATATTCATTCTCCAGTAGATTCACAAGTAAATTCATTGAATGTCTATTATGTTTTCATCTACTTGGGTCCTGCCCCTGGGGGTCCACCTGTTGGTCCACCAGCCTGTTGTCCGGGCTGTCCTGGTCTGTTCTGGTCCTGGCCACCGGGCTAAAAGTAAACAATCATACAAATTAGATGATTTTTCTTGAAGTGCAAATTTTCTTTTTTAATTCACATCAAAAATCAAAATTGGTCACAACTATGTTGTAATTGTATAGAAAGATACGTCCATTTTAAATACTAGAAACAATTGTTGCGACTTTGTGCAGTGTGTTAGGAAAAAGATTACAGAATATTTCAATGCTCAAACACTTACGACACTTCAATGACAAACTATGACAATTTAAGTTGGCAACCTCACAAGAAGATACATAAAATATGCCCACCTCAGCTAAATGCAAGCACTAAAATCTATCATGGCCCACCATTCACTAATGCATGTAAAAGAGCAGTTTGGTAGTCTTGTAAAAGTAAATCCACATTTGAGCACACAGTCCCTTACTTACCCTCATGCCTGGCCTGAACCTGGGTGGAGGAGTTCTGTCTTTCCTGGCTTCACGGGATCTGTTACGTACAACCTTAGAGTGAATAGCGCAGGATACACAGTAATGAAGTTTAGCATACAGCTTGGGAAGGGCATATACTGAAAAACATATACATATATGAATAAATAAATCAATAGCAGGCAATTAGATTGATCAAGGAATTAAGTCTGCAAACCTATTAAAGCTTAAATTTCAAGATTATTCACAGTTTTAACTCAACCTAAATATTAAAATTTATATTTATAAAGTAGTTGATTTTGTTTCAAGTCCATAAATTATGTGTGTTTGGCTTGTATTGTTTTTTCTTAGTCACCCACACAGCAAAGGTCCACTCAAATAAGTAAAATGATGACACTTCACAAGAAGTTCTTAGTTAATTGGAAATACTTAATAAACATACTTAAATCTAAAGTTTTTAATGACCACATTTACCAATATTGTTTACATGACATCATTTGCTCAAATTCTTAAGTTGGGTTTAGTTGGCTATCCAAGTTCAAACAGTCAATATCCAACCCCGAACCTCAAGAAAATTACCCTTTTGCATTCATTTGGTTTCACTTCTTAGAAGAGGATTTCATCTTCGTTCTTCACTCTTTTGTTCTCTGAACTCGTTGAAACCATCAGAGTTTGTCGTTGAAATACGGACGACTTTCTATATATGGTCATTTCTCTGACATCATCACATCGTAAATGAGCACACATTTAGAATACATTCTTTCCAGCTCGCTGGCTGGTTGAAAAAGGCCAGCACAGGAGGTTTGAAATGATTTATGAACCAGTTGGCATGGGGGTGGGACTGATCCTAGCCAATTCTTGGCTAGAAGTAATTCCATCTGGAACACCGTGAACTATTGTAAAACTTCTAACTGGGGATAAATAAATTTAAGTAATATTCTAAAGACTGTCATATTAATATTTCATGAATTGAAATGGTAACGGATTGTCTTGTTGATGAGATATTGAACGTTTTTCATTTAAAATAGAAGCGGTCCCATTTTTGTCTGTTCTCAATAAGCTTACATATAGATGGCGGCCTAGTCAACAGAAAAATTGTGGAAATCGGAGAAATTCTACTTCACTTTAAGGCGACGCTATATTAAATAATAAGTACAAAAAATGACTGCCATATTTTTTTGATAAAGACACATGTTTTTAACCTTTACCATGCTGCCTTATTTCAGCAAATATATCCCACGCAACTGGCTTATTTTTCAAAGAGTGCAAAAAATGATATGCCTGGACTAAATAATTAATATCTCAATAACTACTGAATGAATCTGGATAAAATTTTCACAAAGGGAAGATACAGTGGCCTGGCTCATGAAAAAAATGTTCTCATGAATTTTTTCGTACATTAACACGACTGGGCATCAATATACCATGAATACTCCTCCGGAATCCGCCGCTCTGCCCCTTTGTCTGGTCAGAATCCAAATATGAATTTGCAGCGATCGAATGTTCAATTTTTCAATTCAGAAAATGTTCTAGTTTCTATTTTCGATGACCGTTATCGGTTTCCAAGAGCCTAAAGAGCTCAAAATCGTAATCCATTTCCTCCACATTTTCGTAGTGATCGTATTTGTCCACCATTTTGTATGATTCGTTCACTAAAAACGACTAAAACACTGTTTAAATTGTTGAATTGAGAATTATTTTTCGAAATATCGCCATTTCTAGGTCAACAGGAAGTCATGTTAGGCACTGAATAAATCGGGCAATCTAATTGGACAATATGAATGGCGCGAAAAAGTAAAGTTTTTAAAAGTTTGAAATCGGGCGTATGGGTCCGCCGGCAGTTGTGAGAGACATTTTAGTCTCGGCGGACTCGTCCGCCGGCAGCACGCTAAAGGTTAAAATCTGTTTACCTTGTATATGAATTGTGTATCTTGACTAATGAAACATGTCAAAGTTAACATCACACATAAACGCATTTTTCCAAACTATGAATTGGAGGTGCATGGATCCCCAAAGCTAGCATGAAGAGTGCGAAGTGAGGCTAATTTTTGAAAGTTTCAAGGAGTAGCCTTGCAACAGTCACACATTTGCAAGAGTCTAAAATTTCCACAAATCATCTTACCTTTCCCAGGAACAACGAAGGAGCATGAAAATGTGCACTTCTTGCATTGTTAGAGTATAATAAACCTGAAACCATTGTAAATTCCAAATATTTCATGTCTACATTTTGTTTGCCGGAACTACTTCTAGACTTCCTGATTAATCCTCATGCAAGTTTTGTGACTACACCAAGTGGCATGGATTATCACTTGTATGTTTTATCTATTACAGTGTAATTATCATGATAGATACATGATAGAGGCTTTATGAATGTGTCTTTATCAAAAAAATATGGCAGTCATTTTTTGTACTTTTTATTTAATATAGCGTCACCTTAAATAAAAAGACTAAATATCATACGAGGTAGACATTTCCATGAACTAGGACCGCATGTACTTATAATTTTAATATTGTTGATTTCTTTCCAGTTTGCACCCAGATGACAGAAGATGATGTCTCGCAGATTCGCTAACTTACCCTCATATACACTGGCCTCGGAGATATCTCTCACAGCGGCAGCTTCAACAATGTTCCTGATGACAAACTTCTTGATGGCTTTGTCCTTGGGAACACATCTGGCACAGTTGGTGCATCTCACAGGGATGACATGACCACGCCCTTTCTTGTTGCGTCCTCCATTACGCCTTTTAGAAGTCTAAAAATACACACAATGCTTCAATTATTCTTTGATTATTGACTAGACTAGGGCTATATTCTATTGAAGCTAAACCTAACCATACACCAGACATCGACATAAAGCAAATGACCATACAATACCAAATAGTGTGCAACATAATACAAGATATTTCTACAAATCAAAAGGATTACCATAGTTGATAAGCCCGTGTAAGAAATCAACGATTTATGCTCAGGAAAACTGATCTGTGATCCGATTCAGAAAAAAACGTGGGAAATGAGGTAAAAAATAAATCTGTTCTAATATCGACATCAAATAATGGAACCTGCAGATTTGGCAAGACGTTACAAGAGAAATGGTAACTAGGGATAATTTTGAACTGTATGTGTGGATATGAACGCTTTCATAGATGAAATAATGATGAAAATCCGAATAAATTTCCATGTGATAAAAATTGCCCACCATCTTGACTGCGTGCGGATGAAAAAGACTGAACAAAATAGTTCCCCATACGACATTGATTGTTGACAGATTCCTTATTTTAATATCAAAAACTATGTTTCAAAAGGGTGCCAGATTAATATAATAAAATATGAATGAAATTCAACATATAAATCTTCTAATATATGGAGAACTAATTTAGAACTATTTTTTAACAGGTGCTTCGCTTTTAATTTGTGCTGCCATCTTTATGTTAAGATAAACTTCCGGGTTATTACTTCCGGTGAAAACATATTACACATTGATTGTATTCTTTTCCTTTATTAGAGATATGGTAAGACAGAGAGAGGAACTTTAACTGATGCCTAACTTTCATTTACACAGTTCTTCTTAGGCAAATATCCATGTTTTCATCGAGCTTCATCTAGGCTACACTCAAGAATAATTCTCATTCAATTTCAATTTGTTTGCCCTACAAGTAGATCTAACCTAGATCTACAACAAGTGTCTGTAATTCTAGCCTGCTGACATGATTGTATTAGCATGGGCTTTCAAGATGCCCATGCTATTGGGCCATCAGTGTGGAATTAAAAGACAGGGGGGGGTGTGCACTGTGCAGACCACCTGGACTTTTGTCGCTACAGGACTGGGGCCGTGAATTGGTACGATCCCCGGGTACGATCCGTAACCGGATCGATCTAGATAAATTTTGTCATGGTAATGGATCTAGAATTTATCCTAGAAGATAAAATTTATTCAGATCGGATTGCAGATCGTACCAATTCATGGCTAGACTATATCCTATTTAGTCTGAATAATATTCAGACTATAAGGCACCTATGTTAAAGTTTGGCAATTCCAAATATTTGTTTACATAGGAAGTGCTATTCAAAATGGCCGATTGGGTAAAATTAATTTGCACATTTTTACTTCAGCTAGCTTTATTTCCACTTGACAATATGCTGTGTTACTTTTTATTGCTTTTAATTGTACCTTACTTTTTAATTGAAATTTTGTAATGTTTATTTTATTGAAGAAATGATTCCTCTAATTGATAATTTTGTGCAAAAAATTTCACTGCAATTTCCACAGGAAAGTAGTACATCATAACAGACTGACTTCTAGTCAGTCTGTTGGATACATACTAAATTCATGGCCCATGAAGAGCCTGTGACCAATAAGCAGATCTGACTTGCGAGGAAATTACAATTCGAATACTCAATAGAAGTTAAATACCCTCTTGAAAGCCCATGCCTAATCATATTATTGTACCTTTTACTTTCAGAACTTATCCATATCATCAAGTTGCATAAACATAGCCAAGGTGAGGTGGTCTTTCTTGTGACACGCACATCACTGCAGTGGATTAGGCTATGGTTCGTTCTAGCATACTATGGCTTTCACCTTCAAACTACAGCTTCTTGTATGACTCGAATCAAGCAAAGCTGGTTAAATTGATAATTATCATGTATAAGGTGTGAAATTCCACCAAAATGACACTGGTTCAACATGAATCTGGATGTGATGTTACTGTTGCTAAAGATGAAGTAACCATCAAGGTTGAATCACAAATAGTAGATGGCAAGAAAGTGATGAAGGTTAGTTTCACATGTAGCTTTAATAGTTATATTTATTGAGCAATACCTATAGGGTGATTTATTAAGGTAAATTATTTAAGAAGACATTGCATATATACACACGTGTCCCCAGTCGACCCAACTGCGATTAAAAATGGAATAAGAATACAAAGATCGAAGATACAAAAATCTCTGAGATAAATGCACAGAACAAATAAATAGATGGTTTGTGTACTAAACCATAAATTATGCATATTGTAACTATATTTATATGGTGTACATTAAAAGTCTATTAACATAGGGTCTGTACTGATCTGTACCCATTCCACTAAGTAACACAATATAACGTCATATATTTTAGAAAAGCTTCATTTGTCAATGTGGAAAGACATTTAATCAGAGATATTTATGGCAGAGACACAATGTACAACATACTGGATCCCGTAACTTCATTTGTGACATCTGCAATAAGGCATTTGGTCTCAGCAGTACATTGAACAGACACAAGGTAAGAGTTGACTCTCATTCAGAGTGTCATAGCCTTGCCCAAGTCGGTATTTTTTTACTTATCTGATCTTGAATAGGTCATAATAGAAATCAAAGTAAAAGAGACCGACTTGGGCAAGGCTACGAGTGTCATAAAACTTACATTTCTTCTCTCTGACAAGTTAAATGAGTTGAAAACTGAAAACATGAGGTGAAGTAATGAAAAAGTGATATTCCCTTTGCATTCATTTCAAGCCAACATATAAACTTACTTTTGCCTTTTGTGAGATAATCGCTGTTGGATACACATGAAGATTGTTTTTATCCTAAGGTGTTGTTATATTTGTGAAGAAATGTATCCAAATCTTGATATCGGCTAGTTGTACAAGAACAAACTTATATGTTTAGTGACTCTAAATGTCATAAAATAACGTAATAAATATCGGAATATAGATCCACTTAACTTCACTTCAGTATGCTACACTACACTACACTATCATTTATCTGTTTTTATAGACATATCTATTGCTTTTCAAGGTGGTCCATGCAGATGAATCTCAACGCAAACACAAATGTCCCACCTGTGACAAAGCATTCCATCTCTCAGGTGTCCTTAGAGACCACATCAAGACTCACACAAGGGACGTGACATTTGATTGTGCTCACTGTGGAAAAAAGTTCCTGAAAAAGACCAATCTTGGCCATCATTTAGATGTGATGCACACAGGTACATATTTGTCTTTTATGGCAGATCTACTACATGTATGTATTTTATAAACTAAGTGACTGGAGGATATAAAGGGCTCCCCAAGAGGAGGCATTGAGGTTGCTAAAGTCACTTTTAAATTCTCAAAATTGTCATTTGTAACATATAAAATTTACTTGTCATATTTTGTCAGTTTTATTCCTTTTTAGTCAGTCAAACAGTTTAATGTAACAAATGGTTTGTTATGTTCCATTGTTTGATTACTGATGAGAATAAGTCACATTTACTTGCATATATTTACATCCATTTTTCTATTTTCAAATTTTCTATTTTTACCCCTCTCACAACGCTTGTCAGTCAAATGAATGTTCAAAATTGTCGCATGTAAGGATACATTTTTATGCAGAAACAAATTTTATGTAATTTTACATAAAACTATTTTTGTCAAAATCAGCCATTCTTTTTAGGATTTTGTGGAAAATATGGCATTATACTTAACTACAGCTTTTATAAAAATAAACAATTTTGAATTAAAATATATTTTGTTTTTTATTCCTCAAAAATATATTTCCCTTGGTTCGTACATTGTAAAATGTCATACTTTCATAGAATGATATAAGATATATAGATATAAGCCATTGTATTTTGCAGAGAAATCCATCAGCTGTGGTAGCTGTCCTAAGAAGTTCCCAACAGAAAGTATATTAAAGGCCCACACCTTACAGTGGCATAGAACACAACAACAGCAGTGCCAATACTGTAACCTACAGGTGAATTCTAAATGGGAACTGTCACAGCATGAACAACATTGTGATGCATTGAGACCCATCAAACGTAAACCTAGTTGCAATACAGTCCATCTGAATAATGGACTGAAAACAATTAAGATTTCTTATCCTAGCTCGAGAAAGAGTAGAAAGGATAAGGAAAGAAAGGAAGGGATAACAGCTAGTGACACAGTTACTTCAGTAACCCATACAGAAGTTGGAGGTAAGGAACAGTCAAGTTTGCCTTCAACTGAAGCATTGCCTCAGCAAAATAAGTCTAGTCAGCCAATTGTTACATTGGATCAAAATGATGAAGGGGTGCAAGGAACAGTTAAGGAACCATCAGATAAAGATAAGACTAGTTCATCAACCACATCAGATAAAGACAAGTCTAGTCCATCAACCACATCAGATAAAGATAAGATTGGTCCATCAACCACGTCAGACAATGACAAGACGAGTCCATCAACCACATCAGATAAAGACAAGACTAGTCCATCAACCACATCAGATAAAGACAAGACTAGTCCATCAACCACATCAGATAAAGATGAGACTAGTCCATCAACAACAGCTCAAGTTTATTCGACTTTAGTTTCCCCTATATCCAGAAGCCAGGCGAACAAAACACAGGAGAAAATATTAAATATGAGCCATGCAGAACCACAAAATATGAACCTGTCAGTTAGTGGTATTCGTTATGTTCCAATTGTTCCAGCTAATAGTGATGTCACTAAGATTGATTCCACGGGTAGGACGCAAGGTGTTCGACCTAACATAAATATGCTTGCAGTTCCTGCTGGAATTAAACCTGGATCCCTTGTAATAGTCCCAGGTACACACCCATTAAATTCAACAAAAAACATATCAACAAAACTGAAGGCGAACCAAGACATGCCTGCAATATCAAAAAAGAAAAGGAAACCGAGCTCCATTATTGATAAAAAACAAAACATTATATCTTCAGCATCCAATAAACTGTCCAAGTCTATTTTACAATCTGATGTGTCAACATCTAAAACGATTATCACAGCTATGTCACCTCATCAAGTAGAAACCGTAAAGAAAACACAAAAGAAAACAGTAACTAAGCCATCATCTTTGAATTTAACTAGTGTGACATTGTCAAAAACAATCATACCATCTTCAAGTGAAACTCAAAAGGACTCCCATGTTGTAATTCCCAAGGATAGCCCCATTGGTATGTGTCTGCATAAGGAAAGTCCAGACACGCCACAACCTTATCTCTCTCAGTATCTTAGCAACTCTGATATATCAAACTTTAACTTAGAGGAGGTTTGCATTATGTCCAGTGAATCTGTTTCAAACCCTGAAGGAGGGGTTGAAATTATAGCTTCCAATGATTTTTCTAATCCTGAGGAGAGGCTGATTGTACCAATTGATGATGTATCTAATGTAGTAATTATACCAATGTCAACTGACAATGTTTATGAAGAACAAGACCTGTCCATAAATGCAGATATCTCTAACCCTACAGAAGAGGTACTCATATTAAATGAGGAGTCAATATTAACTGACAATATTGTAACATCTGAGCATATTGAAATACCTACTGGTGATATATCGAACCACGTAAAAGCTCCTAATGATGATTCCCTTCAGAGCTCAACCATTACTAGTCAAGTTATTTTTAATCCTGTTGAGAGGGAACACATAGAAATTGAAACCATAGCAACCCCAGATTTGCTAGTGGAGCCATCTATGCTAACAAGTACAAAAAGTAACAGAACTGAAATGTCCAATGCTGAACTAAATCCAAAGTCTGAAAGCAAACAAAAGCTAACATTTCAGAAAAAGCAACAGAAAAATATGAAAGAGAAATTATCAATTCAGCCTGTAAAATTAAATGAATACTTTAACTATATGTTGACACAAATAGATCCAGAGAGTAATAAAATCCCATGTGAAGACAATAATGACTCTAATCCTTCATCTACAGGGGTAGGACATATTCAAGGGCAAATGTTTGATCCACTGGAGAATCCACAAGAAACAAACTGCAAAAAGTGAAAATAACACTAATGGGTATTCCAACTTGAATATCTATGTGAGGCCATAAGAAGTAAATTCTTTGTTTTGCATCCCCTTGCTTGCACGATTTTGAGTAAATCAGAAAAAACAAACACATCCAAATAGCAATCACAAGGGCCTGAAAGTACTGTCACATTTCATTCAGTCAGAAAGAGAAATGAGGGACAATTTGATGTGGATCAAAATTGACAGTGTTATTGATTACTTTGGCATATATTGTGCATTTTCTTATTTTGGTTACTAGATATGTGTTTGTAATCATTGCAAATTGGTATGTCATCCCTTTTTATGTCCATAAAATGTATACATTTTTTAAGCAAACAAGTTTGTGTTTTTTCTTGAGTGTGTGTTTGTTTTCCTTGAACCCTTGCATGATTTGGATTTTGCCAGGACGCAAAACAAAACTTCTTATGGCCTAAGCTTATTAAGTAGATGTGTAATACTGTAGCTTACCTCGGAATAATATGGTGCTCCCTTTATCACCAATTTACATCTTCTCAAAAATTTAAAAGATTCGTTTAGCAGTGCATTGAACTGATAAGTTATACTGTACCGTATTGTTTATTGTATTGCATTATAATTAATTGTCTTAAATTGAATAAAGATTATTGTTAAATTGTATGATTATGTTATGATTGAAATGATAGTCATAGACTGAATGATTGATTAGATAGCAGAATTTACAATACAAAGTAGACTTACATAATTCCACAATCTTCACAGTCCATGCAGGGTTCAAACTGAATAAAAATGTCTATCCTGCCTGATAGTCCATGATTTGATCTAAAGTGTCTTACATGACTGGGCATTGTTTGAATGGAAACTGGCCAAGTTTCTCAGCAGCACATTGAAAACCAAACATATTGTTCCATTTTTGTTAGAGATAGATGCAAGGTATAGATTTAATCCATTTTAAATAATATAAACCAGGATGTTAGACAGGACATTATGTTGTGAGTGTAACTATTGTAAGGTTGTGTCATTGTTTTTAGTCTCTTTGTCTGTTGCACTTTTAAATAATATTTTATCATAAGTGTCAAAAAATCTGATTGATCGCTGCATTTTCAAATTTTCCATTACACTCTATGCAAGTGATCTTATCTGTGACACTCAGTTTGTTTACATTCTCCAGAATATAACTGATCATTTCAGGAAATATGGTTACCCTACACAAATGGAGAACATTTTTCACTACAACACCCAGCCTCTAGGGAATCCATTGTACTTTGTATAGAAAACAGGGATTGGGCAAAGGGATGATCTCCAAATGTGAACCAAATGCTGTGTGAAGAGCAAAATTAATTTTGTTAGGTGAAAAGATAAATCATGATTTCTTTTGACAAATGTGAAATATTGATTCTGGCCATAGGAATGAGGAGGGTTAAACTAAAACAAAATCACCAGTTTTTCCACAAATTAATTGATTAAATGGGGGTATAATCATTGTATACAATGGAAAAGAAAAATGTACATGGCATTTCAACTACTGTTTGACATGTTTTTGAAAGGAAAGTACTCCTTATATAAGTAAAGGAGGTTAGGAACTATATAAGATCCTAAAACAAATGCACAGGACTATTTACTAGGCTATATATAAATGTTTTTTTTTTATTTAATATTAAATTTGAACAGTTCAAGATTTTAAAATTACACAGTAGACTACCAGCAGGACCACTCCTAAAACACTCTCCAAATATTCAAAATTACTTTGCTTTCTCTGAAGAAAGACATTTGATATTACATGAATTACAATTGAGGACTAGATATATGAGAAGCAATGAATGTAACATTAAATTCAAATCATACATATCAAATTAATGTTAAATTCTTCACTAGTACTTCCAACAATTTTAAATACATGTGTACACGTGGTACATGCATTATGAAAAAGGACCTCTTCTATGAATAAAATAGCTAGTTGTGAAAACATTTGTTACAAATTCAGAGTTCAGATATCTTGATATATTAAGACATCAGAGGGGCACAATGAAAATGCCATCATATTGTGTCAAAATGTTGACTGTTGTGGAGGAACAACGATTATTATGTTATGATTTAACTTTTACAAAATTTGAAAATGTCGATTTGCTGTCTAGCACTTGATTTCCCAATCTTGAAAGCAACATTTTTCATTAAAGATTTGATTCCCCTCCCGAGATAAACTTTATTCTACCACAACTGTCAACAATTTGACACCGTCACTTAAGCACCTTATTTAGAAGATTTAGAGAGCAAGACATAAAATAAGCATGAATGGGCGGAATGGCAGATTATACACAGGGATACATACATAAGGAGTGTAGCATAAGAACTGGCCCTTTTTTGTGAACACAGTCTAATGAAAAAGCGGACCTGTATACAATTTCATTGTGTATAGGAACTGGTCCATAATTCAATGTTGAACACAAAATCAGGCATTCTTGTGATGCACCCTATTCATTTTTAATATGGTTGTCATGTGAAGTTAGACACCTTTTCAAAACCAATATGGTTTTTGATAGAGCATAATACCAATCAAATGACCACTTTTACTTTTACATCTTAGATGTACCTATTTCTAAACTTCCCTAACAGTCAGCAACATTTTCCAAATTTTTTCCATGTTGGAGCAGAATAGCTGGCCACAACAATTTCAGTTTCAGAATTTTCAAGGAAGTTGCAATTTTTGTGGATTTTTTAAATGATGAAGCAAAATACACCACCATGTACAGCAGCCGAGTCTCCTCAAATTACATGCGCAATATACAGTTCCAATAAACCCAGACACGTTTTGCTAGATCAAGAAAATCCAGAATATATAAACAAGATGTCTGGTATTCAAAAATGGGATACAATTATCTGATACAGATATCACTTATATTACATCATGAGTCAAACTATCCTATCTTATTTCATTTAGTGTAGCAAAGGGTGAAAGGTTTATTGGAAAAGTCTAATCTTCTCAAAAATCTTCTCAAAAAGTTTTTAGGATTTCATCGATCAGAGGTCATGAAAAATTCTTGCAGAGTAAAATTTTCGAGCCAGTGTAAAACAGTGCATTTCTTCAAGCATAATACAATGAAAATTTGTATTTTTTTGTAGAAAACTGGAGTATGTCATCCAAAATCAAATCATCATTTCTACATGAGAAGTTCAAAACATCATTAATCCAGATTCAGTGTAACCATTCAATATATTAATTCTTAATATATTAAAATCTAATTGTTTCCAGTATAGATTGAATCTCCTAGTAACTTGCTTATGTCACCATTCATAAAAAAAGTCTCAATTAGTCTTCTTTCCATATCTGATGATTTTTTGGCATTTTTGTGTAAGCTATATTTTATTCCTTATGAGAATGGGGTCTGTTTCTGACATAATGAGTAAACATAAGTTTAAACAGATCCCATACATTTCATTCCTTGGTAATTCCATTCTTTATATTGAAAGTAGAGGATAACTATTAAGTTATTTTATTCCAGGGTTCAACAACTGCTTCTTACGCACTAAAGATGGCGCTTGGGACTCACACAATTTTCAACTGCCAATGAAAAACACAACTTTATAACAGTTTAAGTAGCTCTCATCAAACTTGATGTCCTATAATTCGTTAATATCCTAGTTTAAATTGTAAAATCCTATATGCAAGTATTCATACTTATGTGTTCATGATAGCACGCCGATCAGATTTAACTTTTTCTAGTCTCTTTTGCAAATGATTATTGGCTGACTGCAATTCTTCTACAGAGTTCTGAGTTTCTCGTAACTGAAAAACAAATTCATTAAATTTTCAATTTGCGGATTTAAATTGTGCAATAGCCTATACCTTTAGTTTGAGATACCAAGAAATCTTCTGACAACTGTACAAAGAATTTACACAATAATTATAACACAGGTCTTAAAAAATTGACTTTTAATCGGTGAATGAACTAGAACATTTCTAGACAGTGCAAATTATGTTCAATGAGAAAAATACATTTCATATCAAACATTACATTTCAGTGAAATCAGACTAACCTCTCTTTGAAGTTTCCTTTTCTCTTGTTTCAGGTCTTCTTCAACCTTTTCAGAGTTCTCTGCAGCGGTTTTGTAGCGTTTTACTTGGCTCTCGAGTCTGATCACACTGCCATCTAGTGTCGTAATCTCCTGTTGAGCCTTCTGGAGTTTGAACTTATAGTCATTGATTTGTCTGTTTGTGTCTTCTGTCAAACAAAAAAACGATCATCAACAATTGGAAATTATTTTCATCATCATCATCATTTAACATACTTGGATAATTGATATTGTAATGCTACACATGGGAAAAATGTGTTGGATGTGGCAGTTTTGCATAATATGAGATTGTTGTAATTTTACACATAGAAAGGTTATTTCATACATTTTTCATGTTACAGTTCAACATATAATGTTAACATATGTAGAAATTTGTAATTTTACACATAGAAAAAGATGTCACTTAGCACATGTTGTTTCAGTTCAACATATACATGTATAATCTTAACATATGTAAAATGTTGTAATTTTACACATAGAAAAAGTTGCCATTTGACTCATGTTGGATGTTTAAGTGTAACAAATAATGCTGTGATTTTAGACATAAAGAAATGTTGTAAAGCCACGGTTACTCACTCTGCATGTCTATCAGAGCAGTTGGATCTGGACCATTAGATTTTTTAACAGGAGAATTATATTTTTCAGTTAATAAATTTCGTTCTTTTTCAGTCTCCAGGTCATCTTTGAGTTTCTTTATCTGAAAAACAAAATGCTCTGTAAAGCAGTGGCATTGTCTAATTGACCTTTTGCGATCAGAATTCAAGTATGTTGTCATGGATTTTATCTTATTGGTATGACATCACATTGAATTAATATTAGACATGATGGAGAGACGAAATGGCGAACGCGTTTTATGCAAACTATGGATTGGATTTTTACCAGGTATGTCGATTTGACTAGATCATGAGTATGACGAAATTCATACTAAACATCGATGCCTATAAGCGCCCCACATTTTTCCAAAATCGGGGGGCACTTAACCGCTATCTAAATCATGTCAGAAAGATCTTAGACTTGGTATGTGCTTGGAATGGATGTTGAACTTCTGAAAATTAAATCAATACAATACGAAATACAGAGGATATGTCTCAAAATCAAACAGTACATCAGTGTGGCCTAATTGTGATGTCACTACAAAATAGAATCCATCCAGTGACCACAAATCATAAATTCTGCAGAATTTTATATACAGGAAGAATCTCCAATAATGACTGGCATTGCTAAGAAACATTCATATTTCCCGATCCCCCGATTACAAAGAAAGCCTCCCCTTCCTTTTGTTGAATATAAATTAATATGTAAAACAATTACGTCTTTCACATAGTTACAATATATTATTGCAATATTTGAGTCAAAAGTACAACACAATTATGCAAAATATTTTTAACAGTTATTAAAAGTCAAGAAGCAATATACTTGAGCTCATTTTTCTCATGAATTTTACCATAAATAGTTTTGCTGCATAGGATTTATTTAAGACATTCCAAAATATTTAAAGTTGATATACCTGTGCTAATAACTGCTTTCTTTCTGTGGCAAAGTTCTTGAGTTTTTCATCTAAAATATTTAAATAATATAATAATTAATAGCATACTAAATAAAAACAAAAATAAACTTGCTGATTTTGAAATCAACTGAATTGTAAAAAATATCACATTGTACTTTGAGGCTCTGCACATTAAAATTACAATACATGAACACTTTGTTTCGTTAAATACATATCCATAACACAAAATCAAAGTTTTGAATCAAAGTTTGGCTCAAACAATCTCCAAAAACATTCTTGTTTTTCAAGATGTTGTTACAAATATCGATTGCTCCATGCCTCGTGTCAGAGAACATAGAATTTTTCAAAATATCGATCTATTTATTGAAGACACATTTCTTTTTCAACAAGCATCACTCCTAGTTCATTTTTGCTCCAAGATTTCAAAAAATAAAAATAATATATATAATGTAACACAAAGTAAACAACCATTCATTCAAATGTTTAAAGTTGCACTGACCAAAATACTATATTAAGGCTATAAATGCAAAAATATGTTTCTCAAATCTTCTGTATTATTAATACATCTTATGCATGTACAAACTAAACCACAACACATGCATATCACACTTAATGTGAAAACAATAAAATTCAACACTGTTTTTATTTCATTGTTCAATATTTACAGTTAATTCTTTCATATCCATATGAGCATTGCAAGCTTATGAACTTTGCCAGCCAATTTTTCAATCAATGCATCAAGGTTTTCAGTCCCAGTTTTCTCTACAAAAACATTCTTGCGGTTATCTTTCATCAAATACAAAAAAAACAGGATTACTAGTGAATTATTACAGCATACGAGGACAAATTAATCTTTAAATCTAAAATAATGCTATTGCAAAGAATCCTGGAACTGACTTTGTAGGAAACTCAGAATTTAAAGTTACTGCCATGCAAAGTGCAGAGACTTACGCTTAGATCCTAAACAAGAATATAAGCAAAGATACAACAGAGCAATATATATAATATTGATTCAAAAGAGCAATATAGTTATTAAGTAAGATATAATATTGCAATAATAGTCATCAACTCATAAAGAAGGATACAACATAGCAAAATACTCATAAAGTTGGATACATTAGAGCACCAATATATACGTAGTTATAAAGTAGGATAGAATAGATCAATGTATAGTCATTAAGTAGGATATAAGAGAGCAATATAGTCATAAAGTAGGCTACAATAGACCAATGAATATAATGTGTGATACAACAGAGCAATATATGAGGATACAACAGAGCATGATAACATTGTGAAGAGCAATGAATGAAGAAGTAATACTAAAGTAATACTAAATATACTGATGGTTATTATGATTATGCAGAAGAGATGAGAAGATACAATACACATTTAGAAAAGCATATTACAAAATGATTGATGTCCCTACAATCACATTAAGAAGTAGTTCAATCTCTAGAATTGCACTAGAATCAATCACACCATCACTCTACACAACATTATTAACAACATCAACATGCAAAATGTCACCACCTGCCATTTGTTACAGATGCTGTATATGTAATTTGTCACAGATGCCGTACACCATCCACAAAAAGTTGGAGACCTCTTACTATCTCGGAGTACTTACATACTTTTCTTTTATTATAAGGGATACAATGAAATCGTGAAATTCCCAAAAATAGGTTCTGAAAAAGGCGAAACCATGAGAAGGAAAAATATTTCACACACCTAATGTTGCTCCACCTAAAGTTGTTCCATCATCAGCATCATTCTCCAGTAGCTGAGCTGCCTCTGGTGTGACTAGGGCTGCTGTGCCAATCTTCGTCTTCTTCCCCTCTCCCTCTCCTTCTTCTATTCCCTCCCCACCAACTAGCACCAGGCCATGCTCCTGAAATAATGCACCAGGTGTTAATATGATGAAGGTATAGCACGTTGCTAATAAATTCTGAATAAAAAATATCCAAAAGGTGGAAAAATAAAAATATTAAAATTCCCTTACATATCATTGGCTCCCATGAGTGCAGTGAATAAAGAATTTTATATTTTAATATAATAATCTGCAATTATCTGGGATTGAACCCATGACCTCTCATTTTTCATATGGCTCAATACTGAGCAATCAGATCATGCATTATATTCATATTAAGCATACCTCTATAAGTTCATCTCTCTGTTTTAACTGCTGCTGAAGGAAGTCAAACTGCCGCTGAAGGTCCTGGAAGTCACGCTTCTGATTCTCATATTGCTAGAAACATACAAACAATATACAATTAATTGTAGACCTCTCTTGAGGTCAACTGGCAAAAGAACATATTGTATACATTAATTAACTTGAGTATTTAAACTGAGGTATTAACAACATAAGTATAAAGTTATTTCTTGACATTACCTGAACATATGTTAGAAAACACCTCAAAGTGGAACATTAATTTGACGTATCAAACATTCTACTACTTCAAAAGATTTTACTGTATTACAAGTACATAGAAAACATACAAACAACATAAATACATAGTCAAGTAGTATTTTCTCTGTACATCAACTACAGTACAGTAAAACATGTTAACATAGGAAGTGGAAACCTCCTTTAGACCTGTTAAGTAAAACACCTCTGATAGTGCAATAATTCCTATTTCGTAGAATACTTCAAAATCATGTTACAGATTAAAGGCAGAATCAGATCTGTAGGGGTGACAAAATTACGAGCAACATGTACCTTTGACCTACCAATCTATTGCTTACAATCTCAAATACAATATCTCCCGAAAGATTCACAATATGTTATAAATTGGTGAAGTTATTAATGATTCAAAGTGCGAAAATGGGTGATAAACGTTAAAATTCTCCCAAATAATAAGAATGGTGACCATTCTTATAGAAAAACAATAATACATTATTGTAGAAATCTTTAGTTTTCCTGAAATTAAGTGTGCACTGGATTTTTAGAAAATAAACATGAAAAGGAATGACATGAGCCAGAAATATTCTAAAATTGAAACAATTTTTTGTTTACCTGCCCGCTAGATCTGATTCTCTCTTTAACTTAATGTAAGATGAACCTCTGTATAATTAAAACACATCCAAAGTGGAACATTATTTTCATGTACCAACTATCAGACTATCAAATGCACTCCATTTATACTTACACATGTTTTTGCTGTTATTTATCAAATACCCGAAAAAGAAGTGAATGTTTAAGTATAAATATTTCTAGACATAGAGAAACATTTCTATGTGTCTCTCTTCCTACAATGGATTCCACAATAATAGTGCCATGTTTCAATAAGAGGCAAGATGACCTCACTAGTTCACTCAACTCTGTCTGTAGTCACATATCAAGCATGATTTATGAAGTTATTCAACCAATGAAATTCCTCAGAGTATAATTATTAAATTCTCTCATTCAAAAAATTGCCTTGGATCTCCTAGCAATAATGGAAAATCAGCACTTTGTCAGCACATACCACAGATTTGCCCATCATTTCAGTTATTAAAACAGAGACTGTCTTACTATCATTACTATCATTCTCATATTTTTCAAGTACTAAGTCATTGCATGTATTTGTTTGATGTGTTAATTGAATAACCTATATTCTGAGAAATTGATGGTACTTTGTTTAAAGGTCATTTATAAGTGAATGACCTGTTTTTATGTCTACTGTTTAAATAATAGATGAAACTGAAACTGATCTGTCAACATACAGTTTACTAGTATTGATATTAGTTTTACTTCCTCAATATGTCTATATCAACACTACAGCATTAAACCAATGAGATGCTGGTTTATGAAATTAAGAACCTCTAATTACTGATATAAAGGTTATTGACTGTCAGATTAGGACTCAATGGTATAACAAGAGTTCAATGACATCAATTACCCGGTCATGTTTACCATTGTTAGGATGTTAACCCTTATAATAGTACGAATGTGTTCATTCACCCCTATTAGCGCGTCAATACAGAGTTCCTTCCCCTCAAATGAAGAATAAACTCTTCCGTCTGTATTTATACTGAACTCGTCCACTTTGGTATGATAAAGGTCAATCTCCTCATGGTCATAATATCTGAATGAACTCACCCAACTCAAACAACAAAGTGAACTCACCCAACTCGAAACAAAGTCAACTCATCCTCCAATTTGATATCGGAGATTAAAAGTTATTTAGACAGATTTTCTTTCATACTAAAATAATTTTGTTCTGGAACTCTTCTGGATGTAACCCGGAACATGTTTTTTCAGAACTTTTACCACCCATGTCAGTTTAATCAAAGTCATAGTGACATATGGATCATGATTTACCCTGGTGTAATACAGATTATGAACCGAAGTTAAAATGTCTTGTTTCTGCTCTAATCATCAGGAAATCAATTTCGACAAGCGAATTTAGTCCTTCATTTTGAAAATTCATATTTTTTTCATTTTCCTTTTAACTTTCTGAATAATTTTATCAGATAGAATGATGGAAAGTATTAATAACATAAGTGTTGATGACTCATATAGATGGCAGCTTACTAGTAGTTAACTAGTTACTAGACTAATAGACATTTCCGATAAATCGTGCCATCTTTTGATCCATCAGAGAAAGCACAATATATTGGCTAGATTGTTGATGTCATAGGTTGTACTTTATAAAATTAGCAAAAATACCATTTTTGAATGGGCAGTTTGCTACCTACAACCAATGGCATCATCAATCTAGCCAATAAGTTATAGTTTCCCTGGTGGATCAAAAGAGGGCACAATTTATCAGAAACGTCTATTGTACATACTCTTGTTCCATTGTTTTATGTGTGGAGTAAAACCTGTTAATCCAAACCACATTGGGACAGGTACTTTCATACTTTTTAAAGAATCATACATTTTTGTTAAATTTCATGAAATTCATCAATTTTGACATCAAATTTTGTCCCAATGTAATGGAGATATAACATTGAAATGTTGCGGAATTTATAGGGAATAGAATCAAGATACAGATTTATTTTCTTTATTGGGATTTCTTTTGTTCCACGCTTAGAAAATAGTCATTCAAACAAATATGGGGGTTAACATATAAACCTATGAGGAAAACCACTGGTCCTTAACTTTTTTTGAGGAGTATATATATCTACACAAAGCATTTCCTGCACACTCAGCCTGGCAAGGGTGGAGAAGAACATCACTTATTTTCACCTATGTAGCATTGATAATGACTCAATAATCTTATTTGAAGTTAGTCTTACTTTGACCATTTGCAACACCCCCCCCCCCTACAAACACAATTCGCCTCATTTCAGAGGGACTTGATCCAAGACTAAATAACCTACCCTATTTTTATCTTTATACTGCCTTTGAAGATCGGTTAGTGTCTCCTCCATCTCTTCTATCTGGTCTTTCAACAGTTCCAGCTGGAATCTTATCGTTTGTTTTTCATTATCTAATTGTGCATTTGTAACTTGCACATTTTTATATTTCATTTCTAAATCTGCTAATTCTTTCTGAAATAGAAGAAACAATATTTTTAAATATTTGAAATTTAACTAGGTCATGTTAGTTTTTTCTTACTCTTTCTCATGAGATAAATGCACATTGTACAAATAATGACATTTCCAGTGCGATTAATAAACAAGGCATTAACACGCAAAATGTCACCACCTGCCATTTGTTAAAGATGCCGAACTAAGAACACCATCCACAAAAAGTTGGACACTGTAACAATATGTCACCACTTGCGGTGATGACATAAAAAATGAGCAATTAATGGTTTCTTTCATTTTTTGACAACTTTTGAGCTAGAACTCTGCTCAACCACACTTTTGGGGGAATAATTTGAATTTAAACTTCATTAATGGTACCACTAAAATTAACAGAATTCTAAGACTAAATATCTCGTTTAACATTTTCAACACTTATTAACCAATATTAGATTAGTGCTATAGTGCTAGTGGTATTAGACATTCTTTCATGAAAATGTTCAAAAGTTCAAATTTCTGAAACAGGCAACTTTATTGCAATGCCAGCTAGTATCAAACCTTCAACTGACCTTTAGTTCTCTCGATGTCGTGGATCCTTCCTCTGATGAATCGTCACTCCCTCGACGTGACCCGCTGTAGTTTGTCATATTGCTTAACCTGGTCGTAGCCTGTCAGTGAAACAAACAAAATCTAGTTAATGAATGTACATCAAATATTAAAATATAGATGTGAATTGATATTATGGCATTGTAAATCAGGAAAAATGCTTTCCCCATCATCATGTGAGTATTAAATCACATTTTTAACAGAATTAGATATGATTTAAGATTTCAATGAGTGTAAAGGTTTATTTTTGGTTATCAATGATTCTTATTTACATGACATTTACTGATACTACAAAACAGGAAATTGGTTAATATTTATGTTTTCCTTGTTTGAAACATGTTTTATCTTATAGAGTATATTTCTACTTAATAAACACATTACTTGAATTTCGATTACATTAAAATATATCTGCTAGGAGTAATTTGTTTAAGATTGAGGATCAAGCCTTTTTCAGAAAAAAAACATTTATAATTAATTATACTGACTTCAGATTTTCTTACATTGAAAAATGTATTAAATTGACACTGAAATAAACCATGCTTGATGCTTTAGAACTTGAACTGAAACGATGTGAAAAAACTGACATACGTTAGACACATGTACACATATAGCATTCAGCACATATATCAGATTTGTCCCACTGGATATGTTTCTTAAAGGTAAGCACATTATGACACAAAATCTTGAACTTTTTTTCCAAACAGCCAATATATTATTAAAGGCCCAATACAGACTACTCCTCAAGTGACCAAGAACAACTATCCCTAAAGCAAGGAGCCCATTTAAGTTATCAATACAGGCCACCCAGTGCTATAACAAAAAGCACCCACTCCAATTATCTGAGATCCCTGCATAGAAGTGATATAGAATGACCCAGATTGTGTAAAACCAATTTCCATAAAGCTTTTCCTAAAAATGTTACATAATATGATAAAAAAGAATTTCAATTGTGGCATATATATTTATATAAATATTCCGCATATGTGAATCCCCATGCTTTATGTGGTGCGTACATGCTATACTGTTGTGCCACAATCTATCTTCCCCTATATGACCCTGTATAATACCCTCTAAGAACCACTGTTTAGTGAATGTCAACCAAATCCCATTTCTTCAACAGAAGCAGTTTCAAAAGCACACACTAGTCAGTCCATAGAATAATAATCACTGTTCATTGAATAATCAGTTATTCTCTGAACTGTGCAGTTAAAGTCAATATGAACAAAATGTTTACAACTAAGCAAGTTTAAAAATTCAGGTAACAAGGTATCTGTTGAGTTAATGCATGTCTTCATATTTCATTCTCATATGCTTTGATTTTTATAGTACCTAAAAATAGAATGAGGAAAACTCATCCCATGATGCAATTGGATCTTGATGTCTATGAATCATGGGAAAAGTTAACCTCTCCTTGGATTAATGCACACTCTGACACCACTGATGCATTATAAGTCTAAATATACTGAATTTAATCTGAAAAGTGCTGTTAGATACATACAAGTATATCCTAACTTGCTTGCTACATTTCATAAGAAAAAATTGTTGCATTGTAACAATAAATGTATAAGTATTTATTTTTTATTTCAATTGGTTCTTTGTTAGCCATTTAATAAAAATATTTCATAATTCTCATTTATGAACATTATTCATTGATCAACTCTTCAAACAACATGACCAAAATGAAATCTTTCAAATTTTGAGCAACATTTGTTTCCTATGAAACGCTATATTATAATAGTCTAGTACCTGAGACTGATCCCCAGCCTACAAGTGCAAATACAATGAAAATACAATATACAGGATATGAGAAAATCTCCCTCTTATGACTCATATCTAGGATTCAGCTATCTTATATCAAGAAGATACAGACATCTGTTCCACATGCACAATAAAGCTGAATAGTTTCTAGAATCAAATTCATGGGAGAAGCACTCCAAAATCTCATTCATGATTCACTAAGAAAAATTCTTGCCAGCAAACTCGACATAGAATTATTACAAGCAAATCATGAATGATGGTCCTTCACATGTACTCATTCAAAAACTTCTAAAAAATTGGCAGACTGTGGGCAATGAAGCATTATGACATTGGAAAATCTAAAAGAAAAACTGCCGCCCCAAAGTCAATGGAGAAAGGGTTCTTACACAATGTATTTCACACTTCAAGAAAACTTGACTTTGAGGTATTTCAAGTTTTTTATTCTATCAGCTCATATTTTATTAACTCCTCAAAATGACAACACTGAATCAGGGAGAAGATGTAATATGAATAAATACCTTGTACTCATTGGTCTTTTCAAACTGCCTGTCTTGTTTAAACTCTTCCTGGAAGACAAAAACATTAACGTTAAATTCAAAGTTACTATGACAAAGGAATTATAAAGACATCAGATCTACAAATCCAAATTGAAGTATAGACCAGTTGTCAGATTATTTAAATTCTCAACTGATCCAGAGTAATATTCCTTGGACTAGCATAGATACCACACATATAGATACCACACCTTGATATTGTGGGCACGGCATAGTTTAAAAAAACATGACATCATGTTTGATAATATCCCGAGACATAAAATCTGATCGTAATCCAAAATTTTGTCTTTTGAGGACAACTATGCTATAAATCTTACTCCACATTCTTCATTGTTGGTTCCTGAATCCGAATAACCAACACCAAAATATAACAGAAGCTCCATTTCATACTCAGTATTCTACTTTTAAAAGTAACTTTTTTCAAAGCTTGTTGTCATATATACATCTGGACTCAACTGATATCAGTAAATTGGTTTAATCATTCCACCAAAATAACTCAAGTGCTTATGCTACAGGTTGCAATATTCCAGAATTTACTTTGTAAAATGATGGGATTTTAACATTTAACATGGAGGTCAAAAGTTCCAAAGGAAAACACTCAAAATTGAAGCATCAAATGTTAAATATTGTTTTTACTGCACTTAATGGACTCATGGATACTCTTTACATGAAAAATAATTAATTATTTTGGGTGTTCTTTCATCCTGGTAGTATTTCTTAGCTCTATACCTATATCTATTGCTTCTACCTTCTTATCTCTTTCAAATGACAGTTTTTATTTTGTTGAGGCATGAACCTTAACTCAAGGTCAAGAAAATGTTGATTTTTCTTATAAAAGGTTAATAATTAAGTTTTGGCAATATTTTTAAATGTCAGACATCTGGTTAATATTTCATAGTTTTCATTAAAATTTCACATTCAAATTTGATCTTCGATGAATTAATGTTGAATTTAACTAACAAAATAAATATTAACAATTGAATCAAATGGGCAAAAATGCCGATTAAATACACCAAGATCGCAGGTGAAGGAATATACTTTTGACTGTCAACTGAATAAAGGGCCCTATTTGTATTGTAAGGCTCATTTACTCCAACAACTTATGACACCATGATGTTCCAACATCCTAAGATACACATAACCTGTAGCATAAGAACTGTGAATTATAATACCTCTCTAATGTTGAATAAAGGGAACATTGGCATTCTCTCATTGATTCACATTCAAAAAATATAATGCAAATGTGAACACAAACTAATACAAACAAGTTTGGTCCATCCTGGTAGCATTTGAATTAAAAAGGTTTTACTTCTCTGTATATTTAAAAAATTAAACGAAATGAAAATAGAACATGAGTAGTTAATTCAGCCCGTAAGCATAGCAACTTCATACAAAACAATTATTCCATTCTGTTGAAAGAATATGACAAATTTTAATACAAATGCCTTTGTTGCAATACAACTTACTATTACTAACATATTGTATCTTTTGTCAGAGCTGTTTGCTACCAAAATGAAAATGTTACCAGAATCAAAAATATGTGCAGTTTGTTTAAACAGTTCTTTTACCAATAATCAATATTGCATGTAATGTTCTTCTTGTGTCATTGTGTCTTGACAAAGTCTACGAGTAATCAATTCATAACATTTGGAAAAATGGGATTTATATTACTACAGTAGATTAGACTTTTGACATTGTGATTTAGTAGAGACCCACTTTCATCTATCTTGTCTGCTCTTTTGCACAGATATGGATATGGAAGTCATGATAGACTCCTCAGGATTATGGTTTTATTCTTACAATGTTTCAAAGTTTACCTCTCTAGCTTGCTTCTCTAGTTCTTTCATCCTCAGCCCCCTGGCCTCAGCCCTGGCCTGCCGTTTGGCCACCAGTCTGCCCTCCGCCTAAACGAATAAAACATTGTTTTATTATATACAGTACATGTATATTAAATATATCTGTCTGCGAGCTTATATTTTTAAAGCTTTTCTTGTACTGTAAAAACATCTACTTTGTATTTCAAATGGGATAATCTTGATTTGTACAAGTCAACATATTTATCACGTTTTTTCTAACAAACTTCTTACACTGTATTTTGAGTTGAATTACTCAATGCTGTCAATCATGTTTTGAGTGTACATTTCTCTTCCAAACGCCGATCAATAACACTTAAATACTATTTAAATGTAAGATTCTACTCAAATGTGAGTCACACTCTGGTCAAATAATAGTCAAATATTTGCTTTATTTTAGGTTGAAATATCTTGGCTTTCTTACATCAATCCAATTTCAAAACATGTACCCTCAGGGTAAGTATTGTGATGATTTGTCAGTATTCTTTATATTTATTTTAATAGTTTCTTCTCTGTCCTGTTGCATAATCTTGTACCATCAGATTTCAAAGATGAGATTTAACTAAAATGTTCCATCTATAGAATACAATAGTCTTTTTTTATTGCAACTACGACATACATGTATATAGGTATCTGCCTAATTTCTGCAGCCAAGAACCATCCCACGCATGGCTTAATAAAAATATACAATGCACACATGAAAATCTGATAAGGTAGTATATAACTAAGAATCTTAATTTCTTTGAATGATTACTCGTAATTAAGTCAAGTGTTGAATATTTAATTTAGACCTGGTTTATTATTAAATCCTTAGCTGACCTACTCAATTCCATTCCTCGCGTGGCATTGGCCCAAAGTGTCTTCAGGAAAGTGATGAAAGCCGTAATACTGTAAGTTGGGGTTGTTCGATGGTATTCAATTTGAAGAATATTCTAATATTAACATTTTAGAGGCTATTTTGGTTGAGTGAGTACTTGGCTTTGTCCTGTTCTTCTCATTTAATTTACAACAGACAAGATTTTTAAAATTGTTACCATAGTAACCATAACTTTGTTGATATTGAATTAATTGTCAAGAAATTGTAATAGAATTAGGTCATGTTGTGAAAGTTTCATGAAGAAAAAAGCAAGAGAACAATAGTAATAGCAAAATTAGCAATACTTATTGAACACCTGAACATAGCATGAAAAGAGCAAATTCCCAGAGATTTATTTTAAACTCTGAAGATGTTATGAATTGGTGAATATCGCCAAACTAATTAAAATAAAGTGGGACCAAATCAATTCAAGTTAGAGTAAAATATTAATTTTCTAAAATCACTAAGTTCTATAAAATGAATAATTTATATAAACCGAATCACAATAATATTGCAACAAATGTTGAAAGGGGTCATATTGCTAGCAGATGTAGATTAAGGGTAAACATTACTTTGGATGCCTGTAGCATATCAAAACAACTATACATATAATGCATTTTGAAAAAAGAAAAAAGAAGTATGATTATAATGTATCTTCCAGACAGACATTAGTCAATGAATCATTCTGATATTTCAAAGAAATTAAAAGGCATCATGGCATTGGGCGTTACAGGTATAGGTAGGCAAAAGAGATAGGTTCCTTTGTATAAAACACAGGATCCTCTAATATCAGACATTTTGTCTCTCTTCAAGTTAACAAAATGCCAGGATTTCTAAAATTTCGGCATAATCTAAAATAAAAACTATGTCCTCACACTATACAACATGCTTAATTCTCTCAGATTTCTCTCCATTTCATAAGAAAGTCTAACCAGCTGGGCATTTCATGATTAGGAAGCAATGACCTCATAACTGACTGATGTAAACAGAAACAGGCTTACAGTCTGACTTGGGAGATAAAGGGTACATCTCAAAACATGATACATAACACATACACTGTACTAGGATTTCCATGTATTAATTTAAGCTACTCTGACCCCTCTGTTGTTGTTGTCTCCCCATTCTGTTTAAAAAGGCAAATAGTGAGGCAGGGGAAGGGGGAGGGGGGGGAGGCTGTAGACTGTACAAAAACCTGTATCCAATTCTTCATACTTCCTTTAACATTTAGACATTTAAAAATCTATTTCTCTTAAATTTTGAAGGTCACTGAAGGTCAACGATAAGTCAAATCTCAAATCTAAGGTCAGATATGAACTTTTAGAATCTGGAACTTGAAGATGATTGATGATCAATTTGAAGCAAGTTGAAAAATGATTTTTTGAACTTTTTTGACCTGCAATGTCTGACCCAAGTCTTTAATATGAGCATACAGTAGATTGATAGAACCTAACTGAAAGTAATAGAAAAGGGTTCAGAGAAAAAAAATAACGAATTGATATTGGCAATATTTTAAGACCTCCTAATAATATACAATAAAGGCAATAATGTAAATGTCACAGATTACAGTGACTTTCTATGAAAGAGATTACTTGCTCCAATAGCTAATAAAATGTCTGGTTTAGATACGATGGCTCATGTGGCAAGTGAGCATGATTTGTATGGAGATGTTATTACATTTTCATGTTGTCTCTTTGAATAGGAATACATTCTGCTCTAAGGTTAGCTACAATTTCAAATAGTTTGATTTTGCTTCTTAAAAGGGAGCTTCATCTTTCCTATGTTCTAGGCTCTGACCATCAATAAGTTTTATCACAAGTGTGAGGTAAATATTTTTTAGATTTTTGAAAATGGAAGCCAAAATGTTCTACAGAGGGGTCAAAATATCAACAAATGTTTCTAAATCTATGAATCAATATACATGAAGAGCACCCCCCCCTTCTCAATGTTTGTGTTTATCTCTGTTATGATGAGCTAAACCAGTGTATGCCTCCCAATATACATGTGCAGTACAAACCAGTGTATGCCTCCCAATATACATGTGCAGTACAAACCATTTCCTTCCCTAATTCACCCCATTATAACATTTTTAATGTACTGAGGAGGTGTTTATAGACATTCTAGAACCTAATACTTTTACACCTATGTCAAAAATAACTCTTATGCTATAATTGCTGAAGTTTGATACTACATGGCTATATTTCTGAGGGGAGGCATCAAAATATCAACCAACATAGAATGTTTATTATACTGCATATATTTTCTTATTTCAGAACCCAGATCTTGAACAAGATGACAAAATGTTATAATAACAAAGGATTATGAAAGAAAACTAACTAAAACCAACTGAAACTGAAACCATAAAACATTGGATGGTTATTGTTTTGGATCGTGTTTATACATCTACTTTAATCACAAACATGACATGGCCCCAATTATGTTACTGGTAGATTTGTTGAAGATATAGGTAACACAGGCACACCTTTATCTTTTAGTACAGTATGAACCAGCATTATCTACATGCGAGAAAACAGAACAGATACAAGGATTCAAATGTTCGGTGGTAATAAGATAATACACCTGTATTATAAATGCAAGTTTGCAATTAAACTAATAGGAAAAAAGTGACAAACTCAATGTATGAAATGAAGATCTTTTTCAATCTGTACCAACAAGACATGTAAAAGACACAATACATATGTACTTCATAAGCGACACAAATTCATTGAAATCAATTTAATGAAAGAGATGTTTGTGCCATTTTCATATATCTAATGTGTTTGATTTAGGGATATGGCTAAACAAGTAACATAGAAATGAATCTATAAAAAAAGACAAGGGCTCATTGTATCATCATTTGGGTGAAATAAATATTACCTCTAAGATAAAGCAATAACTGTTTTGGCTTGTGAAATTGCAAATATTTTATCAGAACAAGGAATGATTGTTTGAAATCAAGTAGAATTTGGCTGAGAATACAAGTATTGCAAAATTATAAAATCTTGCTAAAATCAAATTGAGTTTGCAAAGATTTGCCTTCAAGGAAATGTAAAGTGATAAGAGATCTGCTAACTATACTGCATGCTTAGACCTGAACTTTTTAAGTTCTTTTAAATAGTCAACCAGATACAATACTATTGAAAATTTAAAATATTAATAGATGAGACTGAGACAATATAAACTTGGAGGTATGCTCAGGATCTGATTGATAGTCAGTAATAATCCACATATAACAGTGAAAGGTTATAACACTTATCTCTCCTCATACTTCATAGTTGGAGACAATGTGACTGTGGAATGTCAGATTTCTAGTTCGTGACAATATAGAACATAAATGTGATTTGCAATGGTGAAGATGTTGTTAAATTATATTTTAGTGCAAGATGAACTGATATCATTATTACAAGTAATTTATGATCTTTATCACCCCAATGAAAAATTTAGACAAATATGCTTAGCTATAATATATGTCCTACTTCATGAAGTACAAAGTATAAAGACATTCTGAGCAAACATCATCCTCTTTTTCAGTAATTCACATGGAATAAACACAAACTGATTAGCAACTAAAATTGAGAATCTGAATATTAGCCATATATACATATAACCAAATGGGATTTTGAAAACCACAAAAAAGAGATTTTTTACATTTTGAAAAATTTATTCTTTGTACAATAAATTATTGTAAGAACATTGGTATTCCTAATAATGGTAACCCCCTCCCAAAGATGATAACACAATGAAGTAACTATGTAATCAGTAAGTAACTTCCCTGTGGTAGATATACACTGATTTATTAAACACTGGGATTATTGAAGATTAGCACATGACTTAAGATAAGATACTTGTTCATAGCTAGCCCTCCCCTAGATAACAGGGAAATGTGTAAAATATCTGTTCAGTATAGGCAGGTATCAACTTTATGTATATTGGTTGTGGTAGTTAGAAGTCTTCTCAGACTTACCTTGCTTCCCTCACAAATGTTATCATACTGGAAGTTGAACAGTGTCAACATCAACTTCCTATTATTTACAAAGGTTCTTAATATGAAATCAAACTAGTTTTTCAAGAAATAAAACATTTTATGATTGTACTGGTAATCTGTGTAAAATCGTGTTTGTGTAATGAGGATACATTGGGGTATGGTAAAGATAACCATCATATTTAGACATTATGGACTACCATATCAGAAAATAGAAAATATTGTTCTCATCTGCTTTTATTTAGAATATAGCCGATTTCAGTACCGAATATCAAAAATAAGTGTGAGTCTCATTTTTGCTTGATCCGAATCTCATATCCCAGTGTCAATGACAGTGAGTTATAGTTTATAAACTAACCTTAATATGAAAAGGTATGTTGAAAAAACTGTAATTTATAGAGCTAAGGTTACAAAAATATTAACAAATATATGTTTGTATAAAAAAGTTCAGTTACTAAGAAAGCCTCATGCTCTGCTACAAGTTTATCCAGCTTCCATGTATCAAAAGGGATGAGCAACATCCATTAGAAGATTTCTTTTAAAGAGTTTACTCATTGGACTACCTTGAATGAAATAATTTATATTTTATGGTTTGCAACGGCCTCATATTTGTAAAAAAAAATTAAAGAGAAAAACTACATAAGGTAACATCTGACAATTAAATACAACCCATCCTTTGCAAACTATTAATCTGGAATATAGAACACCACAATCTAATAAGCCTCGACCTATTATTGCCACAGTGTAAAACTAAAATAGTTCATATAAAATATATAACATATAAGAAATATCAGGCTGCTTGACCCCACATGTTCACCATCTGCCATTCACTTTTTTTTACTGTAGTCAAGCTGATATATAAAACAACAGCAATTCTTCCTTTTATTTTTACTCACTGAGAACCAGAAGTTCATGTTTGTTTAACTAACATTTTTTTCATTGTCAGAAAATAGTTAGATTTTGTAGCATCCTTACTCACATGTAAGATAAATACTCAGCTTTTCTATCAACAATAATGACGTTTTCAAGGCAAGTGACATTCTATTTTTGTTTTGTTAACTTTTCTTTGATTTCCTGTTGATCTTGATATATTCTAGTCAGTGAAGACTCCAGTAGGTTTAGTTTCAGTGCATTGCATTACATTGGATTTTTTCTAGTCAATCAATATCAATATGATATGGAGAAATATTTATGCATATTTTAGGTACTAGAACATAACATTATGATATATTTCTAATAAATTACTTTTTGTGCCTAAACCTCTGGCTAAACTAAGAGAGTAACACAAACTATAAGAAATCCAAAATATCTAAAATATAAATGTATTTTTCTCTAAAATATTTTCTTTAATTGCTTTTGTTTTAGATTTGATAGACTATTGGTTCTAAAAACCACCCGAAATAACATGTATCTTCCATTCTTAAAATATTCCTAGGACCCATTTTTAAAAAATTACATGAACATGTCCTATCAGTAATAGAGACACTTTATTTTGCTAAATATTTGTGCCAAACACAATTTAAAAAATTAAGGAATAAATAATGATAGGCCATTCAAGATGGTGAAATTCAGCACAAGTTGGATATGTGATTGCATCTTTACTGACATTCTGTCCCCGAAATAACCAAACATGCTGTTATTTTTAATATTTTTTCCATTCCCAGGAGTGACGTCAAAATGAAACATGATACATATTCCTGAAAGCAGGATGCACGGTCATGCGTGCATGGAAAATTAGAGGGTGGCTACGCTTCATTCTGATTGGTTGAAAACCAAATCAGAGAATGGTCATGTTGGAACCTTTTTTTAAAGAATGAAATTAAGATTCTATCAAGTATTGCCAGCTTTCATGTAAATCAGTGATTACTCTTAATGTAAAGCCTAACAAATATGACGCCACATTCCAATCAACAGACTATTTATTGTGTAGTAATATGTAAATGTGCATAGGTTGTTAACATTCAGCTACTATTTAAATCAATACAGGAAAACATATTTTTCCATATCTCAATGCACAATTTTTAGTACTTTGTAACTCAATAAAACAGTGACATGGTGTTTGGCTAGTGCTGAAAATTTTTGACTTCAAATATAACATAAGCTTCTGTTGTACTATTTTTTTACTGCATCGGTAGAACTTGAAATATAAGAGTTACCTAAAGATTGGGAGTCTTACTTACCTTCTAGAGGTTAGAACACACATTTCAATGAAACCATATCACCTTCGTTTTGTTCATGATGAAGCATAAGCACAGTACTTAAATGAAATTTGTGTAAATGCTTTTTGGACTTTTCCATTTTTCCTCGTGTTGACTTCTTGGAATAATGTATTGACCATTGAACTTTAATTTGGTAACATGTCATCCAACAATGTCTGATGTGAAAATAATTATAAAATATTAAAATACAATATTTTGCAGACGAGTTTCTCATCGTTCTCTGCCCTGTTCTAAAATAGAAGAAACTGCATGATATACAGTTGAACTATTGGTCTGAACGAAATGCTGCGCAGAAAGTATGAATGGGTCATCTGCTGTATTAGTCTATTAATACAGTAGGACCTGTTCGCGATGCTTTATAATTTAGACCAAATATAGAAGACACACACATGTAAATCAAAAAATCAACGAACTTACATTCAATTTTTTTCACAAATATTTGGTAACTTTTCGTATTGAAACTTCAGGAACTTGCAAGGAAATCATTTTCACAGTCCATATTTTACCTCTTGGATATCGTGCTAAATGCTCAATGGTTGACGCAACGTAGGTGATAGGGTTTCATTAGTAAGACCCCCAATCCCCCAATCTTTAGGTAACTTATATTTCAAGTTCTACACCAATGCAGTCAGGCCATGAAAAAAGTAGATATAGTAGGTAACCGAGACCAGAACGAGATGGACAAATGGCTTTGAGAATGGATAGCAACTACATACTAAACAAAATTACCATCATACTGTCTTCTTATTTTTAATAATAGACAATAAAAGATTGCAATAGCTCACCAGTGACCAGGCATGTGAGCTAATAATAGACAAGAATGAAATTTATCTCACCTCACGAGCAATAACAGAAAGGGCATGGTCTTCTGCAGAATATGTTCTAGTTGCACCTCTCCTCCTTCCACCACTTGTTGGTGTACTCATAGTGCTACTTATTTGTAAATATTGGAATAATGTAAAATACTAAATAATCTCATCAGGAAAGTCACTTCCGGGTTCTCAAATATTTTGAAACTTTTGAGAATTCAAAGTATATTTACAAATTACTTTGTGGTTTTCAGTAGATCAAATGTTGATATTATGGTACAAATACATACAGAGTATCGATAAAAATTCTTGGCTTCGCTATCATGTGCCTTGTTGTGTATACATTGCGTAAAAATGTCAGGAAAGTTGATCAACTTATAACGTCCATATTTTCCAGGTCCCGGATGTAGTAATCCTCGTTTTCATTTTCTAGCTTTGCGCATGCGCGACTACGTGTACGCACTGCGAGTTTCTACTTATGAATGAGCTATACCTATTTCGCTAAATCCAATTTACAGTACAAAATAGAATTTGTGTTTCCTAAATGAACATGCTGTATTGCTTATATTTACATAAATATTTTGAAATCCTTATCCTTGCCAAAACACCCGATATTCATTAATATATAGGGGTTGAGCTTTTGCAGAACAATATTCGCAAGTCTCCAGTGTCAACATGGATTCTGTCTACATAAAATAAATCCTCCATAAAATGCACAATATATCATAATTCATGATTGAAAATGTTCAAAAAACTAAAGAAAAAGATTGAAGAGGCGGCAGAGAACCTTCCGGCAAAATCTCCGCTGTCTGCAAGCCCGCTCAATCAGGTAATTAGGGTTCAATATTTTTGCCGACTTTTTGCAATGCAGAATCAAACCCGGAAGTAAATCTTACCAAATTGTCTAGAGCTCTAGAGAGGTACAATTTAACCGTGGCTCTACATGAAATACACTTTATTAATGTAACCATGGACTCCAAATTGTCTGTACAAGGCATATGTAGATGCATCTAGTTATTTCTCTATCTTTTAGGCTACATAAAATTGTTCGAGCGTTTAGAAGTATAAGCTTACATTTTATCGCATCCTACGACCCCTTTAGATTTGTGGTGAAAGATAAAGTCTGGGCTTCAAAGATCTTCATGGCCCCAGAAGTAGGCGTGGCACATGATAACCTAAGCCTCCAATAGGACTTAGTCCAAGCATGGGCTTTCAACAAGATTGAAAGCCCATGGTCCAAGTTCTCTCATCCACTAAGTTCAAGTCCTATATGCTACTGCAAGAAGGACATGTACTGTAAGCTACAGGGAGGAGTAAGTTCTCTGAGCCAGTTCTCAAGTTCTCAACTAGTTGCAAGCCAGATTTTAAATCTTCAACTATACTCCAAATTAGAATTTGAATTCTCAATAGGGTACATGCTAGAATTAATATTCTAATCTGGTTGTAAGCCAGAATCAACATTCTCAGGCTAGATTTTAAAAATTCAACATTACAATATGCATGCTAGGATTTAAATTCTCATGTGAAACATACAGTAGCTGCAATGCTAACTGTAACTACATGTATATATAATCTCATTGGAAGGAAGGATTTGCCAAGGACCTTAGATTAATTCTCCATGCACTCATTTGCAGAGCTCAGAGAACTCCAATAACCCAGATGCGAGTAGAAAAATCTTGATTTACATCATTAAAAATTCGAAATTCAGACAAAGTGATGTCATATTTGAAATCTGCATGTAAAAGTACATCTATAAATATGGTTTCGAAAATTGTTTATCAACTTTGAAAATTTAATTTTTTTTGAAAATGTGACTTCTTGTTCGGGTTGATTCCCCATAGACCCCATGATACAAAATCACAAAAAGTGAAATATCTTTTCTTGTATTGGATAGATAACATTTTCTTTTACTGGACATATTTCAGTTTGCATAACTATTAGATACATAAGGGTTATATGAAAATTGAATCATTAAAACAGATGTGATTTAAGTTTAAGGGAACTTTCTCCTATACTCGCCATGCTATCTGACCCGAACGAGCCACCTGGTGGTGAATCTGGTAACTACCTACTCGCATCTGCTTTATTCCACCATACCACAAGGACACCAGGCTGTGCTCCTTAAACATCATCAAATAAATTAAAAACTCATTTGATTATATCCGTTTTTAGTCCTCATATTTGGTTTGGCTTTTTAGTGTTGTCATTGATATCATGGGCTTTCAACTAGTTGAAAGCCCATGTTGATATGTAGCGTTGTTGACTTCATGATTTTTTTGGATGCTTGGTGTTACAGGGAGCCAGTTCTGCTGAGCCGAGCCCTGCAAAGAAAGATGGGGATGGTGTCAGGAAAAAGGTATGTTGCAAGTAGTTTATGTATTCAGCATACGATATGATTGAGCAAGGATGATTTCTTAAATTTAATTCTCAATAGCTCAAATGTAAAAAAATCATTTGAAAGATGCACATTAACTCCTCTCTTTAGACTGATTGTAAAACTTTCAAACATTAATTTTGGGAACTAGAATATAGAAAGGTTAAAGGGAGATGATGACCACAGGTCTTCATATACATTTACTCACCGTACAAATATTGAATATTCTAGTTGGCATTCAATAACCAGCCAGCACAACCCCCAGTTGCTCAGTTGGTTGATGTTGAGAGTACACCCCCAGTTGTTAATAACACAACCAATCCCAGTGTACTTGAAGGAAGCTCAACTGAGGGGTCACTCATACATCTTGATGATTCAGACACTGCAGTAGCTCAGGTAAATACGCTTTGAGTATTCAGCAAAATTAACAAGCATTTTAAACTAATAAACTTTGATATTTCTGAAATTTAAGAGCATTTTTTTTGTCTGTTTCGATAAAAAGATAAGATTCATCTGTAGTATATTATTTATTGTCGTTGTTCCAATATTATGATTTGAAATGGTTCCAGTAATATAATTATCCTCATGTTTTACAAATATACTTTTACCACAGGGAGGGGTTGATTCTAGCCCAGCACATCTTCCTGTCACACCAGTTCAAGTGCCTCGCCAACGTCAGCTTTCGGAGAGTTCTGTCACAAGTGAGAGCTCATTATTTTCACCAATACCAAACACACCACATCGTTATCAAATGCCATCAGATGTCGAAAGTGAGGCTGAGGACACGTCATACGTTTTAGATCAGGTTTCTAAAGATGAACTGATTGGACGATATAAGATGATGGAGCGGGGAATTCTGAAATATAAGACAAAATTCAGAGAGGTAAATCATATTATCATATGATCTGTAAAATGAAGCCCTCTGATTGGTCAGTTCTTGTGCTGTACCAATCTGTATTGCTGTGGAAATACATGTATGGGAATTTCTGTTTACTAATGAATATCTATGAAAGAATTCAGAACTACTGTGCAAAATTGAATTTTTGATTTGTCGCCATGTCATTTCCCTACATAAGCTAAAAACAAAACGGCATAAATATCTGACTGTATCCAGTGGTTACATTTAATATCATACCCCGATTTAGGTTGCTAAAGCTTATAAAGACTTGGAGAAGGACAAAGAGAAGCTGAAACATGCCTTAACACAGTCCCAGGACAAGGCATTCAGGCGCATCTCAGAGCTGAAGGAGCAAAGTCAACTGGACCAGTTAGCGAAGCAGCATCTTGAGGAGAACTATACACTAATGTTAGAGGAGAAAGATGAACATATGAAAGTGTTACAGATGCAGGTATATACACTGGGGAAATGATATGCTTATAGTACATGGATCCTATGGTAGTTCAGCACTTTCAAAACAAACTTGAAAAAAATATATTTCATTTAATCAAAATATTTTTTCTAACATAATCTAAAAATATCCAGTTGAAATTATGCAAAATGTTTGACCATTTCATTATTAGTTATTGTTATTAATGATCGCCTGAATATCACATGTACATTCTACTTGTAGATCCATTTACTGAAAGAAGGAAAAGACATCCCTGATGAGTTGAAACAGAAGCTTAAACAGGCAGGTCCTAATGGGGATGGAGGAACACCGAATGGTGATGGTGATGCTTCTAATGAAGACAAAGCAGAAGCTGCAAATCTGAAGGAAAAGGTAATGACCATACTAAATGTTAGGTCTAAAGGAAAGGAAGCAATGTTAATTACAACTTACAAATTTGAAGACAATCTCTTATTTTTAGGAATGACTTTTGTTCTGATGTACTGAATCAGGGTTATAGTATATATATTATAATATGTAAACCATAAAATGCTTCATACATGAACACTTTAAAATGTGATATGGCCATGTATATACTATATAATACACTAATTCAACACTCATTGTAGGTGAAGCGTTTAGAGGTTCTGCTGAACAAGTGCAAGGAGACAATCAGAGGCAATAAAGAGAGGACTCAACAACTGAATGAGGACAAAGATGCCTTGATGAAACAACTAGAGGAGAGAAATGAACAGATGGAGCAAATTAAGGTACAAACAGAATCAAATGATGTAAAAATCAGCCAAAATCAAAGTAATCTGGGATCAAAATTTGTCCATGCATTTGAAATAACAAATATTACATTATGGATATTACAGTTAATTCAAAAATATTTTTTTATACTATATTTTCATGAGTAAGCTAAAGATCATGGCAGTTAGAGGCAAATCACATGTGTCGTACCTTGAATTTTGTGTGTCATACCTTGCATTTTTTGTTGGGAACCTTCACTTTTCCCTTCCTTGTTTCTTCCATGTCATTTTTACAATCCCACTGAATTTGTATTGTTGTAAACTGTTAAAGATAAGCCAGGAAGAGCTGGTTACGAAGTACAAGGGCCAGATAAAGGAGGCTAGGCAGGTGATCAAGGACCTGGAGACAGATAAACAGTTGGCGGTGGCGGAGGCTAAGAAAGATCTTTTCCAGATGGTTGAGGAGAAGGACGAGGAGCTAACAAAGACCAGGTCTATGCTACAGACCATTCAGTCTAAACTGCAGGCAACAGAGACTGAAAAACAAAGTCTAGAGGAACAATTGGAGAGTGTTAAAAAATCTGGTTAGTTTACAACTTGATCCACTGTATTGCAAGCAAAACTTTGAGAAGCACAAAGCCAAAACTTATTGTTAATAAAACTGTTATAAGTAAATGTTTTAGCTGACTACTGTAAGGTGAAAATGTACATGGTTGTTTCATATGAGGTTGAAACATATATACACATAATAGTATAAATATGTATATAAGTAATGCACAATTTAATTTCTAGCCCAAGAGAATATCCATAAGTCTAAAGAGATCATCAAGAAGGTTCAAGGAGAGAAGAAGCAGGCTCTTGAAGACATGCAGAAGAGGCTCCAAGCTGCAGAGACATCTCTGGAAGAGGAAAAAGAGAACTTGATTGGGGAACTCTCACGTGGAAAGTCTGCTGCAATTGACTTGTTGAAGGTAGATTATCTCACTTTAAGAAGTCATTGTGCTATTAAGAAAAATCAGAATTTAAATGAGCGTACATTTTATATTTAGTTTAGCTCTGTCACAGTTAGAGTGACATTTAATGCAATCAGTTAAATTCTTTGTAAATCAGGTAATTTTCTTTATTGAAAGTGCATTAGTATTCCACAGACAAGCTGTCTACCCACAAATGCAAATTTTTTTAGTTTTTATGGTTTCTTTATTTTACTTTACAAAATTATCTACAAATGACAGGGCCGAGGCTGAAATCAGCATTATTGGCCCTGTTAATACAAAGTTTATTCAAATTTACAAAATAGCAACAAAATGACTACCAACATATATGTATGCATGGCAGGAAATGCACAAATGCAAATAAATTATTTTACAATATTTCTCTCCCTATAAAAGTTTTGCGGTACACTTCCAAGTGAACTTAGCTCTAACTCTATTATTCTCTAGCATTTACCTTTGTTAAGATCAATTTTCACATGTCTATTCTTGTAATATCTACTCTCCAGCAAGATGGGCTGAAACGTGTCCAAGAGATGGAAGAACAATTCAAACACACTCTGGAAGAAAAGGAAAAAGAACTGGAAGAGAAGCTCAATCAGAAAGATGAGGAGTGGAAACTCATCATAACACAGAAGGTAAACTCTTTTTAAAAGCGAATATTCAACAATAGATTTAAGGAAATGCTACTGTCTGCTGTTCTTGTTTTGAAAATACTGCATAAGGTTTTGTCTGGCAAATAAAAAGTGTTATGGTCACCACTTTGTAAACTGAACAGAAGCTAAAATATGATGTAATACGATGTAATATGACATAACCAAAATGGTAAAAACATTGTTTTAGGAGAAAGAGAAGGAGCAAGCAGTGAGTGATAAATATGAAGAACTCCAAGCTATCCTACATGAGAAAGAAGAGGAGATGAAATTAGCAATAGAAGAGAGAGAACTCCAGAAGATGGCAGCCATTAGTCAGCAGGATAATCAGAATGATGAGCTGAAACAGCGAATAGAAGAATTGAACAATGTAAGCCTTTTATGAGTCTGTGTAATAAAGTAATTCAATATACATGTATAAATACTGTAATTCATTGTATACATTGTATAATGTGAAGAGTATGAATGGAAATCATCATTGGTAAATTAATTAATCTCATTGATTACTTTCTCAAAGAAATATTGATTACAACTTGACCTGGTCCAAAATATTATCCTGACAAAATGGCAAAATATTGGTTTGTCCAGTTGCATGTAGAGAATATCAAGTTATTGTAACAAATTCATATATCATTCTACATGTGTTTAGAGGGAGGTTGAACAAGGGAATACCATTGAGAAGTTAAAGGAGGACCAACAGCGTATAACTGCAGACTTTGTACAGCAAATTGAGGAGAATTCTAGCAGACATAAACAAGAATATGAGGCACTTGATAAACAGCACAAGGACCAGTTAGAAAATATAAGGTAAGCTTTTAATTTCACTTCTTGCAAAGCACTATGTAGATTTCAATATTTTTTTTACAGTATTTTGAAATTTAGAAATTAAATTTCCATAGTAAAAGTAAAAGTTAAAGCCCCTTGTGTGCGTCAAGAAGTGAACTGAGACTAGATGAAGTTGATTTAATGTTTCCCTTTGTATATCTGTAGAAAGGAGCATGCAGAAGAGGTTCAACTGAAACTAGACGAGGCTAAAGAGTTGCACAAAACTGAGTTGGAAAAGCTGTGTGCCAAACAAGAAGCACTCATGAAAGGTAGAACCAATGAATGATATAACTCACTATAAAAATCGACATTGAACAAGCTGCTATAGATTATTGTTTCATGTACTCACTATAAACAACTCTCATAAGCTGTTCTTTTATGAAATATTGTGTCTTTTATATGACTGGTATATTTAAACTGCTACTGTAAAAGTAAGTGTTCCCATTCCCAGAAAATAACTGAATTTGAAATGAAATTCATACAAGTACTGTCTATTTGCTTTTGTCATTAGGGTCTAACAGTGACATAGAGCTGCAGTATACTACACAGTTGACCTCACTGACTGAAAGCCACGAGAGAGTTGTTCAGGAAAAGATATCTCAACTAGATCAATTAAGTCAACAGGTACTGAATAGCTTTTTATTTAATGACTTACAAATATTGAATTCTATAGAGTTCTCTATGTATTTCTGTAAATGATATATCATATAAATGACATACCCTTAAGAAGTAAAAATAGTCTACTAATAAGTATTCTAACATAATTGTGTTTATTGGAACAGTATTTACATCTTGGCAAGTCCTCTTCGACTGTGACATTCTGAATGTCCATGTTATCAAATCCAATGACATTTTAGGCTATTTTCTCTCCAGGTGACAACACTACAGAGTACAAACATTGATCTAACTGCACAATTAGAGACAACCACCCAAGAGTTCAGCAATAAAGTCATCCAACTAGAAACCACACTAAGTGAACAAACTGAACAAATAAACTCATTACAGAAGGCTAAAGAGGATATTGAAACTGCTTTGAAGGACAAAACTGAGGGCTATGAAAAACTCCAAAAAGAAAAAGAAAATCTAGAAACTGCTTTGAAAGATCAAACTGAGGAGAGAGAAAGATTGAAGAAAGAGCGAGAAAACCTAGAAGAGGAATGGGAAAAGAAAAATGGAGAGCAACAAAATAATATATCAACATTGCAGTCCCAAATTAATGCCTTAGAAACAACCACAGCAGAGCTCACAACTTCTAGTAATGAACTGAGGAATCAGTTAGATTCCAAGAACACTGAACTAAGTCAAAAGATGGAGGAGTTTGAGAGTAGATTAACACTTGAAAAGGAGAATCATGCCAGTGAACTTAGTCGTGGCTTAGAAGCAGCAGCCCTCCAAGGACAAAGCTCAATTAGTGAAGTGACTACAGAACTTAACAATAAATTAAAAGAATCCAATGAACATATTACACAACTAGAAAAAACAATACAGGAGTTGAAGTTAAAGGAGTCTGAATTGACCAACCAAGTGGAGAACATCACCAAAGAAGGGGAGAACAAATTAAGTGTCGTAAATGAAAATATTCAGACTTTAAATGTTAAGCTTGAGGAATCCAACCAACTGTGTGGCACACTGAAAGATGAGCTCCAGGGAAGCAAGGGTGCTGTCACTGAGAGAGATAACCATATAAAAGAGCTGGTTGATAATAACAATGACCTGAAGACAAGTAATGAACAATTGAAATCTGACATTGATCTTAAGTCTGAACATTTAAATGAACAGTTAGAAAAATGCACAGGCCTTCAACAAAAACTCGAAAAATTGAGGCAAGATTTAGCTGAGCAAAGAGGCAGTTATGAAATGGAAGTTTCTATTTTAGAGGAAAAGTTAGAAATAAAGACTGATGAACTGAATGTTGCTACGACACAGGTTAATGATCAAACCACATTACTAGCATCATTACAGACTGATTCACAAGGAAATACTGAGATCATAAAGGAATTACAAACTAAAATCAATGAACTTGAAATTGACCGTCATTTGTCTGATGAGCAGCTCAACGCTACTAAAGTTGATCTTGAGAAGCTTCAAACATTGTGCAATGAAAAGGAAAGTGCCTCGAATGAAAAATGTGTAGTCCTAGAACAAGAACTTGAGAAAGTGAGGGAAAATTTGGCCGAACAAAGGGGAAGTTATGAAACCGAGGTGTCTATACTAGAGGAAAAAATAAAAATAAAAACCAATGAGGTGGATGATCAAAGAACATTATTGGCATCATTGCAGACTGACAGCCAGGGGAACACTGCCATAATAGAACAGTTACAAAGTAAAATCAATGACCATGAAAATAGCCTTCAGCTTTCAAGTGATCAGCTGAAAGCCAATGAAATAGAAATTGAGAAGCTCAAAACATTGTGCAATGAAAAAGATGGTGCCATAAATGAATTAAAACATACAGTAGAAAAATATAAAACCCTCGAGGAAGATTTAGTACGTATGAAATCTGAATTTTCTGAGCAGAGAGGTAGTTTTCAAACAGAGATAAGTATCCTAGAAGAAAAAATTCAACTTGGTACAAAAGAGAAAGAGACATTGAAAAATGATTTCCTTGTGCGGGAGAATGAACTTTTAGAAAATCACAAGAATCAATATATGCAGTTGACTGAGGAGTATAAGTCTAAGATGGACACTCTGTCAAGTATGGAACAGGAATGGAAAGCAAAGTTGATACTGAGGGAAAATGAGTTTGAGGGCCAGGAGAAAGAATATAAGAGCCAAGTGTCTGTTCTGGAGAATTCCTGTAAAGATCTTGAATCAAGGTATTTCAACATCATATGTCTGAATACATAATACAATTACAATTTTATCAATCTTCAAATCAAATTATTGCATTTATTGTTACACTTAACTTGGAATCTTTGCCATACCAATCTAATATGATCTGAATAATTTCATGTAATGATACTGTACATACTGTATAATGATTAGCTTTTGACGTTTTTTAGCAGATATTAATTATATGAATCATTGTATTTATTGCATATGTTATCAGTAAACTATTGCAATCTTCCCCTAGAATTATCTGAGTTATTTAATTTACAATAGTCATACACTGGCAAATGGTGGCTCCATACTATAGCATATATTTTTAGCTCACCTTTCCATTTACTGCCTTGAATCAATTCATATTAAAAATAAGTACAGAGCATGTGTTCAAAAGTGTAATTATTTTAAGGTACCAGACTGAGGTTGCTGAACTGAAGCAACAAATAGAGACTGAAAAAGAACATTTGAAATCATTCCAAGAAAATGTTAAACAGAAATTCGAAGAACGTCAAAACCAATTCAAAGAAAACATTTCAAAACTAAAGGAGAAATTCAATGGGAAAATGAAGGCTAAAGACACAGAGTTTAACCAAAAACTTCTGGAGCTGACACAGCAGAAGGAATTAGGTAGGAACACACTGATAGAATTGACTGCACTACATGACTACATGCACCAGATATAATTTGTCACAACATATTTATTTATTACTGAAATATGTATCACTGATGCTTTATATATTAAACTTTGAGAAGCAACAGCAAAACGACATAAGCGACCATAATATCACAATTACATGTCCATGCAAACATAATTGTGCTGCATCAAAAGCGGAACAATGTTTGTCAATATCAGCAGTAATTTTGAAGGATGACATATGAGATGCTAAAATTGCTCCAATTACTTGATGAAGAAACTTTCTCAAGTTTTGATGCATTTCCCCTAAATAAAAAAATGCATTGAAACTTCAAAAAGTTTCTCCATCCAATAATTGGAGCAATTTTAGCATCTCATATGTCATCCTTCAAAATTACTGCTGATATTGACAAACATTGTTCCGCTTTTGATGCAGCACAATTATGTTTGCATGGACATGTAATTGTGATATTATGGTCGCTTATGTCGTTTTGCTGTCGCTTCTCAAAGTTTAATATATAAAGTTTCATTTTTGGAAGAATTGCATGTTATTTTCTGTGTGAGATATCTGCTAAGGATGAGCTATTTTGTCACTCTCCACTCATGAGACTAAACTATATTTCTCACTATGTAGCATTTCTCAAGTACTTATGTAACCAATTTTCATTACATCCTTTTGACAAGTATTGGATAAATCAGTTATTTTATACACAGTTTTAGATGTGAGAAAGTTGTATATCTCCCTCAGGATAAATCCTATACTGAAAACCTCCTATTACATAACCCTTCTATATTTTCCCCAAGGTATGGAGGATGTGACAAAGAACCTTGAAGCATTAAAACAGCAGCAACTGGAAGAGTTAGAGAGTAGGCATACATCAGAGATGGAGCAACAGGCCATCACACACAAGGCACACCTGGAGGAAGCTAACACCACTTGGCAGGCCAGACTGGAACAGGTACCCCTTGCATGGTTCTATATATTGTCTCGTTAGTGATGTGATCTTGATGTGACCAGAGTATTATATTTGGACTGGAATAGTTTACCACATTGGGCAGCCCTGAGTGGGGGGGGGTATAAAACCCAGTTTCACAACATAACCACAATTTGTCACAAACATTGAACCCTTAAATGAGATGATAACAATATTGCATTGATATTCCCAGATTAGAAAGTTTGAGATACATGTATTTTGTAAAAACAGACATACAACAATGTTATGACAGTTGTTCTATTTTGTTATTTGGCTGTAATTATAGTGTACTTACCAGGGAGGGCCAAGAGGCCTTGTACTCTACCTAAACAATGTTACTATATTAAGATTCAAAATTCACAAAGAAGAAAGGATGCATATTGCATCATATGAAAAAAACAGAACATGAAAAAACAGTTTTTGAAAAATAAAGGGTTAATTTTTCTGTGTACCAGGTAACATTGGAGCACCATAAAAGAGTTGATGAGATTACTGTAGAGGGAGAGAACAAGGTGAAAGAGCTGCTTGAAAACTGTGAGGCACAGGTGGAAGAACTGAAGGCTACCAAAGATGCTGAGGTATTTATAAAACCCTATTGAGTATTTTTAGGGACGAGAGCATCATTTAAATATTATCTCTGATTCGAACATGACTGTATTCATGCCTTCTGTAAACTGTAAACAAAGTCAACATTTTACCCGGGGTATATTCGCGAACAATACCCCTGGTAATACGTGTAATGTGTGATGTCATAACCGCGGACTTAGTAATGGCAGACCACAATGAATATTCGAAATATTTTGGTGAGTTTTCATGTTTGAATCGTAATATAGACCTCAGAGCAGGTGAAAATACGGTCGAATACACCCCTTAGGGCTAGGCACAAAAGATTTCAAACCCCTTACTCCCTTCGGTCGCTCGGGGTACAGAAAACGTTTGTGCCTAGCCCTGCGGGGTGTATTTGACAATACTACCTCTGCTCTGAGGTCTATATTTCTTAAATGTAAGATGTAAGAATGTCTGCCTTCCCAAATTGCAGCAATTAATTTCAAGTGTATATTAAGGCCTGCGTCCATGATCAATTTGAAAACTACTAAAGCTGCACTTAACCATGGGCTTTCAAACAGTTAAATATTATACTTATTCCTCAGATTTTGAGAAAAGTAAACTTTGCAATTAGTCTTTGGATTAAGCCTTTTTCATATCCATCCAATGACTACAAACTGTTCCTGTAAATAACTATACCATGTATATCTGTTATTGAAACATTTGTTCCTAGAATGCTACCTTGAAGTCTGAGTTGGAAAGTTCCCAGAAAAAGATTGATGAATTGAACCAACAGTTTGAACAGGAACGCCAGAACCTGATTGACCAATTAGAACACTCGATGTCAGATCTGAACACACAGACGGATGAGATCGAGAAAACTAACAAGGAGCTGACTGTTCAGATACATGAGAAAGACAATCTTCTCCAGGAGTACAAAGAAAAGTTTGAGTCATTGCGTGAGTTACAGTTATTTCCTTGAGTTTTGTATTAGTTAATGAAAATATACTAAGAAATCATGTGCTGTGGGCTGATGTGAATAAGTCAGTTCAAAACAGTGGACATGTATATGGTCAAGTGCCCTACCACTGAGCTACAGGACTAATTGACACTATCTCATCAACATTTTATGTATAGCATTGTAGTATTGCATTAAAATGCATTAGTTCTTTCATTCATAAAGCTAGAAAATCTTGAAACAATTAGCTAAGAGGGAAAACATATACAGTGTACTAGGTAATAATCTTTTATATAGGGGCTGAAAATGAACACTTCATGGAACAAAAGCAGGCAGAATTTGACAAGCTACAGAGCCACCTATTGGAGCTAACTGAGGAGAGGGATCGACTAAAAGAGGATATTAGAGAACAAATAGGCACAATGAGGTAATAAAACTACAAAATATTTGCAAAAGTTATGAAAATGGTATAGTTCCAAATTCCTTTGTCAAAATCACTAAATTGAGTACCGGTAGTAAAAAAAGTGAGAGCTACATCATTTTGAGATTTACGCCAATCTTGCAAACTTTATGATTTTCTTATTGTTAAACTATTCCTTTTCATTACAGCTTTAAATCAATATATAATTTACTATAATATTTCTGACTTGTGAGTCTCATTTAGGAACAATCATTGCTTAAATGCTGAGACTTGTTGTAGTATTATGTGTTGTAGTATTATGTGTATATTCGGTAGATCGATTAATATGACACTTTGTATTTAAATGAAATATTGTATCTGATTTGAATGTCTCTCTGTTTAAGGTCAGAGGCAGAGACGAATGGAAATGAGCAGAAGTTGCAAATAGAAAAGCTACAACAAGAGATCAATGTTCTCAAAACTGAGAAAGAAGATCATCAGAAACTGTCCCAAACAAATGATGAGACTTTACAAAATATGAAAATAGAACATGACAGGGAGCTTGAAGATATGCAGGAGGAGTATGCCAAATCCATTGAAAATCTTAATGCAAAACATGCAGCTGCTATTGAAGATTTAAATGCTGCACACGAACAGACACTGAGTGAATTAAACTCTAAACATGACAAGGCTTTAGAGAATATCAGACACGAAAATGATAAACTCCAAGATGAGAAATCAGAGGAGCATAAAAATAGACTCCTTGAGATAGAAAGAGAGTTTAATAGCAAAGTGGAAAGTCTCAATTTAGAACATTCCAATAAAACTCAGGCATTAGATGATGAAATCCAATTGTTGAAAAATAGCACTGAGACTTTGAAAGAGCAAGTTGATGGAAATGTAGAAGCTTCTAAAATCATGGAAGAAAAAGACAAAGAAATTAAAACTATACAAGATAAGTTGACGGCACTCAGGGAAAAAGCATCTGGGAAACTCCAAGCTATGAAAAAGCAATTAGAACAGAAAGAAGTCACTATCGTAACCTTGAGAGAGGAGCATACATCCACATTGGAGGCCACTAAAATGGAATATGAAAACAAGATAACTGAACTTGTTGATAATGACATTGAACTGCAAGCCAAGTTGAAAGAATTGACTCATAGATTAAATGATACGGAGGAAAAACTTCAAGATTTGACTCAAACATATGAAACTGCTGTTGAAGAATATCGCAATAAATTAGAATCACAAAGAGAAAAACATAAAGCAGAAAAAGCTATGTTGAATGAACAAATTGATGAATTTGAAAATGCCAAGTCTTCCAAACTGGATGAGAGCAGCAGGATTTTAGAAGAAAAGGTGCAAGATTTTGAAAAAGAAATGAAAGAATCAAGTGAAAAACATACCAAAGAACTAGAGAATTTAGAAAAACAGTGGGAAGGAAAGTACGAAACTGAAAGAAAAGATTTGGAAAATCAGTGGAAAGGAAAGTTAGAAGATGTGATAAACCAGCACCAAACAGACATTGAAAATAATGAAAAAGTACATAAAGAAAAGATGCACGAAATGAAACAGAAGTATGTTGCTAAGTTCCGGGAAGTTCAGTCAGATAATAATTTAAAAATGGACACACTGGGAAATAAGTTAACAGAAATGGAATCACGGATGTCAGACACCAAAACAGCATTGAATGAAGAATTAGTTTCAAAAGATAAACAACTAGAAGAACTCAAAGTAGATCTTGAACAACAACAAGCGAAGATATCTGATTTAAACCAGATCAAACTGGATCTTTCTGCTAAAGATATCATCATTAATGATTTGAAATCTCAGATTGAAACACTGGAAGTGGAAAATAAACAAGTAATAGAGCAAGCCCAGACTCAACATGAAAGCATCTCTCGGGAACTCACAGAGAGATTATCTCAAGTTGAGTCAGAGCTTAAAGTGAGCGAGACAAAGTGTGTTCAAGTAATGCTAAATGAAGCTAACATGAAAGGTCAGCTAGAGCACTTGGAGGATCAACATAAGGAAACACTGAAAACAATGGAGGAAAGACAACTTCAACACACTGATAAGCTCAAGGCTTTAGCAGAGAAGCTGGAACAAGAGGGGAACACTAAACTTGCAGAGCTTAAGAAAAAAGCTGAGCAAAAACTGTCTCAGATTAAGAAACAACTTGGTGAAGGTAAAAATGAGACAATTGCCGAGCTGAATGAAACTGTTGCTAAACTTCAAGATGAGATCTTAGAACTGAACACTGATAAACAGCAATTAAATAACGAAGTGAGCCAAATTAAAACTGACCTAGAAAATATGAAAAGTCAATATGACATCGAGAGAGAAAATGTAAAAAGTCAGCATGAGAATGAAAAAGAACAGTTACGCACTAGCTTTGCAAGTCAACTAGAAGCAAAAGAAAACATGCTGGAGGAATTTACTCAAAAGTCTGAGAGTAACCAAGACCTGGAAGTCAAACTAAAAATCCTTATTAAAAACCTAAAGAAAGAAAAGGAAGAACTTGGTACTAAAATAGAAAACATTGAAACTGAAAAGACTGAATGTCAAACAAAATTATCAACACTAGAGAATGATTTAGAAAAAGCAAAGAGTGAAATTCAGAGACTTCAAAATGAAAAAGAGGTTGATGTGAAGACGATAAGGTTTGAATATGAAGGCAAGATATCAGAGCTTCAAGAGGAATATAATGGCAAGATAGAAGATATAGAGGTAGAGCATGGGAGTAAATTGAAGCATCTGATAAAAGAGTTCAATCTGAAGATGGCTGAAAAGGAGCGGGAATTCCAACAAACTTTCACTGAAGCTATTGGTGAGTAGATTTCTTACATCAAACAGTTAGCAGGAGCGTAGCCAAGACCTGAAAATTTTCATTGCAGCATCAAATAAATGAGACACAGACTGAGTTCATTTAGCAGTTTCAAGTGAAAAATGGATGAATTCTTATTTTTCTATTTCATGCCTGGCTACTCCCATGGCTAGTAATGATCTGACTGATTTCACAAAATAAAAAATCATTGGTCAACAAAAGGCTAAAGATGTCTGAGTTACATGGTATAATTTCTAATTTGTGTATTTCAATATTTAATGTGGCACTGTGGCATGCTAAATGTGGAACCAAAATAGTACTATACTGTATTTTAACTTGCCATTCCAGAAAAAGGCCAGAATGCGGACTCCAAGATGATGTCAGAGCAGCGAGAGACCATGGAGGGTTTGTATAACGATCTACATGAGAAGGAACGGCAATTGGAAGATATTGAAGAGCGCCATGTGTTACATCTTAGGGTAAGTTTATTCACTTATGATAGTTCAATTGACCATCCAAATTAGTGTGTAGAATACATACCCATCAGTTAAAGGTAAATAAGATGATATCCATCAAAAGGATTAAGGGATATGAATGGATAATGTTATTGGTTTTCACCACTGCCAATGTAACTCACCTCGTTTAACCAATTAAAAATTGATCTTGGAAAAAAGTATGTGAATGATTTTAGCAAATATTTTAGAAATATGTATTCCTCTAGGAGCGTGAATCAGAACTGCAGGGTAAGATAGATCAGCTGGAAGGACTGTTGGAGCAGAATGCCCAGGAGCACCAGCAAGAGTTGAAGGCTCTGGAGGAGAGAATGAACCAACACACAGAGAGGATTTTAGCTGAGAAGGCTCGTCAACATGGGGAGGAGGTGGATGGATTAACCAAGGAGTGGAATTGGGAAAGAAAGGTAGAGGAATTAAGTCATTCGGAGTACATTTATGTTGTGATTATGTGGTCCTGTAATATACCTTGATCTGGGTTTGTATGATCTTTCGAATACATTGTCCTGAAATAATTGATCAGATATATCAACCAGTTTACATGAAATAACAAGGGGTTCCTTCAAGGATGGCTTATTGATCTTTCATGGTGACATATGTTAAACTATTATTGTAAAATATGGGACACATTATCAGTGGCAGAGCCAAGTACATAATGCTGAATCTCTCTTTCAAGGAAGAAAAATCAATCTATTGGAAAGATAAGGGGAAAATATGCACCTGTTCTCACCTTTATTGATAGACCAGAATATTTAGATTATTCAGGTCCAAAGTTTTGGGGATTAATTTTATTGAAATCATTATAGACATAGAATTCTTAGCTTTGTAAGTAAAGTCATTTGGGAGTGGTCAAGGTCATATTGCAAGAATCATTGATATTAATTAAATGAATCTGTTCCTCTGTATTGTAAATTGTAAATGTAATGTCATTATTTGTATATTAGACTAGAGCCTGTTGCTTAAATTGGTGATATCAGTATGAAGTATTGTTCCCCACACACAAATAGTACATTATATTCAGAGAATTATCACGGAAATATTTTATTCTATCTACAAGTATGTGAATACCAGTGTAGCTTTGAGGATTTGGAGAATTTTGCTTGTTAAAGTGATACAGGTATTCCTTGAAAATAGAATGAAATATTTGATTTTGTTGTTCACTGTAATGTTTCTTATTGTGCTGGCATATATCATGATCAGTATATGACATCATATATGAATGGGGCTCATTTTGGAGGACGATATTACAAAATCAAAGTGTAGGAAAAATCACTTTTTAAAAGGATTTTCTACCATCTGCCAATGAGCAGTCAATAAGCAGTGAGCATCACATGGAAATACCACATAGGTAATTTTGAGTCATGTGATCTGTGTTAAAGCAGTTACAATTACAAAATGAGAAACTGTCGACAGTGAGATAACAGTAATACAATGTATATTGTCTTATTTTATTTTGTGCCGATTATTCATTCACTCAATAACACTGTATATTTTATGTACCACAGTATTGTTTTGCCTCACAGGTATTTACCTTCATTCACAATATTCTGTTGGTTATGGGGAAATTGTTGCTTTTCAAAACATTACCTAATATGGTGTTTATAATCATGAAAGTTACATTAAAATTTTCATCATGTTGAACTTCCTTAAGATGTCTATTGAAAGGCCATGGATGACCAACTGGATATTCTATGTTAAGGCACCTTAAATGTAGCTTTTACGTTATCATTTGTTATGTTTTAGCCCCTAGATGTATCAGACACAAGAACATGTCAGGTTGGTAGACAAATATGCACTCACTTTGCAACAAGGTGTGTCATCGATAAGTCAGTTTTGCTTTGATCAAGGCCAGTTTATTTTTTCAGTATGCATTGGAAAATAACATGGCAACTTGTCATTAACTCATTTTTGACCAATATGGTAAAACATTATGACACATCCTGTTTTGTACAATTTTCATTTTATGGCTGGTCAACTAGGAACAAGTATCCAGAAAATTTCTATCGTATGATTTGCTATGGTTGGTTTTTTTTATTATTACTCTAGTTTTAAATGAGTCGTAAGTGTCACTTAGGAAAACTGGATTTGCAGATTTAGAGATAAATGCAAAGTAAAAATAAAGTAGTTGACATAAAATGAATAGCTTTTAAATTATTCTCTGATCTATATTTGATTCTCACTTTAACAAAACATACAGATGCCATTTACTTACAGACTTATATAGAAATATCAATTATTATAAACTAGCAGAAGTACTAGCGGAAGTACCCCACCTAATATTGAATCTGTTTAGATTGTTATATTTGTATGTGTAGGAACTGGTTTATCAGAACCAACAGGCTCTTACAGCCATTCAGAGTGGGCATGATGGTATTGACACACTCAGGCAGACTATCATAGGACTCTCGCAAGAGACTGAGATGCTGCGCGAAAAACACAGGTAAGTCAGAATATGAAAAATAAAAAATAACAACCTCTTGTAAAACGAATCTGCACAACTAATATGAAATCGATAAGGCATCCTCATTGAATAATTCACAACACGTTATTTTTATTTTTTGTTAATTCAAATAATTTTTGTTAAACTTGTTTGATTGACTGATCTGTGTTAAAAATCTAAATGATTTCAACAGTAAAAGCAAAAATGACAAGCTTTTATGCAGTATTTCTTCCATATTTTCTGTCTTCCTATTCCAGGTTAGATTTACTGGAGATCCAAGGAGCCAAGGAGATGAACTCAGGTGTTCTACAGATGCCTCTGAAGCCAGAGAGTGAAGGCACAGAGCAGCAACAGCTAGAGTTATACAACATGAACTTACAGGCACAGGTTTCTCAGATGAATGGAGAGATTGCTCAACTGAAACTCAAGGAGAAGGAGAATTTGGCGCAGGTTAGATAATCCTTTCATTTAAAGACATTTGTAAGGGTATCGGAAGGGGAACTCAACAGTCAGCGTGAGAAGTAAAAATCTGTGATCTCTGAGCTTCTGATATTCCCTTCCCCTTTTGAAATATTTGACTCATAATTCAAAAGGGAATTCCAGATTTTATGAACAGTTGGAGTCTTTCTTCTGTCTTCTATTGAGATCAGTTTTATTGTTTTAGATTCACATGTTACGAGGCAGGTTGGAGTCTGAGGGTACTCCACCACAGTCCCCACACGTGCATGGGAGCAACAATGTCACTGGGCCACTGCTTAATGAAGTCACAGAGTTTGAAGTAGGTGCATTTGTCTAGTAATTGAAGATGTATCATAGAGTGACACTGCTTTAATGCAATAATAACTGAAAGTTTTGTACAATGGAAAAACATTATGGGCCATGGAAGGATTTAGTTTACCATAACTTGAAAACGTACCTCAACAAAACAGATACGTCATCTCTGTGTCATTGAATTATTAGAAATTACATGTACATTCCTTTCAAATGAATGCCTTGTCACACATGCCTCGGTAACTTTAAAGTTCCAACTCTCCCTCATCATCCCTACTCCTCTGAATAGCACAGTGGATGGGAATTTCTTGGATTTAACAGCCATGTTTTTCAACACCCAGGATTTTATTCATATTTGAACTTATTTCCACATTGCAGTACCTGCGAAACATTCTTTACCAATACATGATGGGTAACCAGACTGAAACGCTGTCCAAAGTCATTGCAAAAGTAGTCAAGTTCACAGATGATCAGACGCAGAGAATATTGAGCAAAGAACAAGAAAGAATGGTAAGACCATCTGGGGTAAGATATTAGCATTGTTAATTTTGCCCATGATTGTGATGTCACATTCTCAGACTTTTCTCAGAATTCAACTAATGATAGCAGTTTTGTTTTATTCAATATCAGCAAAATCAAGAGTAAAACAAGTCTTACTCGGGGTGGAAAATTTTCTAAGAGGCTCCGTTAAGGAAAAAATGACTTTTTGAGCTGGATGGACTTTCTCTGTATTTTTTATTCTATTAGGGTGTCCTGCATAAGGGGTTTCGCCTGCGAAGCATATAACTCTTGCGAACATATCTAAATACTGGTCCGAAGAAGACATACCTTGAATTTTTAGAAAATAATTAGCTAAAAATGGAAACTACAAAAAGTCAAAATGTTCAACTCATACAAAGTTGTGGCTATTCTATATCAATATTATGTGTTGTGTAAGGTTTCTCAGATGTTTCAGGACCTTCATTAGTATACCTGTGTCTAGAAATGTGACATTTAAGGACAAAATTTGGCATTTTTTAATCATTTTCGCTTTCAGCATTAACATATAGTTCCTTATATCTTGAGTTTTATGCTGACTGGTTGTTGCAATTTTGATTAAATGTGTGCTTGTACATGTGTTCTTCCATTTAAGGTATAGAAAATGTATAGTGGACACCCAATGCTCGTATGAGAGCTTTCAGATCTCCCCTACCCCATTTATTATGCAAAATTACCGAAAAATATGAAAAAATAAAATAACTTGAAATTATAAACGTTAACAAAGTTGTAGCTATTCTATATCAATATTATATGTTATTTAATGTTTTTAAGATTTTTAAAAACCTTTATCGGTATACAAGTGGCTAGAAATGAGACATTTAATGACAAAACTTTGCATTTTTTTTATCATTTTCGCTTTCAGCAGTAATATATAGTTCCTCATATCTTGAGTTTTATGCTGTCTGATTGTTTCTTTTTCAATCAAATCTGTTCTTGTGCATGTCTTCTTCCATTTAAGGTATAGAAAATGTATAGTGGACAAATAATGTTCACATTAGAGCTTTCAGATATCCCCTACCCCATCTGTTATGGAAAATAAATGAGAAATATGAAAAAATAAAATAACTTCAAATTATAAACTTTAATAAAGTTGTAGCTGTTCTTTATCAATATTATGTGTTATTTAATGTTTCTAAGATTTTTAAAAACCTTTATTGGTATTCAAGTGGCTAGAAATGAGACATTTAAGGACAAAACTTTGCATTTTTTTTATCATTTTCGCTTTCAGCAGTAATATATAGTTCCTCATATCTTGAGTTTTATGCTGTCTGATTGTTTCTTTTTCAATCAAATCTGTTCTTGTGCATGTCTTCTTCCATTTAAGGTATAGAAAATGTATAGTGGACAAACAATGTTCACATTAGAGCTTTCAGATATCCCCTACCCCATCTGTTATGGAAAATAAACGAGAAATATGAAAAAATAAAATAACTTCAAATTATAAACTTTAATAAAGTTGTAGCTGTTCTTTATCAATATTATGTGTTATTTAATGTTTCTAAGATTTTTAAAAACCTTTATTGGTATTCAAGTGGCTAGAAATGAGACATTTAAGGACAAAACTTGGCATTTTTTAATCAATGCTGCTTTCAGCAATAACATATAAATCCTTATATCTTGAGTTTATGCTGACTGGGTGATGTATTTTTTATTAAATCTGTTCTTGTACATGTCTTCTTCCATTTAAGGTATTGATAATGTATAGTGGACAAACAATGTTCATATTAGAGCTTTCAGATCTCCCCTACCCTATTTATAAGGGAAGATGACCGGAAAATATAAAATATAACTTCAAATTACCAGTATAAACTTTAACAAAGATGTAGCCATTCTTTATGTGTTATTGAATGGTATAATTAATGTTTAGAAATAAGACATTTAAGAACAAAATTTGGCATTTTTCATCAATTTTTCATCAATTTTTCATCATTTCCACTTTTAGCAATAACATATACTGTATTTCCTTCTATCTTGAGTTTTATGCTGATTGGTTGATGGATTCTTGAACAAATCTGTTCTTTTGCCTGCCTACTTTGATTTAAGGTATTTAAACATGTATATTGGACAGCCTGTCATTATATTAGAGCTTACATATCTCCCCTACCCCATTTATTTTGAAAAAATAACCAGAAATATAAAAACCAAACAATTTCAAAGTATAGACTTTAACAAAGTTGTCGGTATTCTAGATCAATACTATGTATTATTTGATATTTTTCAGATGTTTCAGGAACTTCATGAGTATACAAGTCTAAAAATTAGACTTTTAAAGTTGAGTTGCAAATGGGGCGGGTATTCTCTATCTTTGTCTATTTGGGCTTTCTGGTAATAATACGTTGCAAACTGCTCATGAATCTATGCAATGTATAGTAGAACACTTGGAATATATTTAAATGTAATGGGGTATTATAGTGTGATAATTATAACCAGTGATCAAGCCATATTGGTTGAATTCCCTCATATCAATTGCAATGTTGTCAAAGGCTTGGCCAACAAGATGATTTTGAAAAGTATTACAAAATGACAAGCTGTCTTTGGTTTATGAAGCAATGTTACTGTATCTCTAAAATGGGATGAATTTCACTTATGGCAGAGCTGCTATTAAAGTTTGCAAAACTGATTGTTGCAACAATCTATCAAATACTAATCATGAAGAAGTTGACACTCTCCTTATGCCCCATGTCTAGTACAGTGCTGCAGACATGACAAAGGAATTCAATGTTAAAGGAATATTCCTTGCCAAACCATCTCTCTCCTCATATGGTAGTTATTACCATATATATGCTTGCCATGTTTAGCAAAACACGGAAAAATGTTTTGATATGGTCAAATTTGATCACTTAGAAACATATGTCCTAATATTTTAGGATGAGTTTCTCAGAACTATAAAAATTATTTAGAGATCTTTACATATCTAAATATATAGCTTGTGGTGTCATGAGCAACTTAGACATTTAAAATGACTGAAATGCAGCTCTAACATAGAACCAGGGAGATATTAAAAATCATGCTGTTGCTGGATTAAGTTCGAGAGTTGTGAACAATCATGTTTATACATAGACATATTCTTTGATTCATATGAGAGTAAAATGTGAAATTACAAAATTATTTTGCACTATTCTATTTTTGAGTAATCTTTTAAAAATATGGTACATGTAGTATAGTAATTTTATCTTTAATATGTACATATGTGTTTAAAACACATTGTCTATGCTTTGAAGATAACAAGGCACATAATTGAATATATATGATCTAAAATATATCAACTAATCACCATTCAACTAAAAATATAAACAACTATTGCTGAAAGTGAAAAATTGGTCATTTTGCCCATTTATGTGTCATTTTTTGATAATAGTGTGCTTATAAATGTGCTAAACTTTTGAAAAGCTTAAAGAGGCTAGCACAATCAAGGCCCCTCTGGACTTTTTTTGCATATTGAATTTCACCACATATTCACCCATCTACTTTCCAAAGAAGAAGTCCCAAATCGCCCTCTTTCAGTATAAATTTTTGCGATTGTGCTGGCCGAGAAATTAATTCAATCTGAAGTTTAAATAGACCGGGAAAGTCCTCCTGTTATCTGATTGGTCATTGGATTTGTTTATCATGAACGTATTGGCTGCCTGGTTCAAGGCGCTTGTGACTCAATGGGGATTCCCCTCGCTAGCCGAGGAATCGATTGTGTTTAATTCTGGAGGTTGGTTGTTTTGTTGATAATTTCAATATTTCGGCAATAATATGCCCATAAGTTATTCTCAAGATATATCCATAGTATGTTAGATATTATATGAGCAATAACAACATTGATTGTCTTGGGGAGAAACCTTTGGTATACTGCACCTTTAAGAATATTAACATGTAATAATAATAACATTTTTGTTGGTTTTCTTATTAAATGGTGGAGGGGAGATCTTAGACTTCTAATAAAAACATTCGTTGTCTTACATACATTTTCTATAACTTAAATCAAAGAAGACAGATTCAATAAAAAAACATATATCAATCTATCATCAAAGAATTATAATTGTGGAAAATTATATGCTACTGCTAAAAGCAGAATGCTAAAAATGCCAAATTTTGTCCATAAATTTTAGACAAATGTAATCGCATGAAGGTAACATTAAATAATACAAAGTATTGATAGAGAATAGCTACAATTTTGTTAAAGTTTATGTTTTGAAATTACTTTTTCATTTACATTATAAATGGGGCAGGGGAGATATGAAAGCTCTAATATGAACATTGGTTGTCCAATATACATTTTTTATATCCTAAATGGAAGAAGACATGTACAAGAACAGATCTGACCAAGAATGCACCAACCAGTCAGCATGAAACTCAAGATACAAGGACCTATACATTATTGCTGAAAGCAAAAATGGTAAAAAAAAATGCCACGTTTCTGCCGTAAATGTCTCATTTCTAGGCACTAGTTTAACAATAAAGGTTCTGAAATATCTTAAAAACATTAAATAACACATAATATTGATATAGAATAGCTACAACTTTGTTTAAGTTTATAATTTCAAGTTATTTTATATTTTCATATTTTTCTTTAATTTTTCATGATAAATGGGGTAGGGAAGATCTGAAAGCTCTAATGTGACCATTGGTGGTCCACTATACATTTTCTATACCTCAAATAGAAGAAGATATGTACAAGAAAAGATTTGATTAAGATTGCAACAACCAGTAAGCATAAAACTCTATATATGAGGAACGATATGTTACTGCTGAAAGCTAAAATGATTAAAAAATGCAAAGTTTTGTCCTTAAATGTCTCATTTCTAGGCACTAATATACCAATTAAGGTTCTGAATTATCTGAAAAACATTAAATAACACATAATATTGAAATAGCTAAAACATTGTTAAAGTTTATAAATTCAAGTTATTTTACTTTTTCATATGTTTCGGTAATTTTTCATAATAAATGGGGTAGGGGAGATCTGAAAGCTCTAATATGACCATTGGTGGTCCAATATACATTTTTTGTATCTTAAATGGAAGAATACATGTAGAAGAACAGATTTGATCAAAATTGCAACAACCAGTCAGCATTAAACTCAAGATATAAGGAACTATATGTTACTGCTGAAAGCGAAAATGATCAAAAATGCCAAATTTTGTCCTTAATTATCTTATTTCTAGACACTGGTACACTAATGAAGGTCCTTAAACATCTGAAAAACATTAAATAATACATAGTGTTAATATTAAATGGCTAGAGTTTTGTTTGAGTTGAACATTTTGACTTTTTGTAGTTTCCATTTTTAGCCAATTTTTTCTAAAAGATTCAAGGTATGTCTTCTTCGGACCAGTATTTAGATATGTTCGCAAGAGTTATATGCTTCGCAGGCGAAATCCCTTATGCAGGACACCCTAATAGAATAAAAAATACAGAGAAAGTCCATCCAGCTCAAAAAGTCATTTTTTGCACTATTCTCACACCTTCCACCCCGAGTATCTGGCGAGAGTGATTTTTCCTTACATGGTTTATCATTTTGGATATTTCTTGTGTAATTGATCAATTAGCATCAGAGCACTGTCTCATTTGTTTCACACTAAATTCAACAGGTCATTGATTTGAATTATTGGGAGGGCGGTAAAAAGCTGCTTTTAGTGTATCTTGCAACTGTGGTTGAAATAACAGTTTCCAAAGCAGTGGTTAAAGTAACAGTTCCTTTCCAAACAGTGGATGAAGTAACAGTTTCCAAACAGTGGATAAAGTAACAGTTCAGAGATAGGATTTTCTTTGTATTATATAGCGTGAAACATTTGAGACAAGCATTTAGCATGTTATTGTATGTTGTATATATAACAAGAGGCTCTGTTTTTAGTACTAGTGACTTATCATCATGTATATTATTGTTAGATGTAATCATTAAAAATATATAAATATTTCAGACTTATTGAAAGTAGCATTTGAGGTTAGTGTTTGATTAAAAAAATATTATTTTATTATTTTGTTTCAATATTGTTAAATTGTTATTTTTGGGATGTGTTGTTTTATGAACATTTTGTATTTTTAGATAAGTTTTGTATTCAAACCCCAACAGATATTTTTTGTTTATACACATTATATTTAATATTTAAAAACTATATTAAGTTAGAAATTGCTGCATTAGGCAGGGATATGATGTACACATACATCTAAAACCTAAAATTATCAATAGGGCATATCAGTGTTTAAAACAATTTATTTTGTTTTTGCATCAAAGAAAATGGAACGCATAGTTGGGTTAGCAAGCCCTATTTCTTGTTCAAGGTACAATGACAAACTGTATCATTTTGTTCATTAAGTAGATTACTGGTGTATGGCTGTATCTTCAATGAACGAAAAGCAAGCAAATAACAGAGGCCAAGGGGTACATTGCATTATTTTTTCAATTTTTGTATCAAAATTGTTCATTTTTTCATTTTTAGGAAGCTGTTTTCAAATCAATGTGAACTTTTTTTTTATTTAAAAAAAATTTCTTGCTAAGATAGCGTGTCATTTATCAAATAAATTATATTAATGAAACACAAGCAGAAAGCTAATACACTAGGAGAACCTGGTCAATATGTGTGTCAGTACAGTTAATGTATGTCAGTATTTTTTTTACTTTCATCTTTTTTGAACATATTTTTTACTTTCATCTTTTTGAACATATTTTATGCTTGGGATGTTATTTCCATTGAATGATTTATTTTTGATTGGAGTCTAAAGTTATCCAAAAGCATGTTGGATAACCTTAGGAAACCTCTTATGTATGGCTATATTATACTGAGAAGTATTATATGGTGATACAGATTTATGAACAATTTGCTGATTGGGATTTGCTAGTTGTTGGAGTTGCCAATTTCTAGTTTATCATGTATTATTTCTTTAGTTCTGTTCTTTGGAAGGGGTGACAGTTTTTTCATTTGTGGTTTGGTAGAGGGACAGGATACGAATACAATGAACAGTTTATGGATTGAGTTCTAGTATGTGTATCACATATATACAGTCTAATTGGTAAAGGACAGGTTTAAGACCAATATCAAAATAATGAATCACTTTTACTCTTGAATGACCCATTTTCTGAACTTTCATTTGATATTTAATTTCATGCCATATTGAATTTTGAATATGCTCCTTTGTGATAAATATGAAAATCATATGTTGTATAATTTTGAATTTGTTTTCAGTCCACGGGTTGGTTTTCGTCCCCAATGAAACAATAGCAGGATGAATACTGATGCTCGGACACAGGCACTAAGCTTCAATATCGATGTAATGAGCCATATGCTGGGACATTCTCTCCACCACTTGTTAAAGTTCTACATATTGATAGTCCAGAGACGGGTTTCTCAAAAATATTTTAACATATGCTTCATTTTATTTTTGAAAAACTTGATCCATATGGAGCTCAGTAGGGGAGCAACACTACGTGATATCATTGACCAGAGACAGAGTATGTGATGTTAGTCATAATATTCCCCTCGAGAAGGTATAGGAATCTACAAGGAATGCGAGTCAAAGAATTGTTCAGAAATCCATGACCAGAGATGATATCTCTAATTGATTACTATTTTCCATTAAACCTTACTCTGTACAATGTGATGCATTCTTAATGAATGGTTTCTTGCCTTGTTTGCATATTAGCAACTATATATCTGTCATATTTTTCAACTTGCAGGGGGCAATTCTTGACATATTATATTGAGGTAGAGTAGACATAGTAATGGGTGATTCAAGTGGGCATTTATCCAATTCATGCTTCATTTGTTGGTTGAGAGATAAATGATCACCAGATGACATTCTAATTGTGAATTATGAAAGAACTTGTATTATATTAATATTCTACATGTATATTGAATTCAGATGGTATATCTAATATTATGCCATGAATGGTGCTTATAATGAATTAACTGTAATGCCATGTTTGAAGATTTGAAAAAATCAGTATGCAGGTAGTATTCGTTCCCAATTTATATAGTATTATAGCTTGAAATTTCACTGATTGGGGTGTAAATACTCACTGTGAGTTATAATATACAGGGTGTCTCAAAAAAGGAAACCGAGATTAAATTGCTAATTTCTTAAAGGAATATTCCTTGCCAAACCATCTCTCTCCTCATATGGTAGCTGTAACCATATATATGCTTGCCATGTTTAGCAAAACACGCAAAAATGTTTTGATATGGTCAAATTTGATCACTTAGAAATGTGATGCTCAATTCCAGTCAGCTGCCATCTTTTAAAATTTCACACAGGAAGTGATGTCATCGACTCTCAACTTTGCATATAGCATTAGGTGAGGAGCTATTAAGAATTACAAAACCAGCTAAATATTCTTTTTCAACTTTGTATCTTATTTAATCCTTCTGAAAATCTCTTCTTTTATTCTAAGTTGACAAGCCCTGAAAATATTTTTGCACAGAAAGTAATGATCACTTGTCTAGAAGTGATTTTGCGCTACTTTCCTATACTGTTATGGGCAAGGTTATAGAAGTTGAGAGTTGATGACATCACTTCCTGCAAGAAATCTTAAAAGATGGCAGCTCACTGGAAATAAGCACTAGATTTTTAAATGATCAATATTGACCATATTAAAACATTTTTCCATGTTTTGCTAAATATGGAAACTATATATATGATGATAGCTACCATATCAAGAGAGAAAGGGTCTGGCAAGGAATATTCCTTTAAAGCTGAATAATGTAAGGGAAAATTCGCAGGTGCCTTCATTTGCATCATTATGTCCTCTTTCATATGATACCAAGATGTTCTATTTTCCTCCACAGATGACTGAGCAATCAGGGATTTAAGTTACCATGTCATAGAAAATAGACAACTTTGGTATCGTAAGAAAGAAGACATCATAACCTATCAGATGGTAGCTGTGAAATTTTCCTATTATTATTCATATTTGAGAAATAAAGAATTTAATCCCCATTTCCCTTTTTTAAGACACCCTGTAGAATAGAGATAACGTATATTTCTGATTGATTTTGATTATATAGCTTCCATAAATGACTAGTAAAACCTATACAATCTGAATGCTATTGGGACCAATTAAAAAAACATTTTAACTGTTCCCCCCTATTTATTGAATTAAACACTCTATAAAAATGTTGATAACTGAATATTTCAGAGCAATGTGGTGAATAACTTTTAAATCAACTCCTGAAGTTTGGAAGTCAGATTTAAGTTTGAGATTAGAAAATCAATGTATAGATGGTCAAGATCATCTAAAGGCTGATTGTGTACTAATGGAATAATCAAAAAGCCTCAAGTTGAACTTATAAATAATATATCATATATTATACATGTAGATATAAAAACATATATCCAGGACCAGGAGCTACTACATAAATTCAGTATTATAGAAGTAAAATAATACTTTTCATAAGTAGCGTTTCAAGTTCACTTTTTCATTTTATCAAAATTTTAGTATTTTTTGCACACATTTATTTTACATATAAGCACCACCAGTATATGAAACAGTTCCTTACATCGGGACTTCGGGGCTAATAGGGAGTAATCTATAAAAATTACTAGCAGGCTGAGCGACTTCATACATGCCTGATTCTGATATACTCTTGTGATATTAGATATGAATACTATTTAATTATGTTTGTATTGTAATGCATAATGACCAAGATTCTTCGATTCATGACTCAAATTGTTGATATGGCAATTCATGATTAAAAAAATAAGTAGGCCTACAAAATATTTAATGTAGTTTATGCACTCACAATTCTCACATGTATTATATTGTTAACTAGTCTATTATGTCACCACCAAAAGTGGTGACATATTGTTATGGTCTCCGTTTTTTTGCGACGGCGTCCGGCGGTTGGAGGTTGGCGGTTGGCGTCCGGCGGTTGGCGTCCGGCGTCTGTAACAATTTCTTACAACTTCCTATAACTTAACAAATACTGTTTAGACTGACTTCAATTTTTTTCTAAATCATCTACATGTTCTCAGAAGTTCAAATCTGACTTTAGATTTGACATTTGACCTTCAATGACCTTCTCAAGGTCAAAAAGGTCTTTTTTCAACTTGCTTCACATTGACTAATTTTTTTTTCAAAATCATCTACATGTTCTCAGAAATTCAAATCTGACTTTAGATTTGACTTTAGATTTGACATTTGACCTTCAAATCTGACTTTAGATTTGACATTTGACCTTCAATGACCTTCTCAAGGTCAAAAAAGGTCAAAAAGGTCTGTTTTCAACTTGCTTCAAATTGACTAAATTTTTTTTTCAAAATCATCTACGTGTTCTCAGAAATTCAAATCTGACTTAAGATTTGACATTTGACCTTCAATGACCTTCTCAAGGTCAAAAAAGGTCAAAAAGGTCTGTTTTCAACTTGCTTACTAAAAAATTTTTTCAAAATCATCTACGTGTTCTCAGAAATTCAAATCTGACTTTAGATTTGACTTAAGATTTGACATTTGACCTTCAATGACCTTCTCAAAGTCAAAAAAGGTCAAAAAGGTCTTTTTTCAACTTGCTTCAAATTGACTAAATTTTTTTTTCGAAATCATCTACATGTTCTCAGAAATTCAAATATGACTTTAGATTTGACTTTGAATTTGACATTTGACCTTCAATGACCTTCTCAAGGTCAAAAAAGGTCAAAAAGGTCTTTTTTCAACTTGCTTCAAATTGACTAATTTTTTTTTTCAAAATCATCTACATGTTCTCAGAAATTCAAATCTGCCTTTGACATTTGACCTTTAATGACCTTCTCAAGGTCAAAAAAGGTCAAAAAGGTCTGTTTTCAACTTGCTTCAAATTGACTAAATTTTTTTTTCAAAATCATCTACATGTTCTCAGAAATTCAAATATGACTTTAGATTTGACTTTAGATTTGACATTTGACCTTCAATGACCTTCTGAAGGTCAAAAAAGGTCAAAAAGGTCTTTTTTCAACTTGCTTCAAATTGACTAATTTTTTTTCAAAATCATCTACATGTTCTCAGAAGTTCAAATCTGACTTTAGATTTGACATTTGACCTTCAATGACCTTTTCAAGGTCAAAAAGGTCTTTTTTCAACTTGCTTCAAATTTACTTAATTTTTTTTCAAAATCATCTACATGTTCTCAGAAGTTCAAATCTGACTTTACATTTGACATTTGACCTTCAATGACCTTCTCAATGTCAAAAAAAGTCAAAGAGGTATTTTTTCAACTTGCTTCAAATTGACGAATTTTTTTTTCAAAATCATCTACATGTTCTAAGAAGTTCAAATCTGACTTAAGATTTGTGTGCAACTAGTTTTAACTTGCTTCAGATTGAACAATTTCTTTTTTCAAAATCATCTACAAGATCCCAGAAGCTCAAATCTTCAAAAACATTCTTAAGGTCAAAAGGTATTTTCCAACTTGCTTTAAATTGACCAAATTGTTTTAGGTGGTGACATTTTGTCATGTTAATGCCTTGTATGTGTATACTATTAGGGCTATTCTGAAAAAATGTGTCTGAATTTGATTGGAGGGAACATGCCTCAAAGGTGAATTGTAATGAAATTATTTAATCACTGTTTATATGTTTGTTATGGATATAATGTACCATACTATTAATAATATAATATATTATACTTATATTACTAAGCACTTTGCTTTATGGGAAATTTATGGGATACCGGTATATAAATTATAAATAAAATATGCTTAATGAAATGGTTAATAAATTAAGTAAAATACAAACGAAAATCTTTTGTATAAAATATTTATTTTACAGATTATTACTTTTTCCTTCCATGATACAGAAAACTCCATTGTTGTGTTGTATTTTATTGTGAATTTCCACAATTTACCACAAAAAAGCTCTAAAACTGAGAAGTACCTTGAACTTAAATCAATGATGCATAATTGATTAGTCCAGTTTTTTATGTCCCATCTTAGTTTCATGCATTCAGTGTTACACTGTTTGGTTACACCAAGTATCTGAACATCATTAGATAGTGTCTGATCATACTGTGTTGCAGTGGGGTGGTTACATTGGGTAGTTGAGCATGACATCTTGTTTCGCCAACTCCAACAACATAGGATCGTCGAAGAATTTGTTGATACTGACATCTTCACTGAGGCCCTGTAATGTAAAATTACATATATGTATTGGGACATGTTCCTGAATTTCAGTTCAAAACTATGGCTGTCTAGTATAATTAAGGTGAACAGGGTGGAATCACTTTGAGACCTGAATGTCTGTCAGTGAGCAAGATTACTCATTCTACCTCACCCACCTTAATTGGTTTTAGCTACCTGGCTTAATTCAATAAAATATTAATATTCTGTTCAAAGTAATAATCATATCAAGACATCATAAAGAACAGACACAAATGGAATCTTTTTAACCTTGAGAATTTAGCTTGCAACTTTTGATTGAGAATTGTTGTTTCCTTATAAACTATGTGTTACCTTTCTTCGCCTAGTTTTCACCATGAACTCTCTGGCTAGAGCTGTAGCTGGCTGTGGCTCTAATGCACGGATAACTATACTTTTGTCTAAGGGGTCTCCAGGCACAATCTGAAACATAAGGAACCCATAGAATATACAAGACATTATCATACATAATGTCACCATCTGCCATTTGTCACAGATGCCAACCCTTGAATGCCAAACACCAACTGTCGAACACTGTCCATAAAAAAGATTGAGACCATAACAACATGTGATGGTGACATAAAAATGTTTTGATGAGCATTGGTAATCATAGCCAAGACTTGATAAATCTGACGGATGAAGTATCATGTCATTTTTTGCAACATGGAATAATATTAACATATAGTGATTTGAAAACCTATATAAAGTTGTCTCATATTAAGCCATATCTCACCTGCCAATGATGGAACACAGAGAGACAGAAGGCCTGCCCCTGAGTATGAGTCCTCAGATCTGTTTCAAATCCAAACGAATCTATCGCAGGCAGGAAAGCTTTTATAATATATAATGGGGATCCAGGGACTGGTGCATCCTGGGTAACATGTCCTCTGAAATGGAGAAAATTAATTTTATTGTACAGACATAGAGAAAGTTTTGTTCAAAAAGCATTGTTTCTCCTGGCTTTCAAAACAATTGAATTTATAGATCATAGGATATAATGAAAATAGATACTAACAACCCCACCCCCCCCAAAAAATACCCAAATTATGTTGCCACATTACTTCTCAATTTTTCAGAAATTTACAAGCGTGTATGATAGAAGCAATTGAAATCATACCTGCGTCTAGCAAGAACTGTGTAAACTGCCGAGACACAATCGGCTGGAGCTTGCACTTCAACAAAGTTGTAGGGTTCCATTAATCTTGGAGTTGCCTGTAACACAAACATATACAACAGCTTATATACAATACTAATATTAGTAATTTACTATGATATCCCAAGCAATACTTTTTAGCTAGAAGCCTAGAACCTTACCTAACATCATACTTTCTTTATTTAATAGGAACATGCAAGGCAAAATCTCTTCATAAATAATAATAAATTTGCTTAGAGCAATGATAAATTCCTTTCCAAATATTGATCATAAAAACTTACCATAAGGAATGCAGAATAAGCTACTCTTCTGGCTGTTGGAATAATTTGACCTCCTCCCCTATGAATTGGCTCTTGTGCTATTACTGCATCAAGGATTTTAAACTTACAGTTCCTTATAGCTGAAATTATACAGTGAAATCATGCATCTATAAATAATTATGATATATACAACAGATTTTATTTATGGGGAGTGTGAAAACATATACAGGGAAATCTTTATTAAGGTAGGCAAAATGTAGCTACTTTTGAACATGACATTAGTATGCAATCATGTCATTGTAAGAGTCTAAGCAAATTTCTCATTCCAATTGGCCTACCTTAGTGACAGACTTATGACCAACTTAATTAGCAACAATTTATTAGATCTGCCTCTTACACTAACATTTCTCTGATGGAAATTACATAATATTTCATTCTTACGTTCATCGCACAATGGGCCCTCTCTGGTTCCCCACTGGAAGCCTTGTACAATGCTGTCCTTCACTGAGCTCAACAATGCCTTGTCAACCTTGAGTGTGAGAAATAGAATATTCATTATACATAGCTGAACTCACAACAAGCAACAAAACTAAAACTAACTTACCTTTTATCTCCATGTAGGCAATAATTTGTACATTATTTCTGATTCTAACATGAACAATAGATTTATTGGTTTATATTGGAGTATGTATGACCGCTAATAATCATAAATGCAAATAGTTGTGTATCTTGTCTGTTTATCATATTAGAATCATAACAAAGACCTTGATTTTATGATTTATGGCGTGATATATGACCGAAACCTTTATTTTATTCATTGTTAAAAGACAGAAATCGCGTAACCTTTATATCTCCATGTAGGCAATAATTTGTACATTATTTCTGACTAGTGTATGTGCAAAATGTTAATGAACAGAAACGTCGTAAAAAATTTTAAATTCCTTTAATCCATTGTTGTAACCATGACCATGACAATGACATCATAGTAAAGGAGCACTGTACTTTGAGGCATTCTTATCTTTATGAAGTTTCTTTTAATAACTTTCAGATTACTTCTATTTGGCCTAGCTTAAAATCTAAACTTCCAGGAGACTTTTAAAGCATTTTAAAAGATGGCAGCAGATACTCACCTCTGAGGGCAGTGTGTCATCCACTAGAATATTTGGCCCTGTGGCATCAGGTCCAAATGCCCAGATAGAACGAGCAGCCAACAAATCCCAGTCATATTTGGTTTGGAAAAATTCTCCCAATCTTTTCCTGGGCCATGATATCTGTACCACTTCATTCTCAATGTCCTCGGCAAGACCCTTTTCTAAAGGTTCAGCAATCATGGTGATCTTATTTCTGTAACACAAACAAATATGAAATGTAGAAATGACATTGAAGTATAAAGCATGAGGTGAATATAACACATAGAAATTACACAGAAATAACAATCAAATACAAATTGAAATTTTTATGTGATGTGATAAGAAGATAACATGTAGAAATAGCGAAACAGAAATGAAATTTTATGTGCCTTAATATAAAATTTTGATGGAGTATAAATTATGTTTGAGCTAAAAATAAACTTACTTTTTATTGGGTGTTTCAGCAAAACATTTTAAAGAAGAGGTTTCCACAACAGTTTCACAGAATGACACAACAGGGTCTGCAACCTTTATATCTAAAATGAGAATCAGTGTGCATTGTAGTGATACAATACAATTTATTCTTATGATTCTGCAGGGGGAAATAATGTGGCAAGTACTGTCAGCTAATGGTACAACATATTCATTTGTAAATTGTGATGTTTGGCAGATTGTTTGCTGTACTATTGATAGGAAAAAGCATATCCTTCAATCAAAAATATGCCATTTAAGTAAAACTTGAACATTTATCTATACATTTCCTTAATTTTACTCGCATTCTTTTAAAATAAAACATCTGCATATACAGAAGGGAAACTGATAGATGAGTTCATAGAGACACTTCAGAGGAATATTTTGAATTATCACTGTCTAGAGTAAAATTCGAACCCTACTAGGGATGGCCAAAAGAGTATGGATTGGCAGGTCTTCACATTTCGAATTTTTTAACATGGAAGTCTATGGCAGATGGGAAATTGTACCCAAAAAACGTTCACATTGAGAGGCACTCATAGAGACATGTTCTGATATTTGGGTATATTGTACCTATCTCTGAGTACATCTTCCTGAGGTCATGCATTACACAATCCAGATACAGCTCCCCAGTCCCCAGAATCACATGCTCTCCCGACTCCTCAACCTATAAGGTATATAATATGATATAAACAACTCAAGGATAAAAATTCCAGAAATCACAATATATCACAACTATCAATATTTTTTCTAAAACGTCCAACATTACTGATGAAAATACCTTGAATTTTGCTATCCGAAAAAGCTCAGAGATTTTAAATCACTTAAAATTTTTAAATGTATACAAAACTATGAGATTTCCACAAATATACAGATTTTTGAAAATTGTAAAATCAACCTCAGCCAATACTTTCTGCTACATGTGTACTTTTCTTTACGAGTTGAATAACTTTGAAAACTTACTTTAGTAGTAAGAAGAGGGTAACTCTTGTTGACTTTCCTCAGACCATCCAACATTTTAGGCAGTTCTGATGGATTGACTGGCTCAACAGCTATCTTAATCACAGAGGATGTGTTGAACTTCAGGGGACGAAATATGTGTGCCTGAAAAAAAAATATCATCATTAATAGTAACACTAATAGTTAAGTAGTTTTTTTTACATGTAAATGTCTTCTTTTTTTTTCCTTTATAATTGTTATAATTTTTTGTTTGTACATGTACTTGACCCCAAAGGGTGTGAATGTACTTGAAGAATAAATGTATACACTGTACATGAAAAATGGCTGAACACAGTATTCACATTTAATGTTACATACAGATTAATATTTTTATTCATGTATTGAGAAAAACTGTGTAATGTACGATTTCAACTCTGATCGCTTAATGATACAATACAAGGGAGAATGACTTATTTTGTAACATACGAGTATAAAAGAAAAGTCAGTACTCTACAACTATATGCGTACATGGCTCCTTTTAACAAATTGAAAATGCTGACTATTAATATTATTGTTTTTATTTGAAGAAACTATTACAAATACATGAAAATATACATTATGCCTAATATCTACTCCATAGTACTAATTAGCTGCGGCTTGATTGAATCAATAGAGTAATCAAATTCAGAATTCAGAAATATTGTTTACCTCCTCATTGCCAGTTGCATCAGTGATGGTGGATGTCTTAACAATGGGCTGGTCGACCCCCTCTATCAACACCCAGTTACCTGCTGGCACCCTGTTCAACTCTATCTTGTACCTGTGAATAAAATATATGCAAGTTAAATATATGGTAGATGCAATTCATGGAAATTCACATATATTTCAAATATAATAGATGGAAAGTCAATATTTATTGCAAATGCAATTTATGCAGCCTATCAATCATTTGAGTTATCACCTGGACAGATAAATGAATCGATGGACAAACCAATGAATGGACGAAGGAACATCTCTCATTATTTGTTTTCAACTTGGTTCAATGGGATATAAATGCATGTTCACATGTCAGCATAATGCAAGAAAAAAATCAATACTACGAATTCTAACTTTTCAAGATAGGCACGTAGGATGTGTAACCAGCTAATGAACTTATCTTTAAACATTCACTTACTGCACTGGAGCAGTTCAAAAGATATCCTTGACATATCTTAGTTGATTTCAATTTATCATCACTTCGTAAGCCTAGTATTCTGTTTTTATCAATTTGACAATAATCATACCAAACTTGTGTCAGCTAGCTCTCTTTAATAAACTAAATGACATTTAAGCTATCTAATCTGGAATTCTTGCTCATTAATAATAGCTTATAAATATCCATAGTTGTTTTTAAATAAAAAATTGTTGAGGGTGCAATATTCAAGTAGTACACACTGACATCCTTAAGGTGTTCGAACACCTCTCTAATTCAAACACCTCTCTAATTCGACCACCTCTCTAATTCGAACACCTCTCTAATTCGAAAAACATCTCTAATTCGAACACCTCTCTAATTCGACCACCTCTCTAATTCGAACACCTCTCTAATTCGAACACTTCTCTAATTCGACCACCTCTCTAATTCGAACACCTCTCTAATTGGAACACCTCTCTCTAATTCGTACACCTCTCAATTTGAACACTTTCTTAGTCCCAGTTTTGTAATCTCCCATATTAGGTAAAACCTCGAAACATGAACATGTCCTGCAAATCCAACCACTTTTTGCCAGTACCAGAATTCACACTAGACAGGTTCTGCTGTATTTACTTTTCACTAGCTTCATACAGTGTATATAAAAACCTGACTTTCACAAGTGCAAAAATGCACGTTACACACAAATTCCAGTGCCAAAACATGTCATGTCATCCTTTATGAAATGTGAAAGCACAGTTTAATATTAATGATATATTAATTCAATTACGTCCTGGACCCAGAATGACATACAGTAAAACCTCTAACATTAAACACCTTCAATGAACACCTGTCCATAATCTGATCATTTTTTCATTCAGGCACCATTTTCCTGCAATTTTGAGTTCAATATTAAATTCATGTATCTGAGACAAACACCAAAAAACAGCTAGAACTGATACTACCAAGTCCTAATAATGTAAACCTGGAGCCTTATATAAGTTTTACTGTAGTTCAACAAACTATAACAAGTTGTGTAAAACTCTCTAAAATGGTGAAAGTAGAGTTATTCTTTCTCCTCGCCAGCCTGGTAGGGACTGGTACTGGAATGACTGTGACAGATCTAGACAAAGTTGATGGACACATTTCTGAAAAGGATGGAGTGCTACAAGAAAGAGAGGAACCTATAATAATATTTAACAAAGCCACTGAACTGTTCTGTAAGTACTGTTTTGTGCTACTGCACTTACACAAGAAACAAATTTAAGAATCAGTTATAGAGTATTTCAGTATTGCTATAGCGCTGCTTCTATTGAAGTGCTACTGAGTACATTGGCTGTATGTACCAAATTAGATATTATTCATAACGATTTGCCTCATACGCTTTATTAAAAATACTCTCTGTTAGGAGACCATATGAAGAACCGAAGACAATTCAAAGATATCAAAGCTCATTCAATTCTGGACGCAGCTGTGCAGGGGGCCGGGGGGGGGGGGCACTCATACCCTCTAAATCCCATAAACTGAAAGCCTCTTTTGCCTAAATTGCAGTTCATTCAGAGAATTGCCCACCGGGGTATTACATGGGAGTGATGCGCAATGATGTCTGCTACCTGATAGGCCTGACAGAGTTGACCCACAGGGAAGCTAGTGAGTTCTGTAGAGAGACACAAGGAGGACTGGTTGTTATTGAGGATGCCTATGACCATGCCTATCTTGTGGGACATATTGTTATGCAGCCAGGTAAGATCAAGACTATGAGTGAACCATTCTTGTGGTTTTTATACAGAAACATGTAACAATAGTTTGAAGTACTCAAATACCCATGAATACAACACAACGTTACCCATTCCTGGTTTAAGTTCCAAAGTATTTTTTAATGTTAAATCATATGTATTTTGTAATAAAACACTATATACCTCATGCTTATGAAAAGTAACTGTTAATTGACTGTAAAAGTAACTGAACATTTAATAAAACATAAAAAAAGCTAGATCAAACAAAAAATATCATGGATAGGCACACAATAATTCAAATGTTTGACACCATTCCACCTTATTGTAGAACTGCGAGCTCAGTCCGCATCCAGCACCCTCTATTGGACAAGTGGCACCAATTTAGTGGACGAAGTATGGACGTGGTCAACAACTGGACAATATATGAACTTCACAAAATTCAGTGAACAAACCAACCCTGATGTATCAGGATATATGGGACTGTTTGATGATAGACAGGGGTCTCCATCGTCGTATTATGATTGGTGGGTTTACCCGGCTTATGGGGCACCACAGAAAGGAAGGTTCATATGTCAGCATAAAATAAAGCATGATGATTGTGATGTATAAGATCATTAGTGCAAGGAATAAAGGAGATAGAGATGACTGAGGGGACACTATATGAGAAAATATAAACATTTTTGCTGAAAACATGTGAACAAATGCATAAAAAGGACGATTTAGACACAGTAAGAGCTTTTTCACAATCTTACAATATTTTTCACTCATAAAATTCTCTGTCATAAGTCCATTTTCCAATATGCATTTTTTAAGTAAATCCATTGATTTAACACAAAAAGGCTGTGAATAAATTATTTTCTATTTCAAACGTTTAAGAATCTATCCGATATTCTCTAGTCTGTGCTTTTTAGGAAATATATTTGGATGGTATAGATTAACTTGAAACATTGTTGCTATATAACTGATATAACCCCCCCTCTCCCTACCATTCCTACATGAGAGAATATTCATTTACTGCAACATTAAGATCTCTAGAATGTAAATAAGGGAAAACATTTGCCTTGGGTAGTGATTTTGTGCGAGTGATCCCATGGATGCCAGGGAGGCTTCTGGTGCAATTATGAGACAATGATTATATTCGTTTGCAATCAAGTCATTTTGTGGAAATATCCTCATGAACTTTTTGCCATGTCCACATCTCACTTTCCCTGAGCTACAAGCTTGTCAATATAAATGTAATATCAGATATCTTCACATACCCCTAGACCTTCCACAAATCATTTACATAAATGTTCCCTTACCTAGCTTCTGAAATCCAGAGTCGTCCAACGACGGCAAATCTCGAATCCTCCTCATCCTGTAGACTATAGTTCTCACCCAGGACCTTTACATCTTGATTGGCTGACAGGGTTCCACTGATAACGCGACCAAATGCATGAAATGTTGTAGCGTCATCAGTTGGGTAGAGCTTGGTGGTGTGAACCATCAATGGACCCTAGAGATAACATGAGTTGGGACAATCAACAATAGTACAATAAGCCAATGTAGCTATGCCTTAATATGTCAACATCAAGATTGAATCAAATCTTCAAGAAGATTAAATACAGAATTAGGAAAGTTCTAGCTTACGATCGAATTCCTTTCTTCAGTTTTTCATTGTCTAATACTTACATCAGGGTCACATTCAAACATGGCATCTGTCAGGTCTGTATCATCAGTGCCAGTGTATAGGTGTTTCACCTTGTTCTTAGCATTGTCCAAGGGAGAAGGGATATGGTCAACACACATCTGGACAAATCCTGAATAACATTGAATAACAATTGGTATAACAAAGTATTAATAATATGAACTAATAATATACAGATTTCAAAAATTCTCAAATATGAAGAGATATGTAATGACAAAATTAATGAAATTAATGGAAGATTTGGAATTATTAATTATTGCGATGACAATAACTTTACCTCATGACCACCAACCCTGACCATTCAGAACACATTTTCAATTTGGTTTTGATAGTTTAGTTTAGTTTCTTTATTTATTTATAGTGGTCAGTCTTACAATATAATTTTAAAAAAAGTGTGGCAATTAAAGCAGAAAAATAAATCATTTTTACCATTGAAATCTCCGAAAAACCTGCGGCAAATGATTCTCATCAAAGGTCGGATATTCAGCTTTGATTCCATTTTATTGAGATGAATCCCCAACTCATCACAGACTCTTGGTAGACTATCATCTACATCTCCAACAATCTACAAATAAACCAGATCAACAGCGTTTAACAGAAATCTCAAAAAGTGCATCTTGAATATATCTTAAAGCTAGGTAGATCAATTCGGTTCGGTTCGGTTTTTTAGAGTGGCATGTTACTAAATTTTTTTATGTAGGTATAGAAATTTATTTTGAAAAATATTTTTCTGTTACCTATAAAATGTAGAGCTAATTGTAAAACATAACAGGATAAAAATAAGTCACAATGTCTAGGATGCTCAGAGTTTCTAATTTCTATTTTCCAAATGACGATATTTATCAAAACCATTAGATTAAATTTTAGCTTTGAAATCAACATTTTTCATTGATAGATTGACTGGCAATTTCTGCTTTACTTTTTTATTTCTTTTTAACTAAACAATTTACTTTATGAACATAAATTAATTTGAAACTAACCTGTGCAAAGAGCTTGTACAATGGTTCTAGAATAAATTCTACAAAACTTCTCTGTGAGCCACTGTTGGGTGCTTTCTTGGTGAACTTTCTCCTGAAATACAAATGATCAACACCTTTCAGATAATACAGTATTGATATATGAATAGCAACTGTATGACATAGATTAAAATTAAGACAGGTAAATTATGTTTTTCAAGTTCTTTTGTCATTAATAATGAAGAAATCATATATTCTTAAATTTTTAATTACATAACAGCATCTCAGTGAAATAGTAAAATATTTCCTTAATTAATTATCATAGATCATTTCAAATAGTTCTGTTCATTTTGAAACTTTCACACATCATAACACAAATGTGAGAGAGAATATTCTATTTTTAATCTCCTCAAATAATTCAACATTTGGGAGTGGTCATTTTGAATTTCACAGACTGCAAATCTGAAAAATATGTTTTTTATACATTTTGTAGAGAATACATAACATGTCACTTTTTTAATTCAACATTTAGTTTCAACACTCACGTTTTACTGTTAAAATAGATGTCACCCCAGAGTCTCCTTGCAAACTCCTTGTCATCAAACCCACCTGGAATACATGAATAAAGATTGCAAAGACATGTTTAGGAACATAAAGGAATGAATACTAATATGTTGTACAATTTGCAATAGACTCTGCATGGTGAATGCTTAAAACCAAGTCTTGTATGTTTCTCCAATGGACCTCAACCTAATATAAACACACAGACCTGATTCATTGAAGTGGAAGTAGATATGGTGATGTATGGGGCTATAGAGACTTCAAGATGTATGGGGTTATAGAGACTTCATGTAAAACAAATGTGAGACTAATTTGGACTTACCATAAGTGTCTGAGTAAATCTTTGAAAATGACTGCAGACTGAAGCAGAATCTATAGTAAGAACTGGCAAAACACAGGTTGCCCTTCAGAGGGGACACCATCAAATCTTCCTGGTCTTCGGCATACATACTGCAATGTAAGATGAACAGTTTGCTCATTCTAATAAAAAGGTCCATTTGCGGATTGATCTTATTCAATGTTGATTTGATAAAAATAATAATGATATGGCTGAGCTGACATTTTTAAAGAACAGATATCCTATCATATCATATTGTCAGACAATTCAATATGTACATTGAAATAAGCAAATAAATATTACAGAACTGTATCAATATTTCATGCATCCACATATCAAAGTTCTATTTCACAAAGGTCTTAAATGATTTGCTATTATATCCTGAATGGTGTTCATTTGTAACAATTTCTAATTTTCTATTATTATGGAATATAGGCGAACAGGAACTATGTAAAAATAAGGAATTTAAAGTCTCCGAAGGTATGAAGACAAATTATATACCAAATTAAAGCTAGAGATCTCTATTTCATGGATCTGAATAATAAACAAATAAATATTAAAGTGCCTCTCCTTTCTAAACTCAACCCAAAAACATTTCAAAGCACAAATCATATTTTTTGTAGTAACAGTGATTCAATACTATTACCTTGTTATTAAAATCCCAAAAGAGTAACAATTCATTAGACACAGAATACTAATGCCGAATTCCAGTACCAAAAACTTCTTGGTGGCTATAAAGGTAGGTGGATGGTCTAGTAGTTGACCTAATGAAAAGATGTAAAACTTAATGAGAAACCTTTAAAACAACCTCAACAAGAGGAATATATACCTGAGGAGACTGTTGATCTCATCCACAATGTGCCTCAGTTTATAGTAAGCATCCGTTGGTGGCAGCTTTAACTCAAGAATCAACCTGTCCACCTTGTTGATACACACAGTGATAGCCATCTTCTCCTAAACATAAACAAAGTTCAGAGATTTTAATATTTGTGCATTATTTGATCAACCTTTATAAGAAGTTCAACACAGGTATTAGAAAATATACTGGAGAGAGATTGTAAATGTGTTTTTAATTTAATTTCTGAAACTACCGGTATATCTAATCTTGTCAAATTGATTAGATGTAAACAATAATTATCACAGGCAATGATACTTACTGATTTTAACTAACTACAACTTATGTAATTGGAGAGAAAATTTGGCACCATTCCGTGGGCTCATGTGGTAAAAAGAATGATTTCTCCAAAACGTGGTAAAAGAAGGAGTTGGGGGAACAATGGTGTAAATGAATGGCAGCTCTAGACTCAAAAGACATTTCAAGTACCTGGACAGCATGCTTGACAAGTCTCTCTGTATTGAGACTGACCCCCTCAGCTGCATCCACAAATATACACACTCCATCACAGAGCCTCATCCCTGCTGTGGCCTCATCAGAGAAGTTAACATGGCCTGGAGAGTGAGAAAACATGGTTACATAAGTTGTAATTTGTCACCACCTTGTTGAACACAGTATCAGACAGTCAAAAGCAATTTCATTGAATGTATTACCATAATTCCACAACAAAATATGTAGATGTAAGCTTAATTACATGGTATGGAACATAGTATTCCCTTATGGGCCACATATATATCCAAATAGGCTAGATTACCCATTCTGATTTACTTTGAAAAATGAATGAGAAGCAATAGTGATATAAAATGAATAGTAATTCACCAACTACCTGGTGTATCAAAGACATTCATAAGATATGATTTATTCTTGATGTCAGGCAGTACTAGAGTGACTGGGGTTGACTTGATGCTGCAACCTCTTTCACGCTCTGTGAACAGAATGTCTGTGTAGCGGAGGTCTGTCCCTTCCTTAGCCTCTGTGCCAGGGTGTGTCTGCTCTATCAGGCAATCAACAAACGACGTCTGCAAGAAAAAAAACATGAACATTTCATTTTCATGCATTAATGTTCATGTAACACTGCAAATACTATGCATCACTCAAAAATGCAGTAATTCAAAATAAATTGTTGTAATTAAAGTATAAATATCTATGTGTGTGTTGGGTATTTAAATTGTTAAATTATCATTCAATTCAGAAGTATCTTTCTTTTATTTTGATAGAATCCTCTTTTAAACTCTCTTGTGTATATACAGCATTCAATAGAGTAATATGAGGTTATACAAGTGAGCGTAGCGAACGAGTGAATATATTATATTCTCACGAGAGTATAAAATACAGAATACAGAATGAACCATTATATAATCTTATTATGCCACTCTAAGTTCAATTACAGTTGATTCAAACACAATCATAACAATTGTAAAAACCATAAAAATATCCCATAGCCAACTCAGTAATGCTGATGTTGATCTCGAACCATTTATGACGTGGCTTGATTCTAGCAAATCATGCCGGAACCATTTATGACGTCACTTGATTATAGGAAATCATGAAAATTTTCATCATTTTTTAATTCATAAGTTCCCAGAATGCACTTCTACAGTGGTATACGCTGGAGTGTATACGGAAGAGTTGTATACGATGACGATATACCACTCTCCACTGTATATCGTTGTTATAGACCCATGTTATACAACTGTAATTGGACTTAGAGTGGTATAAACAGTGATACACATATATTGTACATGCATCTATATCCTACCTTCCCATGATGCAGGTGCCCCATCAAAGCTACATTTCTTATCAAGGTCGGAGTGTCCATCAGATCTGCCATAAACCTAGACAGAAATCAAACAACATTAAATTGGGTGTCTAGAGAGAATATTACAAAGACAGAATGTTTACAATACATGTAGATACATGTACAATGATAACATTGAGAGGAATATCCAAGAAATGATTGGAGCAATTTGCCAAGATGACAAATTATGAAAAAATCTTTTCCATTATGTAACAAGGTATCAACATGCAAAATGTCACCACCTGCCATTTGTTACAGACACCGACTGCCAACCACCAAACACCATTCACAAAAAAGTTAGAGACTATAATAATATGTGAGATCATAAAATGAAGGGGGCATTGGGAGACCTCATTAACATAACACAGGATATAAAGGGACCATATTACAACCATTGGTTTATAATGTAATCAGCACTACACATAAGTAACGCCTCTTGAAATCATTTTTAATGCACCACGATTACACAGGGGTCCGTTTTTGAAACTTTCGTAACTTACGATTTGGTTGCAAGTCATTATTTGTCAAAAAATAAACAATGGTTTTCTTGGAATCATAAGGTAAGAACGTGCCAAAAACGAACCCCAGTACACTTACTCCATATTGTAGTTTGTATCAGGAAGGTCTTGTTCTGCTACCTGAAACTTTTTCTTCTTGACAGGTACAATGATTGGTTCAGTAAGAGCCTGCGTATCTTCTTCTTGGACAATAGTCTACAAATATATAATAGCATTCATTTAGATATAACCCAGCATTTGTAAATAGAGGTATATGTTCATTTAAGTTTGGTGAAATTATACAATAACAGGGTGAGACTGGAAGATTTGTCAACGATGGGATCCTGCTATTTTTCATAAAAATACTAAAGAAAGCATCCACATTTCTTCCAACTCAAAGAAAATGACCTACTCCATATAATGGATATATTATATAATTTACAGGTAACCTTCAATTCTGTTTGAAGTCCACATAATGCTAGGAGTAAATTCTGTTGGAAACAGCGCGAGTGTATCATTATCTGAAATAATGTTTTCCTTTTAACATTTTAATGTCACAATATGATGAATAACATTTACTTATGTTTTCATCATAACTCTGGTTGTATAAGTTAGACCTAGTGTTATGGGGTCCTTCTACTTATCTTTACAAAAAGAAATGTTAAAATTTCTTGTCCGCTAGGGGGGGGGGATTCACCGATCATCCTAATAGCCCCTGTGACAAGCAATAATATGTGAAGTGGCATAATTTATGAAAGTAGATAAAAACATTCTGTTTTATGGCTAGTAATTATCCACATAGGCTCCCTATGTAATATATTATATTGGAGTCTTATATCTGATAAATTACACTGTCATCAAGGTCATTTCACAATGTACACACGCCAACCAATGCCTGATGGTATATAATTACTCCTGTCAGCTGGTTTCCAATTATTTACACAGAAATTGCCAGGATAGTCACAGAACTGAGGACGGCAGTGAAATTAGGTATGGGATTTGTCTCTTCTATTGTAGCGATGTATAATAAAAATGTTCTGTTCTGTGAAATAAAAATGCAATGAAATTATCTTTTAAGGACTAATATTTCTATGAGATATACATGTACTATAGAAATGTGGGTTGTAATATAATTAGAAAAACAGCAACTCTCCGGAATAAGCAAATGCCACCTAACAAAACATAATTTGTCAAATCACTCTACATTTTGAACATTACATGATAAAAAAATATCATAAAAGAGAGCAAAGTATTGTCTCCTGTAAATTTTAGACCAAATCTAATAACTGGTATTATATTACTGATGGAAATTTGTCAGCGATATTTAGCAAACTATAACCTATCCAGAAGATGGATGGAAGGACGAAGAAATGGATTCTATATACCGTTAATCACATATTATTTGGTAGGTCGTTAAAGGTATATAAGAACTGCTGGTAGATGTGTCAGAGCAAATCTGATCCTTGTTGAATTAACACTTTATTACAGGTATAATTTACGATGCAATTTGCATGAGTTTCAGATTCACTATTACACAAGATTTCAGTAAAATCACTTATTTGTAATAATAAATTCAAGAAAAGTGGTATTTAAGACACAAATGAAAATAACATATTATACAGCCCATAGAGAGAAAAGATGAAGGATCACAGTGTCTCAGGAATCGCAATATTTGTATATATGCAAATGGGGAGTTGGGAAGAATAACAATTCAAGGTATTACAGCATCAATACATGGTGCAGGTTTTAAACGACTGATCTACTAATTAATTACAAAATAGAAAGGAATTCAATCTGCAATGTATAATAAACTATAAAATAAAATTTATGATGTGTAACACAAAACGCTTTCAAAGAGACTCATAAATGGATTAGGTTGACTTATATTTGCAATTAAGTCCTTACTGGACTGTGTTACTATATATACATGTAACTAAATCTTATTTGCATCTTTATACAAGATATTTATGAATATTTATAAAGAATACTGTAGATTATTATTTCTCTGTAGTGATAAACAGCATGTGATTGGTCAGTGATGTACCATGTGACTAAAAATACCACAAGGTATTTCATTCATGCATAAATCATCAATATGAAAGGTGTATTTTTAAAAAATAAATAAATACATGTACAGGTAATCAACTTCGGGCTGCGTGGAATACACCCCCAGAAATATATACAGGTATTGCACTCAACATCATTCCATATTTGTATAGTATATATTCTGGAAGGTGTAATTCACCTCTAAATACAGTATCTTGACAATTTCAAACTCATTAATTCAGACATACATAGTTACAAGTGACAAACTACATCATACTACAATTTTAATGATGTTATTCAACTTTGAATACCTTCATGGGTTAAAAGACCTTTTATTAGATTCAGCCTCTCTACCTTTGAATAAGTTTTGAATAACAAACAGGATATTTTGATCATTTCATATAACATTTTTATATGACAGGCTTGAACTATTTGGGATGGCGTTTAGTAATACTAGACAAGAAGGTCATTTTGACTTTATTTGTAATTAAAAGAATAAATCAGAGATGAATAATATTAGTCTATATAAGGATTGCAATATGCTATTTGAACACAACATTATGAGCTACAGAGTGACTCCATTATATGTTCCAGAGTCTGAGATACAGAGGGACTAAAACTAGAATAGAGATATATCAGAATGGAGTAGCCCCAAACTATAACTCATGATAAATGCTTATAGCTTTGAATTATATTATGAGAACTACATTTTGGTAATTCGGGTCTATTTGGATCTGCTTAGACCGGTAAGTATCAATCTCTTAAGTTAAACTGGATCTTCTTTAAATTCATTTCAAATTATACACCAGTAGTTCTCATTGAAGCAATCTAGAAATGACATGCTTATATAAGGTTAACCCCAAAATCCACATTTCTGAACAATTTCAAACAATGACATGGTTAGATGAAATATGAGTTTTTTTAAAGACTTAATGTGATTGATGCCAAACAGGGTTCTCACCAGGAAATTTTATGAAATTTTTATTATATGAGATCAGATATCCTATAAGTATGTACTTCAGATTATCTTCTTATTTTAAAATTAGACTCCAAATGTAAAATTAGACTCCAGAAAAAACACTTTAGACTCTATTAGACATTAGAGCAAGAGGGTCTAAAGACATTAGACTCCAGAGAAATATAACTTGCTCAATTGAACATTCTTTCTACAAGAAAATCTAGCAAATTCTAACATAATCGACAAAATTATTCCAAAATATAGGGTTGTATTATCTCGGTCAACTTGTCATATCTTATGTTATCATTAGAGCAAAAATATGTAGGAAGTGTCGTGATAATGATATATATTTTATTTCGCAAATTATAGCCATCCGGTATTGGTGTAACCTGATTGGTCAGTTCAAGTGCACATAATGAGGGACATCTGACAATTTGACAAAATATGCTTTAACATATTGAGTATGCTTCAACATTTGATAAATTAATAGAAATTGGGATTTCAGTGAAAATTCTGCATGACAAGTCAAACCCTGCATGATCTAAGAAAATTGGACATTTTGCACTTATTTTAGTCAATGTGGAAAAACAGAATTCTGGAGCTTGTCATTGAAAGGAATCAAATTGAACTTCATCAGAGAGAAGCAATTGAATTAAAAGCCAGTTTGACACAAGGATTTCTGCACAAACAAGATTCTTCATCAGGCGCAGGATGAGTCATCCTTAACTTACATCTCTAGGTAATAAATCATAATTACAAGTGATCGCATTATCCCAAGATTCCTATTGATAGTATGTACCTGCCCTCTCTGTTTGAAATATCATAAATACTGATTAAAGTGATATTCTTTTCTTTTTCTTTTATTCCAAAATAATACAAATAAAAGTTTGCCTAAGACTGCGGCATGGACACCTCATTTTTTCTTTTTTGCTAATTAATTTAATTCACTAACAAGATACTTTTTTAAAATCAACCAAAATTTCCTTTGTACAATTTCAATATTGAGAGACCTAAACATGTTGTGTTTATGTCGATTTGTTCCAATTAGGTTCGGAAAGATGTTTCATTTCACTCTGGAAACATGATACCAAGAACAAAACAAGTGTTTGATGTGTTTTCTAAAACAATATAGATGAAAGTATATGTATATTTTTTAAATTATATTGTAACCATTCAAAATAAGACCATTAAATTGACGATGTGTTAAATTTTTAGATTTTTTATGGCTGGTTTAAGAGAAACGTGTGTTCAAAAAGTTCTCCATATCGATACCACTCCTTTAGCTTCATTCCAGAAACAGTGCAAAACATATTTATTTTCTTTATGGCATTCTTTATGGAATGCTCATCTGCAAGGAAAAGTGTGCAATCATCTGCATATAATGCTGTTTTAATTTCAAATTGGTCCTCATTTAATTTGAAGTTAATTCCACTGATAAATACTGATTAATAATTGAAATGATTAAAACATCAAGGATAGCAACTTAGTGACTGTTCATTTGTGATTTATGATTAAAAAATGTCAGGTAAATCTATTATATTAGGGGCAATAATAGCAGGTGCAACATATTTCAGGAAACTTTTGAAAAAAACTGAAGAAACCTGAAAAAATTGGAACAAGGCATTAACATGCAAAATATCTGCACCTGCCAATTGTTACAAACACCAACCAACGAACTGAACACCATCCACAAAAAATTGAAGATGTCTAACAATATGTCACCATTTGTGGTGGTGACAGAATGGAAAGAGAACAATTAGTGTCCATGTACGTTTGAGAAGGAGAGTCTAATTTATTTTATTTCATTTATTGTTCAGATAAATTCTACTAAAAACATGCTGTCTAGCTCCTGAGGTATTGTAAGCAAGCTAGCCTTTTAAATCATACTACATTGTTACTTTAAAATAGTCTAATGAAATGTCTAATGATTTATTAGGCTCCCTCTGGGCTCTTGCTAATGATATCTCTATAAGAAAAGAGACAAGGCAATCACGATGCAAAGATATGCGTCCCCAGGCCAAAGTTACTGTGACGCAATTCATCATAAACACAGTAAAGCCAAGACATTCAATACACAAATGACACAGCAGCTCTCAAGCCAAGCTATAAACTCCTCATTAATCACAACTTCTGGAGCATTTTCAAATGCAAAGTAAAAAGCAAATTTTTCTGTGTCAACATCAATAATCTCATTTTCATGCTCAAACGTATT